TCGGCCTCGCGCATGTTGGCTGGCGGCTCGATCTGGGGAACAAACTCGAGGACGACGTAGGCGACGCCAATAAGGCCGACAATAGAGCCGGCAATGATCTTGAAGACACCGTCGGAGAGAAGGATGGAGCCGATGAAAATGTAGACTGCGAGGAAGGAGCCGCATTAGAACCAGTGTGCATCGACTGCGAGAGGATTCGGAGGGCGGCTTTGAAACTTACAGACACCACGGCCAACGAAAGAGAAGAGGAATGAAGCGTAACGGGAGACTTGGGGAGGGATTTGGAACTCTGGTACTTTGTTAGAGGAGCTTCAGAGATGGAGGATTCATTGTCAAATACCGAGCAGAGCGGTGCCTAGTCAAATCGCATTAGCCATGTCACAACCAAGAATGCATTCTATGCAAGCTTCAGGAGGGGGTGAATGCTTACAGAGACCGAAGATGATCACGTAGGCGCCAACAATGATACCCTGGCTACACAGGCAGAGTTGTCAGTATAGAGTCATCAGATCGCTATTCCACCACATGTCTCCTTCGTCGCGATGAAGGGGTTTGGCTGTCGCACGAAGAATCCGTGCGCGCGCGCAAGTAGAGGTCGTAGACACGGGAGGTCCGTCGGGGGGATCGGATAGGACGTACAAGTTGAAGTTGAAGAATTGGGCAATGCCGCCCAGGACCATGATGGTCGCGGTGGCCAAGTTAACGATGCGGCTGATACGAGTGACGCCTGGTTAGCTTTTTGCGCATGCGCAGGATAGCTACTGGGTAGCTACCGCATCGCAAAGACTGGGGACCACATACAAGGCGTCAGAAAGCTCCATTTTGGCGAGTTGTAGATTGCGTTACTGTCGGGGATGGACGGAGATTCGATGGCGGTGGGCAAGCTAGGTGGATGAGAGAAGAAGAAGGGAAGCTGACGTGGATGAATTGGCCAGACAGCTAGATATCGCGGGTTTGGAAGAAGGATGTGTTGTGATGTGGGTGTGGGTGTGAAGAAGAAGCAAGGTGGGTGCAAGGTGTGACGTCCGGACAAGAGGCTGACGAGTCAAGTTCCGTAACTCTTTGGCTCCTGAAGCTCCTGGCAGATAGAAGGAGTGTGCTGGTGGATACTTGATGGAGCAAGTATATCTACCAGGCACTGGTACACGTAGCAAGCGCAAATCATAGGTACCATGAAGTCGCGACGGTTAAGCACCAGCCACACAACCCCCCAGCCTCTTTTCCGAGGGAGGTCACTGACTTGACACTGACATTCGCTCTGGCAGGAACGAGCCAAAGCTCTGTTGACCGCCTTCCTGTTTCGGACTACATGGGTGTATGGACATCTACTGCCCGGATTGGTTGATTGCCGACTGATCAAAGTGAAAGTGCAGTCGATTAGAGAGCTCTCATGCCATCATGTTGTGAACAGCTCCATCCATCATTTGACTTGACGACATTTGCGACGTCTTTTTGCTGTTCGCGCTTATCTCATGGCACTCTAAAATGTAATTGGAGCTCATCGTCACCTTTTTCATTCGGATTTTGTACTACCAAAACGCATATTTGATGGTCTAGTCATGCTAGTTTTTCGAGCTTCAGTGCCTAGGCAAGGCCATGTCGGCAGGTTGCGAGGACGGTCTTATTTCGCTGGGATCGTGAGCTTCCGAAGGTCAATACACACACCTCCGGTGCAATCGAAGCATCGGTCTCCTATCAAGGATATCAGAAACATTGGAATTATTGCCCATGTCGATGCTGTGCGTATTCAGTCGCTTTTTGAGCTCAAGTAATAGGATGGCTGAATTATTCTCAGGGCAAAACCACAACGACTGAGCGCATGTTGTATTATAGCGGCGTGACTCGCCGGGTTGGAGGTATGTAGGAGCCATTTTTACCTTGCAATCGTTTTTATATCAACATCTTGTCTTGCGAAATTGGATGAGAGCTGTAACGGCGGCAAGTATGTACCAAGACCCTCTTGGCTGACCACGACACTGTAGACGTCGATGCAGGAAACACAGTGACTGACTTCCTCGACCTGGAGCGGGAACGAGGTATCACAATTCAGTCAGCAGCCATCACTTTTAACTGGCCTCTTCACGAGGAATGCGCCCCAGGCACAACCCCCAAAACGATCAATCTTATCGATACACCAGGTCATCAAGACTTCAGATTCGAGGTCGACAGGTGTCTGCCTGTTCTTGACGGTGCCGTGTGTATCATCGACTCAGTGAAAGGCGTAGAAGCTCACACGGAGAGAGTGTGGGCTTCAGCACACGACCACAAGATCCCTCGCATTGTCTTCGTCAATAAGCTCGACCGAGACGGTGCTTCATTTCGAAAATCCGTGTTGGAGATCGGGTCACGTCTGAACGGGTGGCCACTTGTATGCCAAATTCCGTGGTGGGAAGGCGACCAGTTTGTCGGTGTCATCGACGTCATTGACCGAGTCGGGTATCGGTGGAAGGCAGAGAAGCAGAAGACGAAGTACGAGTTCGCGGAACTACAAGAGGTGCTCAAGGGCAACTATCTTCTCAATGAAATTGAGACAGCTCGCGAGCGGCTCATTGAAGGCCTCGCTGAATGGGATGAGTCCATTATGGACCTGTTCGCAGACGATCCAAACAAAATCACAGGCAAGATGTTGAAAGACAGCGTTCGAAGCGCCATCCGCAGTGGTGACGGAAACGTTATTCCCGTTCTAGCAGGTGCCAGCTTCCGACACATCGGTGTCGAGCCCCTGATGGACGCCATCGTTGACTACCTTCCCAGTCCTGACGAACGACCTGATCTTGAGATCCGTGCCGGGCCGGCAAAGCACAAGCTCATTACGCTACTCGATCAGAACTCGAGCAAGAAGCCGGGTCATCAGCGTGTGGCAGCAGTCGCCTCCGTCTTCAAGGTCTATAATCACCCTAAAGAGGGAATCTTGAGCTTCGTGCGAGTCTACTTCGGCGAACTTCACAAGAACTCGTCCACCTGGAATACGCATAATCAACAGGCAGAGCGTCCGTTCGGCTTGTTGCAGATATCCGCGGAGAAGACGGAAGATGTGCAACACCTCGCCACTGGCCAGATTGGCGCCATCAAGGGTCTGAAGAAGGCTCGTACGGGCGACACGCTGCTTGCTACTGTCGCTCAGAAGCAGATCCCGGATGCCCTCAAGCATATCCAGATCAGACCCCCAGAAATTCCTCCGCCTGTGGCTTTCCTCGCGATTGACCCCCACGGCCCAACAGCTTCCAAGGAGCTAGAGATCGCGCTCGAAAATGCGTCACGAGAAGATCCCAGCTTGAGATGGAGCCGTGACGAGAAGACAGAACAATTCATCCTGCAGGGTATGGGCAAACTCCACCTTGATATCGCCGTCTACAACCTCAAGCAGAACCCCAAGGTTCAAGCCGACTTCGGTCCTATCGAGGTCGATTACAAAGAGTGCATCACGTCCTCAATCGGACCGCATCATGTAACCTTTGACAGGGTCGTCGCGAGTAAGTCGGGCAAAGTATCATGTACAGCAACTCTGGAACCTCTGGAAGACCACCACCGCCAAGCCGCACTTGAGCCGACTGTCGAACGCGACGGGAACATGATTCACGTCATCATCGATCTTCCCGAAGAAGGCAACATCACCTTTGATCCTGAGGAAGCCCGACAGCAACTCATCAATGGCGCCGTCGCAGCCGTGGCCCGCGGCCCGCGCCGCGGCTCCCCCGTCCAAGGTTGCCACATCACTATCACTGTTGACGCCGCAGCCGCCGAGAGCCCGTCCGGTGGACACTTCGCCGGCGCAGCATCTCGAGCCGTCCGCGAAGCACTCCGCGAGGCGCACATCACAAAGGGTGCCGTGGGCGTCCTCGAGCCCGTCATGCTTCTACACATCAGCTGTCCGGAGGCGGCCGCGGGCTTGGTGCAGCATGACATCAGCTCAGGAGCCGGTGGACACGTATTGGAGGTCAATGACAAGTCCGCCGAGTCGAGTTCGCACATCGACGTCAGCAGTATCTACGCGCCGCCAGACCCGTACGAGATCGTGGCTTCGTTGAGGGGGAAGAAGTCGTTGGCCAGGACGGTGGAAATTGTAGCCAAGGTGCCGTTCAAGGAGGTCTTGAACTTTGACGAGCAGCTGAGAGGCAAGACTGGCGGAAGACACTCGATGACGATGGCGTTTGACAGTTTCGATCGTGTTGTTGGCCAACGAGAGAAGGCATTGTAAAGATAGAAAGTGTAGATGTACTGTGTAAAGTAGAAAGTTTAAGAGGTTACAGGAACTCAGATACCTTCCCCATTTTCCCGAACGTATCGCGCAAATCGTCAGGAATAGCATTCGCATGTACAATACTCATAAGTAGCCGGCTGGTGAAATTGCAAACATCGAATACACGTAGCGCTGATATTGCTGGACAGGTGCAATAACATCATGACTAAGCAGCACATAAAGCTTCAGTAGTAAGGGACGCAACCCCGACGACGTTTTTCGAGCTAAAACAAAAGGAAAAAGAGAATCTCGCTCAAAAGAAACACATGGCCATGAAATGCAAAAGATTATCTAGCACAACCTGGTTTCGATCCAGGGACCTCTGGGTTATGAGCCCAGCGCTCTACCCCTGAGCTATTGTGCTCAGGCTTGTTGATGAAAATCCTGCTGGTCTTGCAGCCCATATCCCGCTCGGTTGTGGAGCTGTGACTCACACACCCTCAACCAATAGTTCAACACGTCTCTTTGACCACTCGTATTCTTCATCCGCTCTATTTTATCTCTAATCATGAAAAGCAACTGATAATTTGTCAAGGACTAGCTAGTTCTACTCAATAATCTCTCAGAATCATATCTTGGATGGCTCGTTGACCTTGCTACTTGAATCAGGCCCAACTGTAGGGATATGGGGGTAGATATCACCGAAAGACTGCACGTCATACGGCTCAGCACCCGTGATCCTCGTCGCATCAACCCAATTCCCATGTACAGCGGAACGAAGGCCTTGAATGCACAGTCAGATCGTGGCTGAAAAATACGACTAGGTTCTTAGGTAGTACTCACGGAAGGGCAGAATGACCTTGGCAACAACCGTTTGGAAATCGCGCGTGTCTTGGATTATCTGCGTCAAGCATATGAGACCACCGTTGCTAAACAGTTTCTGGAACCTTGCTCGCGACTTTTGAACTCACCAGCTCGTTTCTACCAAGTTCCATGTTATCTACCATGGTGATGAGGAACCCATCGGCCTCTGGCGCATCAGGGTGTCTGGGGCTGAAAGCCGGTTCTTGGACCAGACAGTTGGGCCCCGGCGAGAAGTACTCGACCTCGCCCGTCTCGTAATCGACGCGGGCCAAGGTGTTGAGGCCTTGGAAGACCTGGCGGGTGGGGTCTTCGTTTGGGTTGAAACAGTCGAGCCAGGTGATGCGAGCTATTGTTCGTGTTTATTAGCTTGAGGACTGTACCGTAGCTGTCGCACGCCTACTTACTCTTGCTCATGAGGAACCTTTCGTCAATTCTGGGAAACTCGCAAGGGCCGCGAAGTACGACTTCTGAAGGTGTGTCAGTCATTGCTGTACTCGTTGGGGGTTCATTTGATGTCTTCCTACCTGGGTCCGGAAGTTCGTCAGATTCGCTGTTGGGGTCGATGCAGAACTTGACGTGGTTGACCGTAATGTCCTTTGGCTCAGGATTAGGGCCGCGGCGGCTCGCTGTAAATTGACCTGTAAACCATCCGAACTTTACAAGATCTCAAGATCAGATGCCACTCACGAAGGAAACTGAGCCCATTGTGCGAAGCCAGAGTCGTGTCGAAATACCTTTCATCGGCTGTCAGTGGCACATTGTGTTGTATTGTAGCTCCAGGTTGCGATACTTACACTTTGCCATCTTCTTCCCATGATGCGCCAGTATGAATTGGCATCGAATTATGGTACTTGAACCAACGAACTGGCTTCTTGATGTCGCGTGGCACCAGTCCAAAGTACGCGGGGCACTCTTCATCATAGTACCTGGTGAGCGTCAGCTTGGAGTGCCAAGTAGTCCCGAGCATTAGTCTCACCATTGATGGTTTCCTGGCTTTTCCATGTCTTTGAGATCAACTGTGAAGGGCATTCGAGTAAGGACAATGTAGTTTCGAGTCTGTAGTGTTGGTTACTAAACGAGAAAGTAGCTCCTTGGGGGTGCTGGTGCTCATACAATCGCGCAGTCGTGGAACATCCCTCCAGTGGGATAGAATTCGATGTCTCGCTGATATGTGAGCTTTCCGTCCTTGTTGATAATATAGATCGAGATCTATAGATATTTAATGTGGAGTCAGGTAGTGAATCGCAGATCACTTTTCTTCAACCTCACCTGTGGACTGTCGAGCCCTTCCATGTCATAACCGAACGCAATCATGTCGCCTGTCTCGGGATCAACCTGGATCGATATCAGTACCCCAGCTTTTGAAATACAAATCATCAACACTCACATGAGGATGTGCTGTGAACGCCTTCGTTGGATGAATGTCCGGAAACGGCGCGTGTCCGATAGTTCGTAGACCGTCTAGAGGTTTGGAAACTTCAGCAACCGAACCTCCACACATAGCTCGATATCGAACTCACTCGGATCGAGCTCGTAGGCCGGTCCGCCCTCGCTCACTGCCAGCAATTTGTTGGCATGAACCACGACATTAGTGTTGGCCGCAGTATCTACAACGGCGCGTACGCATGGGTGATGGGTGAAGGGGTTCTTGACTATCCCGAAGAGAGATCGGCCAGCCTTTCTCTCCGCGACCAGACGCTCCGTCAAGACGTATTTCTGCTGGAAAGAGACTTTACCGTCTTTGAATCTGAAGGCGCTGACGCTTCCGTCTCCGTCAAAGGGGATGGTCTTGGTTCCATTTTCATAATATGACCCATCATAATACTGGTCTTGTACAACCTTGAAGGAAGTTAGATGGAAGATGGCAAGAAGCTCAGAATCAACTGAAGCAAGGGAGCGGTGAAGTTACCCTATAGAATGTGCCGTCTAGCTCCTTCGGAATCACTCCTTCTACCTCAACATCGTGGAGCTCGACGTCAGCTCTGAAAGGGCGTGACGCGGCGGCGAAATCTGCAGTTCTCACCATGTTGTTTGATGCGATTGTATCAGGCAAGTTGAAAAAAAGAAGTCTCGTTGGTGGTCTCAGTCGCTTTTTCTAGATGTTCCCTGAAAACGATTGCATAGCGCGTCGAGTAATCGTACTTTATAGTTGGATGGGAACCACCGCCTCTTTGCAGAACATGGGCACAGTGATCCGCCCCCTCCGTTCTTTGACAGTCAACTTGGTTTGAGCAAGTGGCTTTCTGGTAAACTATCAAGCAGAAATTTTGGCTTCACTACTTTCATTCATGCGGTCGAGTGTTAGCTAGAGGAGAGCCACATCGAGGCCACATTCTCAGTGTGGCACTGGAGCCACTTATGGCCAAGGCCGGCGAGAGCCACATACGACCAGGACTTGGCGTCTTACTTGGCCTGATAAAAAAGCCCTTGGTGAAAATGAGCCACACCGAAAGTTCGTTCAGTCAGATAGGCTGCGTGACTTCTATGGCTTCATATCAGACTGTCTAGAATATGTGATATTCTCTCACTCTCGCAGACGCCACCTTCCAATTGGAAGTTAGGAAATCGCCTTTCCACAGAAAAATTGAGACTCTCGTGCTTACGCGCGGCGGGAGTCTCAACGAAAACAAGATCATCAAAACCACCCTAATAATAACGCTTGAGCATTTTTCTCCTGGGTCTCCATACCCCGGCACACTTTGTAAGACAGACATTGAGAGTCTAAGCTCGCTTGAAATGACAGACATGACCTGGAGTAGACCAAGCAAGAAGACAAAGTCATGACCTTTCTCATGGTTGTTCCGGACTGTTGCTTACGAACACTGCTACTAGTCACAACTCTAGAGTTTGCCCTCACTGCCTTACTACAATGATTGACTTAACAGTGTTACGATGTGCTTGAATAGATTTCGTCCATTGAGATCAAACCGTTTTGTAAGCGGAGACGGGCATGTTAGCAGGTCGCAAGTCCGTCAAGCCCGTGTGTCCGTGAGCTACAACCCCGGGATCTCCGGCCCGTCTCCGTCTCTCGCTTGTTCCCCAGATTTCGGCAAATTTACACCTTTTTTGGCTAGTGAAACAGGGATAGGTCTTTGGAATCTCTGATGATGGTGCTTTGGAGCTTCTAACAAGCTGGCATTTGCACTTTTCCCATCAGCAATACCAGCTTTCTTTCTGAGCCTATTCATTCCTATTAGATCACAGCCATGATTGCGAAATGTCCCGTCTGCGACCGAACTTTTACCAAGTTCCAGCATTTCAAACGACATCAACGAGCGCGTAAGCTGGTTCCTCATGCCTGTGTTCAAATCTACACTGGGTGAATTGAATCTTACCAAGCACGTAGACACGGGAGAACGACCTTTCAAATGCTCTGTGTGCGGAAAGTACTTTGCTCGACGGTGATAATTCTATTCCGAACTTGGCATGAACTGAGGACTAATACTGAATCCGGTAGAGATGTCATGGTTCGTCATTGTCGAGCTCATACCTCGGACGACACTACCACTCACCCTGACCCAATACCTTCGTCACCGTTAAGTGAAGCTAGCGAGCTGGCCACCGGAATGGCAGATTTTCAGGGCGTAGTATCTCTTCCAGAAGCCCGGAAATCCATTCTGAACGGATCAATGCCTAATCGAACTCCTCCTGGCCCAAGACAGGAAGACTCGACATGTAATCTGTCGCATGGCTCAGTGGAATTCATACCAACAGAAGCCACGATAGGAGATGGGTCATTCAACTTCCATACTCACCAAAGTCAGTCGCTAAGCTCAACAAGATCATGTTCTCCGATTGATAATTGCTTTCTGCCAGAGAATGTTGGCGAAGATTCGAATGATGGTAGAGGTCTTGGTGAGCGGGAACGACCCAGAGATGAGGTTGCTAATCTCATGATCCTTGATGACTTGGCCGCTTCTGCCCCTCTACCATTGTCGGAAACCACATGGAGCAGACTACCTAACCAAACGGGCAATGAGTCGCAACATTGGTTGTCTGGGCCCGAGATGCAGAGTGATCTCGACCTTGGAGCTGGGCAAAGAGGAGTCACTACGCTTCCGGGATTACAAACGTTTGGCACTTTCGATTCTCAATCCTTGCTCGCAGGCCTCACAGCTCACCTACCAAGTCCTCTTGACATTTCAGACTGGGAGCCATCGCTTGTTACGACACATAAAAAGCGTGACAAAATAGCTACTTTGTGGCCGGCGAGACCTTGCCGAGTTCCCCCCATGATGTCGACCTTGTGGCGTGATATAGCGTCTTGTACAGACCGAAACCTCTTTTCGCAAGCATCATCACTCAAGGCGAACTTTCTTACTGGAAGCCCACAAACCGGCCATGTTCCTGCATTGTTAGAAAAGCTACGGCCCTTGACCAGATTTATCTCAAGTTCACGCTGCACCTGTACTGCCCTGGGCCCCTCCTCCAAGCATACCACATCTTCCCTTGATGGCACCTTCTATGCTTCCGGCTCTCTACAGCAAGAAAAGGCAGCAGAACTCTGTCGAACGTGTAGCAGCTACTTGGAACTTTTGGTCTTGGGTCTAGAGCAGTACAAACGGAAATTCCATCCCGTTTTCTCAGTGATACATCTGCCGACTTTCTGCCTCGACGACACCCCTTTTACGCTTCTTTGCGTTATTTGTTTACTGGGACTCACTTATGTGAATACACAGGAGGCCGCGACGCTTGGTTCTAAGGCCTTTTCTGTGAGTCGAACCCTCCTATTTTAGATTTCCGCTTTCGCGGTTGGTTCCGCATTGAAACTCATCATCTATCGATGACCAGTTTGTCTTGGAAAGAGTGTATTCAGAGATTGTCGCCAACTCCTTTGCCGATATAACCCCTAAGCAGAGGATGTGTATGTTTGCGACCTCGGGCCTAATGTCTGCCCTCTCCATCCTCAATGGAGTATGAACTTCACTGCCCGTTTCTACCCTAGCAACAATCTAACCTATAGGCAGGGAACTTCGTGTCCAGATCAGATGCGGCTGCTATATATCAACACTCTTACAGTAAGACTCAAGGTACGCTGTGACAGATACCGAGATAAGTATTGACTTGATGCAGGCGGCACGGCAGCATGGGCTTTTCGATACTGGGCCAAACACAAAGCTGTCTCAGCTGTTCAAAGATGCACCTGAAGAAGATGGGCAGTGGAGGGCCTGGAGTCGGATCGAATCGACTAAGCGGTGAGATTTACCAGGACTTGTGTAATTAAGCAACATTTGCTGACTGAATAGCTTTGAAGAACCATCTTACTATTGATCCTGGTCGACGCTTGGTTCTCGGATCATTTCTCGACAGGCCCGATTGTCTGCACTGGAAACATCAACGCATTCCTTCCATGCAACGCAATGCTTTTCCAAGCAACGACGGCCAGTGAGTGGACTAGACTCATGAAGCCAGGCTCAGAAACCGCACATCCGCGCTTCTCTCTTTTCTACGGAGATGAGGAACTTCCCGACCTCCAGGAGCCCGTTGAGCATCTATCCATGAATGCCGTGCTGATATCAGCGCTTCTGCGAATCCAAGACCGCCACCGCACTTTTCTCTCTATATGCGACAACGAGACACTATCCAGGAATCATTATGTCCCGTGGAATTGCTTCACGCTCGAGGAGAAGGCCAGGAAAGATGCGAACCTGTTGCTGAAAATCATGGAGGTGTATGGAACGACAATAGAGAAAATCAGCTCCGACTGCCTAGTTACGTGGAACTGGATGGGCATCATGCTGACCACAGACTGCTGTCTTCTCGAAGAAGCAGCAGGAATAAGTGGTGTTGAAGCCGCAAAGAACGCAATCCCTAAAGTCAGGATCTGGTCCCAGACCCCAGCAGCGAGGCGAGCCTGTCTTCACGCGGCACAGGCCTTTAGGGCCACATCTCGGCGACGAACCCAGGACGGTGGATCATTCTCGGCTTCCAAGCATTTGTTCAGTGCTGCCCTTGTCCTGGCGTTGTATCTTCTCGTCTCGCCTTTGGACGAGAATGATAGCAACAGCGGCTGCGCCAAGGGATTTGAGTTGCTCGACGAAGTTGACTGGAAATCTCTTGGCACCGGGGGGCTGTCTAGTGACGTTGACCGGCTATCGAGCAGCGAGACAGGGAACGCAGCTGCGGACTTTATCCGGCTTGGTGGTCCTATATCCATGCGCAACGAAAGGTGCTTGGGTGGGCTTCGTTCCGCGCAACGGGTTCTTCTGGACTTTGCCAGCCTGCTAGACGACATGAAGAAGTGGCGGATAGGAGACTACTCACGTCTTCTTTACGTGCTTTGTGAGAGTCTTGGAGACCTTTGTATTGTTGATGAGCCTTTTGCCAGGGGTGTCGTAGGAACAGTCCAATGACAAAACGGAAGACTACTAAAACACATATAGCTCAGACATACAAATCAAGACTCAAAATACCGTTTCGTGCCTGGTTAGAAATACAGCACCTAAATTGGGTTCCTCAGACAAACCGAAGGGGTTGCTGACGGATACTTGATAGAGATACTCTGTCTTAGCACTGGGTTGTAAGTCAAAGAGTTTGGCCGAATTCTCCGCAATGATGCCCGAGGTATCATCCGTGAGGCGTCATAATAGTCACCATCGATACAGGAGAGATCACTCCAGACCTCCCATCGGGTAAGATCTCTGCCACGGAGATTCGCCGTCTCCGGATGAGGGCTGCGGCAAAACTCCGAATCCGTCTCCAGGCCAGTGGAGCCATCTCATCACCATCGTACAATAGAGGTATAAGAAACAATTCGAAGCATGTCGATTCTACGGTAGGTATGGACAGTTTCAAGTGTTCTTATCAAGAGAATTATTCCCAATATTTACTAATGATTTAATACCACATCTTTATCATTGCACCAAGCAAAAGCCTAACCACCATGGCTTCGGGAAACTACACGATAGACCTGGCGAGGTTTGCAGCTAGCCTCACCTCTAAAGCGCTGCCAAAGAGCCTTTATAGCTCTCTTCCTATTCTCGTGCTTGACATCGTCACAGCCATGCTGACCGGCATGGTTCAACCCGTATACAAGTCTTCGACGGAGGCACTAACAACCATCCACGGCAACGGCGGACCCCAGTCAGTCGCAGCGATAGACGGCTCAGAGACCACAATCTTTGGCGCAATGTACCTCAACGGCATCGCAGCCGGCGCATTCCAAATCGAGCATGTCGTGCTAAACGCGCACCCGTCCTCCTCTGTCCTCCCCGCTCTACTAGTCTACGCCTCCACCCGAAACACAACCACCACTGGCGAGGACTTCCTCACTGCTCTCGCTGCCGGGTACGAAGTCTGCGCACGTATAGGCCTTGCGTCAGGCGCCTCGGTAGAAGACGAGCGCGGCTTCCACAACCCGGCCATCAATGGGCAGCTTGCAGCAGCGGCGGCGGTTGGTAACCTCCTCGGTTGGGATGCCGAGACCATCGCGTCCGCCATGGGGGTGGCGGCGTCAAGCTCGGGCGGGCTCGTAGCTTTCCAGACGACGGATGCCAAGACGAAGCAGATTCACCCGGGCCACGGCGGGCCATTGGGCATCGAGGCTGCGCTCATGGCTCGCGCGGGTGTTACGGGTCCGCCTAACATCTTGGAGAACGACATGGGGTTCCTGCATGCCTTCTCGCCGGAACCGAATGTTACTGCGCTCACGGATCAGCTCGGAAACCGTTGGGACTGCGAGGCGACGACAGCGAAGCACTATCCCATGCATTCGAGATTTCAGACGCTCGTTTCTGGTGTTCAAGACTACAAGAAGAAGGATCCTTGGGACAAGGAAGTGAAAGGTATCACAGCCTACGTCGGTCCTCGTCTCTTGCGAGAAGCGCATCAGATTGCTCATCCGGAGACGTTGGATCAAGCACAGTATAGTGTCTTATTCTGCCTCGCCGCCTCGGTACTGCTGGACTTGAGCAGCCCGTTTGTCTTCGATGATACGCTAGTGGGAGATGAAGCTGTGCAGAAGCTCTCGGGGCAAGTCGTCATGGAGCAAGTCTATGACGACGAGCGGACCGAGGGCGGGTATGTCATAGTGTCATTTTCTGATGATAGCACCGTCAACATCACCGCACCGTACAGTGGATATACTGGGCTATACGCAAATTCTGGCTTCCTTGAGGCCCTGGTGGACAAGTACAACCGTACTACCAAAGCTCTAAGTATTGAGGACGATGCCCAGTCTCTGCGCTCCTTAGTTGAGAATATATGGGTGGAAGCAAACATATCCCGCGTGTATGACGGAATTGTAAAGGTTGGAAAAGGGGCTCGTTTGGAATAGGATAGATTAGTATTTATAAAGCTCACTTGGTATCATAAGTCGGGACTTACACGCTCAACGGTGTGGAGGTAGTTCACTAATATCAGCCTTGAGAGGTTGCAACTTGCAGGAGACATGACGAGTTGAATGCACCCATCTTCAAGTCATATGCTCCGACAATTTACACAGCCGAGATACAATATGACTTATACTGACTGCCACATGACAGCATACACAACTTGGGAATATCTCGACCACGCGGAGCAATAGTCAAAAAGAAGAGACGCATGTGATACCAGGCATTCGCCAGGTGCCACCGGTATGACTATTACTCTAGCTATTCGAGGCAATTACTCCTCCTGCATTACTAAAAACTCGAGCCATTTCGCGAAATTAGAACTTCTGAAATAACATAGGCTTTATTACTCAAAAGGAGCGTCTTTGAACATGGAGGCATAATCCCAGCGCCATCGGTTTACTTATTCTGCTTGAGCGCTTCCGCCTTCTCCTTGTGTATTCTGATAATGTCCTCTAGCTCAGGATCATCCCCAAGTTTCTGGTTCTGCGCCTTGTCACCCTCACGAAGCTGGTCAAAGCTAGCCTTCAGATCTTCACTCGGCACCAGCTTTCTCGACTTAAGTACGAACTTGTCAAGCTTCTTGTTCAGCTCCTGGGTATCGTGTTCATCGAAAGCGTCTGCAATATCCTCAATGATCGTCTGTGCGCTCAAAAGTCAGCATCAAAGTCTCTCAAATAGGTCGATGTGGGACTGACAGGTAGGGATGTATAGGCCTGCGCCGTGAGCTTGGCCTGGTGAGCATAGAGACGACCTGTGGCAAGCTGCTGGATTCCGTCCTTCATCTTTTCGGCCATCTGGTGCTCTTGGTACTCCCTATAAGCCCAAGTAGCAGCCATGATGACGCCCATTGCGATCAGCCCGTACTGCATACAATCGTATTAGATTCCAACCTCAAGGTCACAGGAAAAACCAGACAATGAAAGACTTACAATTCCACTTCTAACCATACCCCTTGCCCCGGCTGCTGTCTCAGCTGCAACCTTCTCTGCATCACTCAGTCCATTTAGTGCGAGCTTCTCTTCGGCTGCAGAAAAGTTTGCAAGCTTCTCTGCATCCCACTCGAGCATGCGCCGTTCGGCAACGGTTGAGATCTCATTGCCAGTCTGCTCATTGAACTTCTTGGCGAGGACCGCGAAAGCTATCTGCTGTCAGTAAATGTAGTTCACTCCGCCTCAGCTTCCAGCAACTTACCCTCCGTGGTGAGCTTTCCGGACGCAGCCTCCCTGAATGCAAGGGCTGCCTCCTCGGCCATGGCCCTATTAACGGCGACTTTTGACGGTAGTTAGCTCATGAGGTTCTTCCCGTAGAATTTTAGTGTATACCTCTAGAATACGATGGACCCAATTTCGCAAATGCTTCCGATTCAAGCTGCAATCCAGCCTCTGTTCATCGTTAGTAGATGCCACTTATATACGTAGAATTGTTCTCACTGATTCTCGATGCATATGAAACTATAATCACTGTCAGGCCCATCCATATAATCCACGTCGTGGAAGATTTAACTCACAGGCTGCCATAGACGCCATGAAGTCTCCCAACCAGATTGCTGCATCAAGAGCGTCCCTCAGTTCCGGATGCTTGATCATGTCCAAGACACCTTTGGGTTTGAGCTCCTCGATTGTCTATCCTTGAACATTAGTTTTCTCCTTTGTCGCTACCAGAATATAGAAGTTGGCTCACCTTTCTGTACTTCTCAGCCTCCTCCTTGGGCAATTCAGCCATTGCCTTATTGAAGAGCTCTTCCATGCTATTCATTCCATTTTTCTTGAGGGTGGCCTCGACCGTCTCCTTGGCAGCACGGCAGAGCTTGAAGAAATTATCCTGGAATCCCTTTACACTAGAAATCAAGACGTCAATAATGCAAACAGCAAGAGGTAGGGGACAAGCCTACTCGTCCTGAATAACCTGAGTATGAACGATCAGGTACAGCGACCGTTCTTTAGCCTCTTCGTAGCCGAGCATGATTGTTGTATGAAAGGCTCTGGGAATGTATTGGTTGAGCTTGAGATCTTGTTCTGCCCAGATCAAATCTTGGTATTAGACATGTTAGCAGCACGATACGGTTTATATAATCTTGATTCGAAGCACGACCGATGCGTCGGCAATCAACGGAGCAATCTTCGAACACGGCGCTTCCAAAGACATCCGTTCTGTGGACTAGTATCCGTGACAGCCCTTTCTCGCGTTGAGTCGTCGGCCACTGCTTTGCGACTGTGAGGCATTGCATGTAAATCGATAGGACATATCCTCACGGGTCACCAGATGGAATGAAATGTTCTGGGCCTATTCAGCCGCTCTGAGCAAAGCAACCCTGGTTTTCAGCTCCTCCACTTTGCCCGACGCGTTCCCATTTTTGATGATTTAGCTAGGTGAAGACTGCGTAAGCCACCTACCATCCCAACTAAGGCGAGCCTCCCGTCGATAGATCAGTGGGACACGACGTTTGGGATGGTTCTAGACTGGAGTCATCCTTGAACGCAAAGAAACCATATGGCAGAACCAAGACCGCGCGGTTCGTTGGCAATAATCCGGGGCCTGGACCCTGGGGCGGGCCGCTCCGCATTGGAATGCCGGGCTCCACTTTGCGGCGGTTCCAGCTTTAAGTGTGGAAAATGGCTCAAAACTCACGATTAAGAAGTCTTCAGCGGGGTAATGCCTCGATACCTAGGCGTTTTTAGGGGTCAAGGTGGCAAAGTCCCTCGAAGTCTAGGGGGCGCTAACTTGTGTCCATAGGAAGTGCCCGCTGGCTTCTCACTAATGCTTAGCGTACCCTCCAGCATCAACGCACAAGCTGTAGCAAACGATCATCCGGATCACCAAAGTGAACGAAGCACGCCCGCTCATGTCCAGAGATCACTTTCAACACAATGTCATTCTCGTCATTGAATCAGCATATAAGAAGCCCCTCGTGATACTGACCACGACAAATTTATGAATGCATTCTATTATGATATCGTGTACTATGGCTATTTGTCTGAGATCGAGATGGCCAGCTGCAGGGTCGTATGAGCAGCAGTGGGATGGATTCTGATCTTCCACTTGACATCTGAAGGGAAATCGTAGACGGTAGAAGGGTCGTTGACAGGTGTGAACCAGTCCCTCTTTGAGGTCGATTCGTTGCCAGTCCAGTACGAGACCTGGTAATAAGGTGCGGTGCCGATCATGAAGACCTGGACGGGTGCGTGGATCTTGACGCCAAACCACTGGCCAGAGGCCGAGTCGTTCCAGTAGCAGGAGCCGTCATTGTAGGAGACGATGCTCGAGGCGGCCTGGGACCAAGAGTAGGTCTCGGTGGAGAATTTGGCGAGTTCTTTGGCCGGAGATTGGTTGATGGTGTCAACTACCGGATCGGCAGGATAGTCCCCTCTCTCGTAACTGAATACGGTCTTGGAGGCGTTGGTGAACTCCATGGAAAAGTCAGGCATGGTGGGCGAATTGAAGAAGGAGTCTTGCTTTGAGTTTCGAAGCGTAGAATGAGGGAAATGTTTTTGAGATCGATCTGAGGATTGAATGAATTATGAGGAAACATGAGTGCCGAATCGCAGGCTATATACAACAAGAAGTGATCATGCAATTGCCGTGTTTCGCTCAATCAACGACTCTTGCTCAGCAACAGACCATCGGTTCCCAGACCATCAACAGACCATCATAGCTCAGCTGACAACAACTCGAAGCTGAAGTCAAAAATGAGTTAGATCGTGCTCATTGCCACGATGCGACTGTGAGTAGCTCGTCCGGTCTGGAACCCGCATGTCGGGCACGGCGATCGGTCTCGAGCTACCTACTGGGGAAAGGCAACATGCCAAAAAGGGATTGAGTTGATCTGCCTGACGAAGGCCGAAATGGGGTGATGCAGCTGGGGCTTCTAGACTGCCGATTGAACAAACTAACTACCCTGGTTGTGTACCAAAATGGCTAGGTCGCCAGCTGAAGAGCATCCAGATCTGGACCCCTTGTCGCGGCTGAGCCGCTACTTCAGTTAGTTGGGAGTATTGGTGACGATAACAGCATGTTGCAGACGGCAGCGCCGGTGATCCGGCTCCTTAAGGACAGGGATATCGGCAATTTGCCCCCCTCACCCCCTTCCCCCTACAGCTACCTTGACATCGTCTATGTAGGTATTGGTAGCGTAAGTGCCTTAGTATGGTGACTTGGCGGAGGCGCTGGCGTTTGGTTTGCTAAGGAGGGCCACTGAGAGCTCTCTAGCAAGCTCTTGATATCCTCACTCCTTCTCTGCTGGCCGTCTTCTGGTGGCTTTGTGTCATGGGTATTGAGGGCAGGCTTCTACCTTATTGGCTGTACGTGGCCGAAAACCAAAAGGTCCATCTTCCAGGTCTCAAGGAGATGGATTCCCCGTGCCTCTTTCGGCACTTTCCCACCATCAACTAGAGCCAGCTGAGGCTACCTGGCGCGAAACAAGATAGTCTCGTGATAGTACCCTGGCCAACTGTTCGAGCGTTTTGGAGCGAGCCATGGAATATCAGCTTGCCGCCGAAACTTTAGGTCACAATCGAGCGGACGTTGTTCTCAACTGGTCGAAACGCGCATGTAAGAGCTGAACCAATGTTTAGACCTGAGAGGACTTCGTTGGTCTGGACTGTCATGGACCTTTCGTCCAATATTGGACGTTCGTCGACATATCTAGCTAACTGATCGCTGTCAGATCTGCCTCGAAAGCATTCCCACGTTTATTCGCATCTTAGAAACTTCATTTCTGTGGCCAGTGTTCGAGTTGCATACTTTCTCTCTCCATCTGACTAGGGCATCAAGATCAATTGCCAACATGGTAAACAAGGAGAAAGCCGTCAAGCGCTGCGAGACCTTGATCACGCACACTCGGCTGCTGCAACAAACGTACGTCCCCTTTCCTTCTTCTTAAGACGCATTGAGTCGAGATTGACGAGAAAAAGAACGGAGAAATATCAGGGAGAGTTTGCGGCGAATGCCAAACAGGCTTACGCGAGTACACAGGCTGCGCTCAAGAAAGCAGGTCTCTCCAGTATCGATGATCTGGTGAAACAAGTCACTGCTGAACTTCCAAAGAAGGAAGCGGATACTTTCCTGGCGGTATATCAGCGCTATATCACAAGCCGCGTTGGTCTCCAGAAAATTCTGACACTCAATCTTACCAGGAGCTCGACAAGATGAAGCCAACCGATGGCATGATAAACCTGCTCACTGGAGGAGCTAAAGAGTTCATTGACATTGGAATCTACCTCAGCAAGACTGTTTCCTCATTCCTTGCTTGTAAGTCTCAAATCTCTGTTGATAATTGGTGATCGCAAAGGCAAATCTAACGGCGTCACAGTACACTATGTATCCCAAATAAGTATACAGAAAGAGCCGACGACCGAAAGAGGTGCCGCAAGACTAACGCTCCCATAGAGAAGGGGTTGGCTTTGGAGTCCAAAGCGTTCACCAGGATTGGCCACGCATACGCCAGGAGTGAGGCATCCGAGACGAAAGCCCTGAAACATCATACCTGAGCTGACACCTGTGAAGCGATTGCGCAACGAGCCGTGGCTCTGGAGGCATCCCAAGCCGCGCTGGCGGCTTCAAACAGTCAGATGTCCGCAAGTGGTAAGTAAATACAACCAAAATCGGCTCACAAATAGACTTAACTCGGAGGAATAGAGATTGCAAAATTGACTGAGAAGTTCAAGATTGGGACTGCGGAGGAGATCCCAATCATTGAAGAACAGGGCGGGATCGCACTTACCTCTGAGGAAATTGTTGCGCAAGACGCCTTAAGTGTTGTACGGGCAGGCATGTTGGAGGAAGAGATCATCGGGGCCGAGGCGATTGCTGCAGCTCGAGGGCTTGCGCGAGCTGGCATCGTAAGTTTGTGTGAATGGGCGCGTATTCATATGGCTATGTGCTAACCATATGATGATTGACAGTATGGACTCATCGCAGCGGTGGTTATCTTTGGGGTGAGCATTACAAGTCCTTCCACCATTGTCCACATGCTGACCTTGTTTTCCACAGGCCATGGAACTATTTTCCAGTCTCAGAGAAGACGCGCAGGCTGCGAAACTCAAGGCAATCATTGACAAGACTTCGACTGCTCGGCTCTACGTCCAAGTCGAAGAAAAGACTGCAGTGGCGTATTCGTCTCTAAATGTACGGCTCGATAAGAAGTTTTCCCCTGTGAGACAGGTGACTAGAACTGACACAAGAATAGGCTGAGATTGAGAACATTGCGGAAGCATACGTTGACAGGGAGACCAAACCGCAAAAGTTCCAGAAAGCACTCGATCGATTCACAAAGTCGGCCGGCAATTTGCTGCCGAACGTAGATGAGGTCTACGCCCAGCTCTTCGAGGGTGATGCGCAGGGAGGGTCATGGGTTGGGGATGACCCATCTCTGGAGCAGATGAAGAGTATGCATGATGACGAGATCAGGGTCCGTAATAGTTAGTTTCGGATATCAAAGTGAGCATAAATCTATTCGATCATCATGGCATGACAGTACTCGGTGTAAAGCTTGGCATATATGTACGGAGTAGCCGTGACAGAAACTCCAGCAAGAAAAGGCTGCAGAGTTTGAAGAAGTCCCCTGCTCAACGATTCATCTCTCTTGTGTACCAAAGAAAGGTCGTGCTCTCTCAGTGATGCAGAAATCACAACACGGAGGGAGGCCCTTCCCCCAGAGTGCCTACCTGAACTACATAACCAATCTTCACCAAAAACAAAATGATAATTTACATGCAACACCAGGCATTCGCCAGTCGTCACCGACCTGACTACTACTCTGGCCCTCACTGGCTTGTCTATGGGAGAGCGGACGGGATCCCGAATTCTCCAGTGGGTATGGTCGCATGTGGCGGTCTTAGGGTTGAGGACGGCTCATGTGTGCGTGAGCGACTTGGGCGTCCTCGGTTTGGGTCGAAGGTGAGTAATACCTAGGCCAATATAACTCTCTCTTCGGCGTAGGATTTCATGTCTCGGTCGTACCGGCAAGCTGGTGACCTTACCTTGTTAACCGACACAGTTGTGGAAATCGATATCCCGAAGGAATTGTGACCCCCTCCCACTACGCTCGGAAGCCACTGGCTCCGGACCCAGCCCAGCGGGAATTGGATGAGCTCCAGCTCTTCTCAAGCCAGAGGAGCCAATAGGTACGTGGGTGTCTCTTTCCCAGATCATAATGGAGACTCTGTGGATAGGGCGTCAGATTCTTGTCGGTGAAGGACGGATCCACCGGTCTAGCGTCGTCGTCATCTCGGTATCAACCGAGCCGGCACCACAGGGTCTTGCTGAGGGAGCACTGAAGAACATCCCTCTGATTCCATTCCTAAGTCTGACTGTATTCAGATTCCCGGCTGTTTCCCCCGGGTCCGATAAGCACTATGCTTATGAAGCTTGGCCATAGTAGTTTGTGTAATCTACTAGCTGAGTGAGCAAGACGTTTGGCGTCCACAGCGCCGTGTACTAGCTTCAGCCAATAACCCAAAGATCCGAACAAGGACCCAGATACTTAGCATTCACAGCAGGGTCGAGTCCACATCTCGTAGACAGCTGCTACGGAGTCTTGACTTTGGGTTGTTAGCAAAGGTGCCCATACCGCAGGTGAAAGCTGCCAATAATCAGAGCTCATGAAAATAACAATTTCCGCCGGCGCCGTGCGAAAGGAGACAACAACATATGAACAGCAATCCTGTCCAACATCAAAGGCGCCTGTCCAGGCCCACGTGGTCGCATCCCATCTAACCCGGAGCGACACTGATCCGCGAGGCGTAGATCAGGGAGACAAGACCGACCGGCCGGGTTACGACCCTGCTGGACATCCTTCGGTGCAAGGGTATGTGAGGAAACAAAATGGAATTCATTTCTTGTCAAACAACTTTTCTTGGGATGAATAAACAGACAACGCAGGCATCTAGTCTGTCTTCTTCCCCCGTTATTTTTAGGTTGGGACGACAAGGACAACAAGCGCCGGAGGGAGATGGAGGTCGGTTTGGCGGGTGCACGTTGCACAGCCGACATGTGGGTCCCGGGTAGCGGTCTCCGAGAAGCGCAGTAGCGAATGAAAAGGCATCTCCAGTGGCGCTACTCAGGGCTGAGCCTATGCGTGATTGGATCAGAGACCCGCGGCCGCAGGAAACATTTCTCCCGCCGCCCCAAAAACAAACGCCGACCGGGATTACCAATTCAAACATTCCCCATCCTCCCATCCTGCTTCTCCAACCTCGTGGCAGATGTACATAGTCCAACGACCCAACTCCGCGCTAGTGCTGACAAGTTGACAACGAAGGAAAGAAAGAATTCTAAGCCCTGCACTCCGAACTGGCCCACGCCCTGTCACTTCTTACCGGACTACACTGTTCCCGAGGAGGAACTTTGTGAGCCATGGCACGTGGCAGCCGTGTCTGTCCGTTTTGGTCTGGGTCTTGTCATCTTGAAAGGCTACCTTGGCTAGGCTAGCAAGTGAGTTGGTTTTTTTGCTGCGGACAGGATGTGAGTTGAGCCGAACGTTGGTCGAGTGCTAAGCCTAGCCATCTTCCAAGACCATGCGGGATGGCTTTTTGGTCGACGATGGATGGGACCTTGAGGTTGGATGCCATCCCAAATTAGACTACGCACACCAAATCTGAATTGTTCACGTTCATCCTATTTCAATAGATGGGATGCCAGTATATAACTAGACATCAAACCCCGCTCTGATGATGGCTTCTTCTCTTGCGTCTCATCACACAGTGAACGCTTAATAACATCATCTCATCTTTCCTTGAGTCTTCTCTACTTTGTCTCCTTTCCCACTTTGACTAGCATTGTTTCGGCATCGTCATCTCCAGCAAGCATTCAAAGCAACAACAACACATTCAAAATGTACTTCACAACCAGCTCCGTCGCCCTCACCCTGGCCCTCGCCTCCTCGGCCCTCGCAGCCCCCTACAGCAGCCAGACGACCTCCGCTCCCGCTCCCACTTCCACTCTATCCCTCACCCAGCAGCTCTTCCTCGCCGACACGTAAGTCCCTGACCCTCATCCCCACCCTCCCTCCACTCTCCCCAACATACTAACAACTCGAAACAGCGCCGCAGACCGCTTCAAGCTCCTCCCCGACGACAAGCAGTTCGTCTTCGACTTCAACCAACCCCAACAAAACCCCGGCAAAGGAGGCGAACTCGTCGCCGCCAACCGCAAGACCTTCCCCGCCCTAGTCGGCACCGGCGCCGGCATGGCCGTGGGCCGCGTCGGCCCCTGCGGCATGAACACCCTCCACGTCCACCCCCGCTCCTCCGAGCTCCAGATCGTCGTCAAGGGCCGCCTCATCACCGAAATGACGCCCGAGAACGGCGTCGTCCTCGCCGCCGACGGAAAGACCCGCCGCGCCATCCGCACCGAGCTGGGACCCTTCCAGATGACACCCTTCTACCAGGGCTCTCTGCACACGCAGTTCAACCCGGACTGCGGCGACGCCGTCTTCGTGGCGAGCTTCGCGTCTGAGGATTTCGGCACCGGACAGGTTGCGGATAGCACCTTTGCCTTGACGGACGATGTCATCGCTGCTACCTTTGGGCAGAGCATTGCTGGTGCGGATATCGATCGCGTGCGCAAGGCTATTCCCGCTAGCATTGCGCTTGGGGTTGACGAGTGCTTGAAGAAGTGCAACATCCAGAAGCGTGCTTTGTAAGCTGGTAGGAGAAGCACTTGGGGGATATTTAATGGTGTTGGCGAGTGAGCGTTGTTGATTGCTGTAGAGAGCGTGGCATCTTGCATCTGGCAAGCGAGCATTTGGTTTGGTATTCGGATTATTGCATGGACTTTGAGCGTTTTGCTTTGGAATTCTTTCTCATTCTGTTTGCCCCCCCTTCATCCCCTTTAGCTAGCATTTGCGGTTTTGTTTTCGTTCGTTGTATCTAGATTTGGTGAGCAGCTCATAAGAAATACGTAGCATCGTGGAAAAAATGAAATACCCTGTATATACGCGGCTGACTTGTTGCAACTCTTCTCAAGCCTTAAGATAGCCAACTAACATCGATCATATACTGAGATATTATCATCCACGTCATACCTCGTGACACCGTGCAATCTCGCTGCTGTCATGCTCTAGCAAGCGTTGTAGTCAGGGCGGCTTGCTGCTCCTGCGTCGCCTCGAGAGGGTACTCTGTTACCGGCAACTGGAGGATGGCGAATGCTGGGACAGACACATAGGAACGATGACGTGAAAATCGGATCAAGGCATTAAGACATCATTGAGCATGAACGTTCGTTGATTGGTTGGACCGGACCGTATAGCAAGTGACAGGCCCAATAACCCCTGATCAAGGTCTGGACTACCCTAGAACAAACATCAACAGACGCTCGACAAGCCATCATGTCTTGTCCACATACCATTCCACATCACCTCCCGTTGCTCTCGGGCAATGCTCATCCACGCGGTCTCCAAGCACGTTCTCACATAATACAGTTCCCCTCATGGAATAAGATTTTCCGGTCCTAGATACCCCGCTTCCCCTCCATGTCATGACCGATGTTCCATTTCACATAAAAGCTTCCTCCACATGTTCCTCGAATAATATAATATAAGATCAAAATAATACGTGCGTAAATGGGTATAGATGAGAAGCAAGCCGATCCGAAAATATGTAAATGCTCCTCGTCAGAGGAGCCGAGTAGAAGATACCCGAAAGAAAGCTTTGCCTGCTCGTGTGGTCAACACGAGAATGCTAAGACAATAAACACTAGACTGTCGCGATAGTATCGCAGGGATTCGATGTATACGTCCAGATAAGTTGTTATGGATGAAAGTGCCATGTGTTACCGGCGTGTATGCAAAATTTGCCGCATGGTCGTAAGCAGCGGGTCGAAACGAAGAAGTGCCAGCAGCGCAAAAGGTACGTGGCAAGCGAGCTTGCCCAAGGGGTGGGAAGGGTACATCCGACCGAGCGGGCTGGTTCCGAGACAATCGAGGTCGGCTGGTGGCAGCAAAAGGACGGCGCTGCGTCGTGTTGACAAGCATGGACTTGGAAGCGAAGAACGGGCTGCTGCTGCTGGCTATGGCGAAAGAAAGAATACGACTATCAACTGAGCACACTCAGTAGAGGAACGTAGCTGCAACGAAGGCGATGACGAGGCCCGCAATGGCCCCACCGCCTTGCCTAACACCTTCGTTCTCCTTGGAGGTCGTGGCGGGCGCTGATTCTTCCGTTTCTGTGGCGGTGGCGGGCTTGGAAGTCGTGCTGTCAGAGTCGGAGGACGTGGTTGTCGAATTATCGTTCTCGTGGAACATGCCGGCCATGACACTGGGGGCACTTGACGTGGTCGAGGAGGCGGAGGTAGCTGCGCTGGAATCCTTGGAGCTGGAACTCTTGACGGCCTTGGAGGAAGGCGCAGCGGAAGAGGACGAGGGGGGCGTCGGGGTCGGTGTAGGCGTAGGAGTAGGAGTAGGCGTGGGAGTCGGGGTGGGAGTGGGCGAGGGAGCAGCGGAAGACTTGGCGACCTTGATTTCAACCTTGGTATCCTTCTCATTAGAGTCATCAGAGTCGCTTCCTCCGGAACCGTCAAGAGGGAAGACGATGATGCGACCCTTCTTTCCCTTGGGGACAGTGACAACGCAGTACTTGGCATTGCCAGCGCCGGTGCCGGCTTGGTTACTGGTCACCTCCCCAACAGCATTGGCAGAGGGGTCAATGGAGCAAGGAGTGCCATTGCAGCCGCCATCAGGGCACTCGATCCTGACTCCGTAGGTAGGCTTCGTGTTTTTGAGCGCGGAACCCTCCCAGATGGGGTTGTAACCGAGAGTGACGAAAGTTCGGCCCTGACCGTCTTGGTTGGCTCCCGCGACGTAGGCAGCCCAGTTACCAACTGCTTTTGAGGAGTCGCCCCAGATACAACCCTCATCCGTAACTCCAGGCGGGTTAATGTAGTAGCTAGACACCATTAGTCTCTTCATTTTGACCTATGTTCGAGACAGCGAACTCACTGAGCACTGGTGCTGCACCAGTAACTAGGGTCGGGAACAGCAAGGGTGATGGATTTGTCAATGACACTGGGAATGAGCATAGCCTCGTTGCCCGGCAGAACAGTTTGGCAGAAGGACAAAGTCTTGCCACATTTGTTGTAAACCTCAACAGTACCTGCTCCATCAACGCAGTAGGGAGAGCCCTTGATGGGCTTTGAGGCCTTGCCATCAGAACCACAGTACAAGCCACCGTTCTGAGCTGATTAGCCTGCGAGCTGCAGTGCGAGAAGTCGGGGGGATTCTTACCATGGACGACGGGTACGTGTAGGTCGAATCGGGCTCCCATTGCGCCATGACTTTGCCGGCTTTGCAGGCAATAGGGCAGTAACTTCCTTCAACACAGGCTTGATCGGGGCTCATAGCAAAGCCGTTGTTCATGGCACCGGGGACCTTGACCAGATCGCCATCGCTAGGCAAACTGCAAATGGCCTTGCCATCAGAAGTTCTCTTGATGACATCCCTCTCGGCAAGCGTCTCGATCTCCTCGTTGGGGCCCAGGCCGGACTTCAACTTGTGAAGGTGTCGGTGAGTTCCATCATGAGCCTCGGCGGGTTGGGCAGAGAGCAGGACCAAAGCCGAGCCCACGGCAGCCTTAATGGTAGAGAGCTTCATCTCGGAAGCGGGGTTTCGACAAGAGTCGATGTGGTTTCCTCCAAAGACAATTCAGAAACAGGATCTGATTCCTGGTGGTCGGCGCGTCGCGCAACGTGGTGACAACGGCGGTCGGATTTTGGCGTCCGGATTCAATGCTACAACATGGAAAGGCGAATTGGAATTGCAACAGCGCGTGAGCTTGTTGGATTCGTAAAGAACGTGATGTCTTCGAAAGCGAATGACTAGACAGCGAATGTCGGTGTAAAGAGCGGAACGTCTCAAAGCAGAGACTGGGCAAGGCGTAAGGATGCGGTGCAAGGACAAGAGAAAGAAAGAGGAGAATGAACGAGGGTGGAGGTGGCAGGATGGGTCGACGATAAAATGAGAGAGAGCAGCAAGGTATCCGGGGTGGGAATCGTTCAGCCTACTGGGCAAGCCGCAAAAGGCAGAAAGGTGCGTTGACAGAACCTTGCGCGCGATCCTCACCCTGTTGGCCATAACGGGGGGAAACTCGAGGGGGACCTGGGTGGACCAGGGCCCTTTGAGGGGCAGGCGCAAGGATTCTGGCTGGTCATGGCGACATTAGGCAATGGGCAAGCGGTGATGCTTGGCTAAGCCGGGGGGCGGTTGAGGCGGACAAGCGTCGATGCGACGAGCTTGATGAGAATCGCGCAGTTGGAACTCGGAAGAGTCGAAGACTGGCCGGGGGTTAAGGAGACGCAAGGATTCGAGGCCCGGGGGGAAATGAAAATGACATGGCCCCTCGACCTTGGATGAACTCGCCAATCAGACAGGGCCATCATCTCGGCAAAGCTTGACTTGTTCTTGGAAGGAGCCAATGAGAGATGTTGCGCATCCAAGCCGTTGCTGCCGTTTGGAGCCAAACGAAATGAGGGCACCTGTGCACGGTTCCCAACGGGGTCCCAGATTGCCCAGCCGGGGTCGACGAAGCACTCCAGACTACTCGGTACGTACCTGTATATACCTGCTTGTACCTGCATAAGTTTGCATTGTTTCCAGACTCGACCAATGAAGTCATGCACAATTTGAATGTATCCACTGCCTATATCCCATTCATCATCTCTGATTGGCTGTATCGACCAAACACTTCCAGTGTACGTACCTTTTGCCCTTTTGCCCTTTTCCCTCTCGCTTGCATTTGCTACCAGTTCCATCGCGTCCTGTCGTCGACTCGTCCAGATGGAAACTGGGAACCATCTCCAGAAAACAGGGGGAAAGAACAGACCGCACCGCTTCGTTGGTCGGCTAGGGAGCGTTGCCTATTTGGGCGATGAATGAGATGAGCTTTTTGGCGCCATTGACAATTCGAGCGCAGAGAGGTGCACTGGATTGACAAATTGGCACTCAGCGACCACCAAAGCTGGTGAGAGACCGCCGCTCGTAATGTCACACGCGCTTCCTGTCATCCAATCTTAACCTTCAAGCTTAATTCCACGTGCTGTCACGGTAGCAAACAGGCTGCAAGCCATCGGTTGCAGTGCACTGTACCTACGGATACTTGTAGTTGCATTCGATCCAGACTCGAAAGAATTTTCCTACCGCTTCCTGTCTTTAACCGACTGACTGTCATTGACTGAGACAAATGCTGTGCCACAGCCACCTCCTTGAACTGGAACCCGCATTCTAGTGCAACGAAAGAATGGGCGAGAAAAGACCGCATGAATCACGTCTTGGGTGGGCAGCGGGCTAGTTTAGTAGCCTACAGGGGAACACAATGTCTCGGGCGACTCTCAACGGTATCTTTCTGCCGCACTGGAACGCGGCAAAGCGCCTTCTTCAACATACAACGCCAGTAACGCCACACGACCCAGCGGTCTTGCCTTCTGCTTCTGGAAGAAAGTCTCCAATTGTCGCGATATCTGGCACAGAGTCCACTGTGCCGAGGCCTCTCCGTAACTTACCTAGTCAAGGTAGGTACTTAAGATACCTTACATAGATAACCGGAGAGTGGGCCATTCCTTCTCAACCCCTTCGTGCCCCTTTCGAGCCAAGACTTAGTAAGAGCAGTCTCTCAATCGCTGGTTGTCGCTCCGTGCAGGCTGGTAGGCTCGCACCACATACCGAAACGTGCTTGCCCTTTTTGAACCTCGTCCTCCGCCATCTTCAAACCTCCACCCGGTCACCCCCAGACCAAGACGGACTTCTCTTCCCTTTGTGTATGCCATGTCGTCGACTTGCTGAGCATTTGCTGCACAACTCCAGGCTCTCGAAGAAGAGGACATGCCGACCCCTTGCCCATGTGGGCGTTTTGCATGAGCCTCATGTCATGATTCTTCCTCCACTTGCAATCCACGTGCTCCGTGCTTTGCCTCTATCTCTACGGGTACGCAGCAGAGACATGACCTGGAAAGAGACCGAGCAACCCTTCGCCAAACGTCCCCATCGGTCCATCTCCATCTCGTCTGGGTGAACGAGCCAACGGCAGAGAACCTGTCAGGCCGTCTGTCAGTCGTCAGCAAAACCGCCGAACGCGATCTATCGACCAAGCCCGTGCGATAGATCTGGGGACGTCGTCTGTGGCCACTCCCTTCTCGGATACTGGTGACGGAGTAGGGAAATTGCGCCTACCAAATTGTGCGAGATTGCACCAGAGCTGGTGTGCCCAGCGTCCATTCTAGAGCGACTAGCTTTGTATTCGTACACTTGCGGCAGTCGCCGATACGCTCTATACTTGTAGTGTTGACCTCCATCGGCAGACATCATGATAGTTGCCTCACCCGATCAGCTTCACAATGTTGAGCTGGAAGCTATCCCTCCTAGCCAGCATTTCTTGAGCTTCTCCATGGATACATCTCGTATCCGAAGAGTGGCCCTCATCAGTTGCTGATCATTTGCAGTATTGGGTGGAAAGAATCTGCACTGTCGCTCTCCTAGCCATCAACCGAGAAATACGGCCTGTGGCCAGATCACGCCACGCCCGCTCTGTTACTCGCTTGGTTTGATGAGTAGGAACTTGAGCAGCGCTGTGCCCCGCGCTAATTGCTACACAATCAACTCTCCTCAGTCTTACTTGAGCTCTTTAAGAGCCCTGCACTGGAGCAACTCTTGACGCATGTTTCGTTGTGTCGGCCCGCTCTAGCAGCGGCTCTCGTATGCCGAAATGGAGATCACTAACCGGCCGACATCGGGTAGCAGCTAAGCTTGACTCAACAGAGCAGCCTCAACCCCACTGAGTGTACAGGCCTTCCTGTCCTGTTATCAGGACTCGGAACAATCGCGACCTCTGCAAACCTCTTGCGACATTGTTGATGGTCTGGTATTGCTCAATGACTGTCGAGAATCGCGTCTGTCATCAGTTGAATGGCAGCTTGGTTTCCGCGGTCGGCTCGTGGCAATTTGATTAACCTCCCGTGAGTTAAAGTGGACTGGACACACCAGCAGCTCATCAGCACTGATTTCGCAGTGAACGGGCTAGTCAGGGGCCAAAGAAACCATTGGGGACTTGAAGGGAACCGGCCCAAGTTCTCAACCACAACTTCCGACCAAGGTTGAGATGAAGCCTGGCACTGCGTCTTACGGTCGCGTGTTGCGGTATCGAGTAGTGGCTCACATCTCAAATACTGCTTTCTCATTCAGCTTGCTCTCTTCATATAGATGACGCCAGTCGGCATCCATAGCCGTATCCGTGACTTGAACTGCTTTTCCATGCGCAAAGATGGTAATCAGTCCCGTTTCATAGCGTTTACATTCAGCAGGCTGATGATTTCTTTGAGAGCCAAGTCTGCAAAGTATTTTGCTTAGGTCCATACTTTTCCAATTTCACCCACTGTTTCCTGCGCCTTTGGTTTTTCATCGCCTACCTCCAGTCTACTCTCCTGCACATCGCTGGTTGAGCCTCGAGGGTTCCGACCAATACCAAGCACGTACCGCTACTGTGATGTAATGGTTGGCTGTACGTTTTAAGCAACCTAATCCCAAACATAACCATCGGTTGATGACCAATTTCCCTGGCAGATCGAGGTCGGTTGCCGTGCGCAGGAGAAGCTTTGCCGCCTCAAATCGGCACGTGGCGCCTGCCGTTGTACACGCTATGCCTCCCGACTTACGGACGACTCGTTCGCTGTCGGGCAGGAGCCCGTGGTAGGTCTTTCCGGCGGTACACGCTCGTTCTCGTATCCGAGTATGAGTTCGTGCTTGAGTAGGGGTCTCTACGCAGTGAGCGAGAGAGACGACGCCCCAGTATTTGGGCCCTTTGAGACCTGGGAAGACAGTTTGCGCCGGATCATCTGCTATTCGCCATTCTCTTTTGACTCGGGAAAGTCATGTAGAGTTTTGTGGTATAGGTGAAGTAAAGCGCACATGGAAGTTATGTAATGCAGACGACATCTCCTCCCAAGACCAAAGCGGAAAGTATTCCTATACGTAGCATATGGTACCAAAACTGAACCACACGTAACTGAAGGATCTCACGAAGCTTTCAATGGGGTTTCCCCGACATCAGCGTGAGCTGTCCAGAAACCCTTCCCAGCTCCTCTTAATTCTTTCCTTGTCATATACCGGAGGCATGCATCTTGTCGTTGGCCATGCTTGCCTCGACTCTTGGCATACTTGAAGTCCCGAATATACTCAAGATAACTCCAATATGACCAATCCGAGCATCAGCAGTGTGATCAAATTCTGTCAGAGAAACTAACTTGCGGCAGCCCCTACCAATCTATCCATGTGGCGGAATTCCCCATGGTATGCCTTTAGCACTGAGCTGGGTTGAAGACACGATTATACGTACCTTTCATTCGAGAGTACATCAACATAATATGGTATCAGTCTCTTACGCATCACCCTCTTGCCTATAGGAAGGTTCATGTCTTCATGATGAGCTCGCTCAAGTCTAGAAGTCTGTCGTATTGGACAAGTCAAGACAACACAAGAGAATTATGAAAGAATAGGCATGCGCCAATCTTTGCGACCATATCTGTATCAAGTGATCGGCCCATCTTGCCTCGTCTTTCTCTGGCATACCAAGCACAGCTCCGAAGGTTTCGGCAAGCACCCAGCCTGTCCTCCATATGTCCATCACCCGCGGTCCCATAATGTCGGCACTTGTCAATGAGACGGGAGGTGGTCTTCCCGTCACTTCTTCGAGCTTTCAAGTGCCATCCTGAGGCGATTTGCTCCTGGCAGTCGTCCTCGGCCTCCTAGCGTAGAGGAGCACAGGCGATGAGACAGCTTCTCCAATTAATCCCTGCGTGCTGCCTGGGATCAATGCACATCATCCTCGCAGACGGTAGGAAGTCGAGATGGACGCGTAGGTTGAGGTAGATTGGTGCTCATGGAAGTCTGTCTTTGTCTTTGCCACAGCCTGCTACCTCTATAAAGGACGACATGACCTGTGGAAACATAAGTTCGAGCTTTTGATCATCACCCTTTGAAGAGTGTAAAGGATGAGGCTTCCGCATTCCATGCTTGAATCCTCTGGCAATGAAACTCGGAGTCTTGTTTGAGCAACATGACAGGAAGTAATACAGTAGACTTGAGCAGGCTGATATTGAGTATGCAGAGAGATACGGTCGCGTCTATCAATGCCCCAAAGCTTTTTGGAAGAGTCTCCCCCGAATTTCCTGGAAAATCTCACACGGAGCTGGAGAGACATTGTCCACTACCTTGTCTCACTTCAACATGAACACTCCCCATGTCTCACCGAAATACGGAAAAGGCGGATTTATCACGGGTTCCCGAATATGGCAAGTACAACAGTTGGAGATGGGTCACCCATTTGAGGGGTAATCTCCCTGCCTCCAAACGCACCCTGAGAGATCGGCCGCCCACAACCTCATCTGATTGGCACGCACATCAGATCTCGACTATCCGCTCAGGCAAACATAGGTTAAACACCAACAGACTACATCTTGGGGATGAGATGACCCTTCAGATTGAACAAGCCCTTCCGGCTTTCATGCCGGCTCCTAAAAAGAAACGTGGAAACGTGGAGAAAGCCCATTGTCTTGGGTTGCGTGCGTCGGACGAATTGGAGTCGCGCGTGGTCGCTTTGATCTGCAGCTCACCCGCATGCGATGCCTGCGACACACGCGTCATAAACTCCAACCTCCTCAACCCCACGCTCGAGATCGGCGAGAATGCCGCTTCCATCGTTGCATCAACTCCCTTCGGTAGTCCATTTACCGAGCTTGATACCGCAAGCTTCCCCTCATTGTTTCCCCATGTAATTGAATTAGTTCCCGTGTTGCCCCCTCTTCCCCACGGGGTAACGGAAATCCTACTAAAAAGGTAGCTTTATACCAGAAAGGTTCCGTCTTCCTGTGCTACCTTGTTTTGTTCCCTCGTGTGTTTGAGCTCTTCAAGGTCATCCCAACCTTTCACTCATCGTCTTCCCCCGTGCCATACCATCGACGACCCCCGGAGGATATAAATCGAGACCAGAAGCTCTCACCGGCACCATGGAGACCAACAAGCCCAGCGTAGAACAGGATGAGAATACTGTAAAGGGCGAGACCGAGAGTGTCGTGAAGCCCACGGCCTCGAACCCGACTCCCGTGGAATGGGCTCAACACTTCACAAGCCAGGATGAGGCCTGGCATAAGGCCATGGACAAGACTCTCCTACGTCGTGTAGACCGGCGTCTCATGCCGACACTTGTAGTCATGGTGAGTCTCAGAACATGAATGCACCTTATCAAGAATGCCATCGGGAGCTTCAAAATGTTCTGACATAGAGTAAAACACCACAGTACCTTCTCAACTTCCTCGACCGCTCCAACCTAGCTCAAGCCCGCCAGGGCACCCTCGAACGGGACCTAGGCATGACAGGAACCGACTTCAACCTCGCCACCTCAATCTTCTTCGTCGGCTACCTCCTGATGCAGCTGCCCTCCAACCTCTTGCTCACAAAAGTCAAACCCTCCTTCTACCTCGCCGCCTCCTGCTGCCTCTGGGGCGTCGTCTCGACCTGCAACGCCGCCGCCGACTCCTTCACGCACCTCATCATCATCCGCTTCTTCCTCGGCTTCGTCGAGGCCCCCTTTTTCCCGGGCGCCGTCTTCCTCATGTCCTCGTGGTACACTCGCGCCGAGCTCACCCGCCGCATCGCCTACCTCTACGCCGGCAACGCCCTTGCTAACATGTTTGGCGGGCTCCTCGGCGCGGGCATCCTCGGCGGTCTGGAGGGGGATTTGGGGATCGCGGGGTGGAGGTGGTTATTCATCATTGTAAGTCATTCCTGTCTCCTGTGAGAGAAAGATTCCAAAGTGTCCAAAAGAGAGAATGACTGACTTGGCAATACATCGACACAGGAAGGCGTAGCAGCCATCGCATTCTCCCTCGTCGCAATGTGGATCCTCCCAGACTACCCTCACACGACCAAGTGGCTCTCGGAGGAGGAGCGCGCCTACGCCGCCTGGCGCCTCATCGAGGACATCCAGGAGGCCGACACGTACGGCGAGCAGAGCGTCCTCGACGGCGTCAAGATGGCAGTGCGCGACTACCGTCTCTACATCTTTGTCCTGATGCAGCACGTCTCCCTCATCTCGCAGACGTTTCAGTACTTTTTCCCGACCATTGTCGGCACGCTGGGCTACGGCAAGATCACGACGCTTTGGCTGACTGCGCCCGCGTGGGTATGTTTGAATTCTTCCCTAGATTACCTTGTTTTGTGTCTTTCTACCTTGTGGGGAGTTTCGAGAAAGCCCCAGCTTACACACCCCTTTTTCAACAGGCCGCGACGTTCCTCATCTCGCTCTGCGTAACTTGGTCCTCCGCAAAGACAAAAGACCGTTCTCTTCATATTGTATGCCTAACGCTCGTCTCGGCCACTGGGAACGCCATCGCCACCGGCTCGAGCAACCTCGGCGCGCGGTACTTTGCCATGTTCCTCATGCCCATGGGCGCCATCTCCGCATGTAAGTTCTCCTTAGTGGCACTCAATATTCGCTTCCTCCTCGATAGCGAATGCAAATGACTGACCACAATCTTACTCCAATAGATCAAATCATCGTCTCCTGGGTAGCAAACTCCTTCCCCCGACCACTCGTCAAGCGGTCAGCCTGCATCGCCATCGCTAACATGATTGGCAACACGGCAACAATCTACGGGTCTTACAGTGAGTTACGAGTCTCGCAACCTTTCCTTCCCATCACGCTACAAGCAGTACTTGAATGGACTGACTGACTGACCAACCAACCCAAGTGTACCCCAGCAGCACGGGACCCCAATACGTCCCCGGCGGTAGCGCCAACACGGCAATCTGCGTCCTCGTCGCCATCCTCGCCCTCGTCCTCCGCTACCTGCACAAGTGGGAGAATAAGAAGCTCGAAAAGGCGGAGCTCGACGACGCCGCCGCGCTGGCAGAGGGAGGCGGCGAGAAGGCCGCGCCCGTCGATCTGAAGCAGGAGAGGAGGGCTGCCGGGTTCAGGTACATCTACTGAAGCAGAAGATGGGTTGACCATGAATGGGCCCTTTTGTTACGTCTTTTTGTCTGTTCTGTGTGGCGAGAGATGGAGCTTCTCTGCGTTTTTGTGGTGGGCCGATTTTGAAAGATAACCCTACTTCTATTGATGGCTTTCTGGACGGGAGTTACCCCGTTGTGGAAGGCCTTGACGAGTTAAGATACCTTGTAGCTTCGAGTTGAGAATGAATCATGTCAGAGACCCCGTCAAAAGGTCAGCGATAAGCTTCTCCTGTGCCTTGGAATGATCATTGAAACCCTTTTGTGCCAAGTGTCTATCGGAAGTGATGTTTCTTGTTGAACCCAGTGCTGATACGAGGACTATTTTTGTCAAGCAGTCTCTGCCAAACTGAAACAAGCCCATTGAGAAGTTCCGGGGTACAGAACGCAGATAATGACACGGGTGCTTGCCCGATGAAGTAGTGCTCATTCAATGATAAGTCAGTTTCGCATTGCAGAGGCGTTGAGTGCTGAGTTCCATCGAGACCGGAGAAACGCCGCTCTTGAGAAGTGTCAACATTATTGTAGAGGTGTGATTATTAGATCAAGATGATTGAATTGTGTTCAGAGACAAAATTACTCGATATTGGGTATAGTCCACGCAGACACCAATACCGGGATTGGCAAATATCTCCTAAAGTGAAGTCAAGTACAAACTGTCTCGTTTATATACAACCCCAACATGGTCCTTGCAAACGACATCCACACTTTCGCGTCGAGACTCAGATGAGCTCTGCCTCTAGCGAAGACAATATGAGGTCTCAAATGCTCTCTTGATCAGTCTCTCCAGAACAGTTTCCCGTTCTCTCGGAACAAGGCAGTCTCCACCAAACCTTCACCCATGGCTCCGACTCTACGAATCTGATGAACACGGTCAGACTTGCGTGTGCCACCCCAGTCACCTATAGTGTCAAGCTGAAGTAACTCCAAGCGGCAGCCTTGTTCACATATTGTCTCCCAGATCGACTTGGCAACCTCTGCGGGTGTCACCCCTGCCGCATCTGCCTCTATCGTCGTTTCGAGTTTTCTCTGATACGCACGAGCTCTTCGTCTGCACCCGCCATCTCCAGCCCGCACTTCAAGTTCAGAATGTCGAAGTGTCAGGTAGAGATTTCGGAGGCTCCGCATCCGCCCAAGAGACTCACTTGCCTCTATCATTTCTGATGAGCTCGTTTGAAACGTAGGTACAGTGATCGTGACTGTCAGATCCTGCACCCACATGCATGTCTTAGACAGCACGCACAAGTCCTGCGGCGCGATTCTGGGATACTCCTGCCTGGAATGAGAGCCGTAGGAGGGCCGAATGCTTAGCTTGCGCAGGGATCCTCCGAATTTGGACAACGCAAACTGGACGGCTGGTGAAGGTACTCGGCCCTCGAGCGAGAGGGATGTTAAGGCTGGCATGATGGCTAGGAACTCAATAGCGACGTCTCCACGGTTCGCGACCCCCTCCCAAGCAGGTCGGGGGCCAACGATAACTTCATTGTAGTTTAACTCTAGACTTTCGAGTTTGTGGAATCTGGCATGCGTTGTAAGCCATGGTAACTCTCCAGGACTTGCGGTCAATCTCAGATGACGCAGTGCCGCGAAGTCCGTCGCCCTGAACCACGCCATGAGCCTATCAGGGTTGGTTTTCTGTAGCGTCAGAGAACACAGTGAACCGAGCTCTGGTGACTTCAAGATCCTTGAAAGATCCTTCCCAGATATGAGACTGTGGTCGAGTGTTTGCGCGATCAACGCTTGCAACTCATTCTCGAAATCTGCGTCGTATTTTCGCTTATGTCTGCCTCCGAAGAATGGTTCCAGCTTCACTATCTTGAGATTCGGTGATAGGCCTCCAATGAGACGTAGCATGACCGATTCGTTTGTATGCGCAATTGACGTCTGGTAATACTCCTTTATAGAGATGCTACGCAGTTGGGGCGCAAGCAGAAGTGCGACATCATGCGCATTGATAGCAGCACCTTCGCTGCAGTGAAGATCGAAACCATTGAGTTCCAACCGACAGCCTGGGTGATGCGTGCGAAGGGTTTCGAGGAGAAGAGGCGAAAAGCTGCTTTCATGTTCAATGACCATGTCGGTCAGTCCGGGCAGGGCTTCGAGCAGTCTAATCATGGGAGTCCACGCTTCGGGATCGACAAAGGCATCGCGGAGGCGTCGGTTCTCTGGCGACCTATGCTTGAAATAGAACGAGGTTTCCTTTGGAACCGGTAGTATCATGTGTCGATCAGGCGAGTAGAGATCACTGTGAGGGAGCGACTTGTCTAGGAACGTCATCTTCAGGCGCCTGACATGCCTGGCGGAGTTTGTGCGCCCCAGAACTGCGAGCCAGGAATCGACATCGCGCTGTAGCCTCCGAGGATGCTTGACGAGGATGTGGATGTCGCGGAACAAGAAGCAAGCGGCGGCGGCATGGAAGGCTTTGTTGGTGAGGGAAAAGGAGGACAAATCTGGTCCGGCAATGCCGTCGAGATGCCCCGCGATGCTGATGAGGGTCTCAGCCGGAAGTATGTCTAGTATTCTCGCGGCCATTGTCGCTTCAGTCGCTCGGCAGGTATCGCAGTCGAAAAAGAAGCACTAGGCGAGGATGAAGAAGGATAATCAGAGACATCGTGGGTGGGCTTGCGTCAACAAGAGACAGAAACGTGTTGGACGAGGGAAAAAGCACCTCCTCGGGCGAGGTTGGCTCACTTGCATTGTTTGCTAGAGAAGAGTGGGTTTGGAGTCCTGATAGGGAAAGGGAAGGATTGGTTGGTGCAAGAACGCAAACCAAGCCCGTCACCAACCAACGACAATCAGGAAGTCGGAAGCCGTGGGCCGGCTTCCAACCGACGCGGGAACGGAAAAGACGCCGGGCTGGGAAGGTGTTGGCCGAGACAGTTGGGTTGAACCGTCAAAGTAGGTGAGCTCTGCTTTTCCAGTGGCCAACTGCAGCTTGGCTGCTCAAAGTACTAATGATGGAAGTGATTACCTCGGAAGAGACGACCTGGGAGAGTTTCTAGGATCACGCATGCAACATCCCCGTGACCATGGTGACTTGAGAGAGAACCACCAAAATCCAAGTCCGAGAAGCCAAGCAGAGCCTCAATTAGGTTGGTGACGAAGAGGGAGTAAATCATCTGTCAGAAAGGGGGGGGTAGCTGACAGTTCAGCGTTGGTTTGCCGGTTTGAGACACATCTCAATTAATAATGTCTCTGCTTAAGCGAAGCGGCACAGCTGTCTTGCGGCTTGCTTGGGTAACTCACAGCTCCCCGTCGGCATTTCCCATCGTAAACCCGGCGCCTCTCCATCCCCATGCGATAACGTAGTGGTCAGCCAACAGCTTCCACTCCTCCACCTCGTCGAGGCCCTCTAAACGGTCCACTCTCTCCTTTTCCTCACTTGGCACCCAGCTTTCCCAAATCCGTTCCACGGTCAGCGCCTTGGCGTGTTCGAAGCCTGCATCGCGGAGACGCTGCGTCTGATCCTGTGGCAGCTTGTAATTCTCCAGAGTAGGCATGCGTATTCTCCTTGCTGCAAGGTTGGAGGTCATCATCTTGCCGAAAGGGTCGTCAGGCCTGATTGGTTCGTACACCACAATGGCGAGATTGGGGATCTTTTGCTCAAACAAAGACACGACTTGCTTCGTTATAGATGTCTCTAGGTAGCAGAGGCAGCATTCTGAGATGAGTAGAGTAGGGATGTCTGTTCTGATGCCCGCAAGAGGTGTTGCGCCGTCCTGCACCATTTCTCTGAGATCCCGTGCATGACAATAGTATTTGTCTGATGCGGATGGCTGACAACTCCATGAACCGTCTTCCTCAACCGAGGGGACTCCGAGGATGTTTCGCAATGGAGGGGCTGCTTGCACTATACGTGCCTTCTTGCGAACTGTGACTGAGAAATCTATCTCATGGTAGACAAGCTGAGGCCTTTTTGCCCTGGGAAAGAGACGAAACGGGCGTGTGTCGGTGCCAGCGCCTAGTGAAATGATTTGTCTCTCATTTGAACCAGGTTGCGCACTGTCAGACCCGTCCAAGAAGCTGTCAATGAGATTATCGAGAGCAACGGTCCTCGTATAAGTGCCTGAGATAGCGGTCAGCCTCCATACTCGACGGAAGCAGACCAGAGACACGGACCTCGATTGATGATTGGGAGTCTCCTTGGAGGGGGTCCATTGATGTTATCAACAAAGAAGTGGGCGTAGGAGTCGGCGAGATATCCGACATTGACAGCACTCAAACGTGAGCCGGCAGCGTCATCGTCAGTTCCCTGAATCGTCTGATCGTGAGTCGGGCCGGAGGATGAGGGGCCGCCGCCGGGACCTCTTCCGCGCCCGCGACCAACCCGGCCACCTCTCGCTCCGCGGAGTGAGAGCAGGTTTGGTATTGGATTTCCAGACATGAGGTATGCTGTTGCGGGGGAGCGGCCGTGAGGTGGAAGATGTTCCGGGAACAGCGTTAGTGAGGTGTAGGTGCGGGTGACGTAGGAGGGAAACTGTTAGGTGGGGCATCGTAGTGCAACGCTGCGTGTCAATCAGTGGAATAGGGTATGGCCCGTGCCCAGACGCCTCTAACGGTCCGGAGCCGACTCCGTTGTCCACTAAGGGCCGGTGCCTGTGCCTGGCACTCCCCGCAACGTCGTCTTCCATCTTTTGCTAAGAGTTGACGATATATCCGCAATAGTCTTCGAAACTTAGAGTAAGTTTGAAGTTCTTGTAGACTTGATTGTCAGTTTGGCTGACTTCTAAGTCATCAAGCTTGACCAGGTACCTATGTTCCGAGCATTAGATCGCCGAAACCACTACTCACTCATACCAGACACCCGAGCCCTTTCCAGCACTCACCTCTCGTACGAGCATTCGAATCTGAATATTCGAGATCAGTCGAATAAGCAACATCTATCAGAGCGCTGCTTGCGAATGCTGAGGATCAGAAAGATGCAGAAGCTACCTAATACCTTTGGCGTTGAAGTGGAATGAATCCCTCAGGATTGGCTCTTACCTGGACCGGATCTATTCATTTCTCTCTTTTCAGCCAACACGAAAAGCGTTCTACCGGGTACCATAATTAGAAAGAATACGTCGAGAGCCAAAAGCATGATGGCATCCGATGAGTTGACAGAACCGACTACTCGTAGATTAGAATTACAAAGTCTGACACTGACTGCTCAATGCCAACACATTCCGAGTCACCGAAACATACACTTTGCCAACGAAATCAAGACATGGCAGCGAGATGAATATCTGGACAGCAATGGTACTAACACAAGTGCTTACAGATCTATCGAGCCAATTTGAGAAGAATCTACGTGCAGACACGGATGCCAGAACCTCAAAGCTCGGCTTTGAATGAGTTATACTCGAATTATAATGTAGTCTTCTCGGAAGTAGTGGCCACAAGGTCTAATCAACACCGAGCGTGCATGGCTCAACATTTTACCAATGAGTTGTAAGGTAGACATCGTCAACAAAGACACTACTAAGGGGGCCAGCGTCTGAAAGGACCCCCAAACAGATGTGCGAATCCTTTCGGATATGTCGGGGTTGGGCACCCCGTGACCGAATAAGCTTCAGGAACACGCGCCGCTCGTTATTCGATGGTCTACAAAGTTTCTTGGAGGGATCGTCCGATGTCACGGATGGCATAGAGACTTTTTCGAAACCGACGAACAGAGTCCGATGCCAATCATGCAAAGACAGGACACTACACAGTGAGAAAGTAAAGGCCAAATAACAGGTTTCATGCAGGCGGCCTCCTCTCCCCCAAAAGACCAAATGGCGAACAGAGCCGTCACGGAATAAGGCGACGCAAGCATCGAATATCCCAAAGTCGACAGCCTCGTAAACAGGTCAACTTTGACCGGGCGGCAACACGTTACCCTGATCTCGACGAACAAAATGGAAGAAGCAAGTGGAAAAGCGCGAACCGGCGTGAAGTTGTAGGCATTGCAGGTAAGCAGGCATGCAAGCTGGCGGCACAGAAACCTAGTTCCAGCAGCCCAACAGCCCTGCCCAGCGGTACCGCTCAAAGCCAAGATAGCCATGGAATGACAACTCGATGACTTTCATAATCTTGGCTTTAATCCACATAATCGCTTCAATGGCCTTCGCTCTTCGTCACTTGTCGCTTGTTCCTCGCTTGTCCGAGAATTAGAGGCCGTATGGTGCAGCGCATCGCCATTGCTCCGTTCCACGATACCGCCCATTCCGTTGGCTGCTGGGGAGGCGAAATGTCCAATGTGGAAGGATTTAGTGGGGCACGGAGAGTGGCTGTGTCAGCCTGCTGCCTGGTGGAAAGCTGCCGCTATCCACTAGGTCGTGCATCCACGCCTCCCCAAGATCCCGGGCGGCGTACTTCCCTAGGTACTGGTAGGGTAGTAATTCCTCTGCAAGGTACTTTCCTCCCCGGTGCGTCTCACGCGTCACAACAAAGTACCTCGCTCAGTAGATTGAGGTGAGGTGACCCCCCGACGCAGGAGCTGCGCAGTGACCAGTGACATGTTCAAGTGAATCGCCGCCTAGAGCTCGTTTCCCTTTTGACGTCTGACACCCCTCCATTTCCTAACGATTCATTCTTTCCCTTCATTTAAAAGAACCTTCAAACTCCAACATTCGTACTTTTCCCAGCATCATCATCATCGTCATCTTGATTTTGGGAGCCGAGCAAACCGCAATTATGTACACGCGGCTGCAGCACTTTGCCGACGCCGTCTATAAGAGGGCCGTCGAAGAGACTCCTCGCGAACCCCAGCTTCCCGGCTGGTCCTTCTGGGTCTTCCTCGCCGACTTCATCGTCTTCCTCCCCATCATCCTCTGGGTAAGCCTTGTCTCCCGCCTCACTTCCGAGGCCACTTTCAGTCTGGCTCTTCATATGATGAACTCTTTTCCACTAACACATGCACCGTCTAGACTTCCTACACCCTCCACCAGGTCTACCCCATCTTCGCCATCGTCGAGGACGAGAACCCGCCCGCCTACGACCCCGTCAACCTCGCCGAAGATGAGGGCGCCATCCCCTCCGCCGGCCCCGAGGTTCGCCCCGACGGCCCCGTCCCCCAGACAAAGGTGACCGGAGGCCGCCCCACCACCGTCACCTCCTCCATCCGCTCCATCAACCGCCTCCTGACCACCTACGGCGGCTGGCGCTCAAACTTCCGCGGCTTCGGCGTCTACTTTGTCCAGGCCCTCGCGACCAACTTCCTCTTTGGCATCTTCTCCTCCTTCCTCCCGGACATCCTCGCCTCCCTCGCGACCCTCCTCTCCGCCCTCGCCCTCGTCCAGCTCTCCGCCGTCTGGGTCCACATCGTCATCACCCCCTCGAGCTCCGACTACTTCTGGAAGCGCCTCCCGCCCTTCAAGCGCACCTTTGACGCCACCGCGAAGCCCGTCGCCGCCTACTGGCTCGCAGAGCAGGTCGCCACCTGGGTCCCCATCGCCGTCGGCTGGGCCCTCGGCCTCGACCTCCCCAACTTCCAGTTCGGCAAGCCCAACTCGGTCGTCTCCCAGCCTCAGAGCTCCGACGCCTGGAAGAGCATCGTCATCACCCTCATCAGCATCGCCTTCCAGATCATCATCGTCATCCCCGCCCACGTCGTCCTCGTCCGCGTCCAGGCCTCCCTCATCCCCGAGGAGGCAAACACCATCATCCCCTTTGACCGTTCCTTCGAGGGCAAGGTCGAGCCCCGCGTCGTCGGCGGCAAGGGCTACGCCACCATGGACGACGCCTGGAGCGGCTTCTCCCGCAACGCCTGGAAGCGCCTGGTCATCCTCTACGTCAAGATTTTTGCCGTCTCCTTTGCCGCTTTCGCGCTCATGGCCGCCGTTGTCATTCCCGAGATTATCGTCTTCAGCAAGCTCGCTAAATAAATGTTTGGCTAGCATCTGAAATCTACAGGCGCCATCTCTCTCTCAAACTCTTCGGCAATTGCACTTATGTAATCGGTTACCCCCTTCAAGGCTCGCAAGGATGCGTTGATGGGAAGAAAGGGGATAAAGCTTGAAACGCTGTGGTTGTATTTGCGCATCACCATGCACTAAATCGTCTCTTAGCTAGCTGAATAGTCTCTGCTTTGTGTCTTGTTATCACAACTCCATACCCCAAATAAAACAGATTGAAAGATTGAAATCACTGCATCACCATAATCGTCATCATCAGAACGTGAGCAGCTAAAGTCTTTCTTTCTAGTGTCATTAAACCGTCAAATGTCTTGGGTTTCGTAAGTAGTGAGGTCCTTTCGTGAACAATACCAACTCCCCAGACAATGCAGCAACGGCGGGGAAAAGGCAAAAAAGTTTTGCCTCGTCAGCCGCTCTTCTCATCCATCCTGTATGTTCTCGTGGTGTCGGTCGTCCACCCTCAAACACAAAAAAGGGATCTCATCATTTCCCTTCGACCCTCCTCCCTCCCACGGCCACCAAAATCCTCCTTTCTTGACCGACAATGACAAAAGACCGCCCAGAAACTTGCTTGTCAAGCCAGAATCCAACAGCAATGCAAACCCGCCCAAACAAAAGAAACAGGAGGAAGAACAAAATTCAACATCAAAAGAGAGAGGGAAACCTCTTCTTTCCCGGTTCCGTAATTTGTGCTCGAGCTTGCATGTGAATCTTTTGCGAATTTCGTCGTCTTCTTTTCCAGTATACTGACCAAGGAAAACCAAGGTGAAGAAAGGCCTCTGTGAAGAGCAAGGGGATCTTGCCGCCGCCAGGATCAACACAGTGGGGGGTATAGCGGTCTAGTCCGCACCAAGCTGTGATCTAACTTGTACGTTGTGGTGTGTCTATTCAAAGGGTTAGGGCGTACTTCCCTGTACGGTCTCTCGACGTCAGGGTGCCCCAAAGGATCAAGGGTATAACAGGGCATGCGGTATGCAACCTAAGACTTCTGAGAGAAGAACCAACTGCTTCGCTTCCCGGCACTGCCCTCGTTCTGCTGGATGCTGTTGATGACAGGGATGGAAGGTCCCTGGTTATCAGCACCACCACCACGGAGGGGTTTGGCGATGCGGCTGCCAGCACCAGAGAAGCTGAAGCCGCCCAGCGAGGGAGAGTTCAGGCCGCGAGTGCTGCCAGCCTTGGCTGCCTCCAGCCTCTCCTTGACAGCAGCAAGCTGAACCTCAAATCTAGAGGGTACGAATTGTTAGCAATGGTACGGCGCAAAGCAGAAAAGGACAACAGAGATTGAGGGATTGAAGGGTAGACAGAAACATGGATCGCAAGGGGGTCGTACTTGTGGTTCGCAGAAGCCATCTTCTCCTGGCTATCCTGTAGCAGGCTCTCCAAGCTCTGGATGCGCTCGTTACGAGCAATGAGTTTACGCTCAGCAATGGCCACCTCCTTCTTCAGTGCCGAGTTCTGCTCGACGAGCTGGCGCTGAACCTGAGTAAGCTGCTCAAGGTTCCTCTCCAGGAAGGCCATCTTCTTCTGTTGGGCCCGGTTGTTGGATGAGCGGAGCACGTTGTTATACTGCTCTCTTGTCTCGTCAAGCGAGATTTCGAGCTCAACCACACGTTCGCAACGGTTCTGAAGATCGCGCATAAGGCTCTTCTTCATAATGTCGAATTCCGCAATCTGTTGCTGAATCGACTTGCCGTTCGCCATGGGCGCAGCGGTACCAGCCTTGACTCTCTGTTGGAGATCCTCGATAAGGGTCTTCATCTTGGAGTTCTCGGCAGCCTTCTGGGCAATCTCAGCCTTGAGCTCATCAACAAGCTCCATGGACGTTGTTTGCTTGTTGGAGTAGGCACTCTCCAGGCGAGCTTTAATCTCCTCAACATCGTTCTCTCCGAGGTTGCGGGTCAGGAGCTCCTCGTACTCCTGCTGGAGAGCCGAGAGGCGGTCTTCGAGCTCGGCTCTGCGGCGGGCATCGGCTTCGCTCGAGGAAGCACTGTAGACAGACAGCTCAGCTTGTCTGACGATTCCTTGGATCTCGACGAAGCGCGACTTGAGAGCCTGAAGCTCATCTGGGTTGACAACTTCGCCAGTGGAGCTGACCTCGTGAAGGGCCTCCAGTTGGGAAATAGCCTCCGAGATGGCCTTCTCGTTGTCGCTGAACACATCGGCGCCGAGGTCGAAGCCAGCCATCATCTTGGCCATCTTCTCAGCCTTCTTCTTCTCCTTCTCATCGAGGACGGCACTTGTTTCCTTGGCGCTCATCTTCACGTCCAGAAGCTGCTGCTTGACCTCGTCTAGCTCCGCAGTCAGCTCGGCATTTTGCTCCTTGAGCGCGTCCATGGTGATCTGCGCCTCCTTGCCCTCAAAGGTAAGTCGCTCAATCTGCATCTTGACCTCGTTCACCTCCCCATTCAGCTTCTCATTTTCCTTCCCAGTCTTCGCATCGTGCTCCTTGAGGTAGGCAAGCTCCTCCTTGGTCTCCCGAAGAGTCTTTTCTGCTGCGTTGTACTGAGACTCCTTCTCGGCAATCTGGTCCTGGAGCTCATTCTCGCGGCGCAGGAATTCGTCGCGCTCATCCTTGTCGAGTGGTAAGCTTGGTGTTCCTGATCGCTCGGAGATGGCTGGGGTCTCGGATCTGCTGTCGGGTAGGAGGCGGGATGGTGTTGAAGGACGAGGCGCCTTTGCTTCGGCTTTGGTCCCGGCTACGCCATCTGCGGACAAGGGGGCCACCCATCTGTCCTTGGGAACGGCCTCTCCGGCACGCCAGAGCTGAACTTCGCCTTCCAAATTTGAGAGATACGTTTCGAAAGTCGAAATTTGGCCTCTGGCCTTGCCGAGCAGTGCCTTGAGTTCGGAGGGACTGAGCTCGGCGTTGATCTTGGCCTTGTTCTTGATAGCCTTTGCACGAGTACCGAATCGGAGGGTGCCGAGGGTTTCAGCGTCGTTGTAACTACTGGGAGAGCAATTAATGATGAGTGTTGTCCGACTGTTACCTCCCAGAGATTCTTGGAGAATACGGGTCAATTTGGAATCGCGGTAGGGGACGTGGGATGATCTGCCGTCGGTCAAGGCGTTGATGACCATTCCGAGAGCACTCAAACTCTTGTTGATCTTCTTTGCTTCCTCCAGCGTCTGACCACTGGCGCCGGTCTTTCCAACCTTTTCGCTACCGGCCAAATCGACCAGGAAAAGCTGACCACTCTTTGCCGATCCGGTCTCGACATTCTTTTGGGTAATGGTAACGACGAAGATGGAATGCGAACGGGAAGATTCCTGGTTCATGTTGGTTGCAGAAACGGCTCGGGCGTTTCCACCTCTTCTCATAACCTCGTATACTTCCTGGACGCTGGAAACATAGACCTCGAGAAGGCCCTTGACGTAGACACCGCGATTCTTTTCTTCGTGGACGGGAAGGTTGTCGTTTTGGGGCGCAAGCAAATCGCGAATCCTCTCCATGTAGATTTCCATATAACTGACTCGAACCGTGTACTCGATAGTGCTGGGACTAGACATGATACTGGCGAAGATTTGTTCGACGATACGGGGGATAATACCTCGGCCCTCCTCGTCGTCGATGCTGGAACCCATCATGGTGTAGGATTTTCCGGCACCTGTCTGACCATAGGCAAAGACGGTTCCGTTGTAACCATTGAGAATATCGTCGACAGTCGATCGGATGGAAAAGTCGAAAATATCGGACTGCTTACATTCCATGTCGAAGACACGGTCGAAGGTAAAGGAGCCCTGGGCCTCCTTGGACTAGAGAATTATATGAGTCAACTGAGTGCCCGCGTGCGCGATGTCAAGCACCGAGTAGAGAGGCACTTACGTCGAGGGTACATGTTTCCTCGCTGCTGAAGGAGACAATAGGCTGGCCGCCCGACGCCAGTTCCACTTTGTTCTGTGGACGGAATCGGGCGACGACCTTGATACTGTTGTTCGCGCCAGACATGGTGACGGTATTTCAGACCAAGCGAGGTCGAAGCCGGGGTCGTGAGGTTGCGATCGGGACAAGATGCTGCGAGATAGGGGGGTTTGTGGTTGCGAGGCACTCGGCAGCCGCAGCTCGGCAACGGGGGGGTTGTGTTGAAAGGACACACACAAACAAGGCGGGTGGGATGAAATGACGGTGTGCGGATGTGGAAAGGCTGCTAGAATGACATATCGCAGGTCTTGCAGGGCGATGATGCAAGGAGAAAGGAACAGCGACAGCACAAACCAGCGGCAGTAGCAGCCAGAAAGGCAGTCGGTCAGAAAGCGAGAGAGGAGGGAGATGTGTGGTTGTATTGTTTGGAAAACGGGTTTTGGGGGGGCTTTTGGGGGGTTGAGATGCAAATGACAGGACGCGCTAGAAATCGCGTAGAATTATTTGATGGTAGCAAGACAAAGCACAGAATGCAGGTGCAGAGGGGGGGAAGTAAGGTCCACGGGTACCTTCCCACAGTTCCTTCAGTTCCCATGGAAAGTCACAAGTCACTGCTAAGGTAAGGTAAGGTAAGGTATTCAGGCCCAAAAACAAACCAATCCCATCCTGCCATGGTCACTTCACGCTGGTCGTTTCATCCCCACCTCGTCGTCTTTCCCAAAGCACAGCCGAGGGGTCCCCGTCCCAGATGGGTAAAGTCCCCTGTTCTCCTGCTGGAATGGACGGATACAGCAGCACGCATCGCCCATGTAGTGCCCAACGGGACTGGCTGCACTTGCACACTGACCATGACGGGCAGGCATGTTGGTACTACAGATGGCCCGGCGCATTGCACACTAATTAAAGGAACATCCGGCCGAGCACGCGACAGAGATTTGCTGACGAGAGTTTGCATTTTGCACGGTTGACCAAGTGGACTGAGAGTTGGGGACTGGCCTTTTGGGCGAGTCTTGTTATGGTGGACTGCTCCGCTTTCGCCTGTGAATTCATAATAACAACTACGGGCCGCATGTTGTTCAACAGATTTGGTATTTCGCTACTTATGAGGTCCCAAATGCACTTCCCACGAACTCCCCTGTAAAGCCAGATGAAGACGAACCTAACGTCACCGACGACGGGTGACTCAACGGATAGGAAAAGCAAAGCACGTCCACGAAACGCCTATCGCAACATGGGGTCGCCCCAAAAGCCACTTAGAGAGGACAGCACGAGCCGAAACGCCAAATACCCCCACTCCCACCTCATCGGGTACCCCAGTTGCTTAATGCGAAGAAGATCAAGACATCTGTCTGGCCAGCCCTGGGTGTAGCTCATGTCAATCTGCCCCTCGTTCGACCCTCTAGCATCCCCTCACAGCCCAGCAGCTTATTCCTACACGAGCCATACCCTGCTGAAGTAAGGCGCGAACATTCTTGTTCATAACTGTCGTGTGTATGTGTCGTGATAATCATGTCGATTTAATCGTCCCAGCTCTTCTCGACAGTCTCACGAACCCGCTTCGTGTACTCCTTCCGGTTGTCCTTGTAGAGGTTCGACGCTTCAACGTTCGCCGGGGAGCCCGTGTTTGGGTCGTTAAGCAAACTAGTAATGCGAGTTAGCCAAAAATCGGCTCCTGGCTTGCAGAGTGGCACCCGAAATCTCTCGAGTTGGACATCTCTCACCTCTGAATGCTCGTCAACACAGCCGCGACATCATACGTGGGGCTCCAGCGGTTCTGCAGGATGTCCAAGCAAAGCTCTCCAGTAGCGTAGACGTTCGGGTGGAACATCTGGCTGATGAACTTGACCGCAGGTGGCTTGTTGGGGTACTGCTCCTCGAACTGCATAACGAGTCTGAAGGTACCGTCTTCGAATGGGGTATCGGCGGGACCAATAATCACGGCGTTCCTAAAGCATGCCTTGTCAGTCGCCGTTGGCACATTCGGGAGACTCGGGGTTTGGTCGAGCATACCAGGTCATGACGTTGTCGGGGACGGGCGAGGCAGAAACGCCAGCGGGAGGATCAGTCTGCATACGCTACTCATTGCGTTAGGACCAAACAGAAAATACTGTCATTCTGAGCATCGTAGCTTACCTTGAAGTCGCGCATCAAGCGACGGCGGGCAGCGGTAGACATGGTGGCGGTCGGTGACTGATTACCAAGACTGAGGGGTCAGAGGATCGCAACTGCCGTCGAGGAGGGACGGACGAGAACCGGGCGGTCGGTTCAGAGCGTGGGGGATCGGCGTATATATCCTTGCGGGATGTCGGGAATGCTGAAAAGTCTGGAGATCTCCGTCACTTACGATGTGTGATGAAGAAAGTTGTAGAATGGTCGTATGGATCACAGGCGAGAGTCCAAAAGAATGGCGCGGGAAGCACTCGCCTTCACCACCGCCTTCCGCTTGGGCCAGTGAGTGGGTCTCACATTTTGGTCCAATCATGTTGAGCGATTCTAAGCGCCAATCGCCCGATAACAGAATGACACTCAAGAGTCTCCAATATGATAGGTAGGTACCAAACGCCCGCGGAAGTCACGACTCAAACCTCCCGTCTGTCCATGACACCGTCTGGACCGCAAACTGAATGGAATATTCAACTGAGGTGCTTCTGACAGACACTTGAATGGGTTTGGCTCATGCATATCGCTTGTTATTTTGCCATTTCGGCGAGAATCGCACCTAACTTACCTCAAGAGGCAGCATACCTATAGAAAGATACTCAAATGCACCAACTCGCATACTAGCGGGGTGTAGCTTTTCTTTCGCATGTACAGACCCAGACATTGTTTGAAGGTTGACTTGTTCAATATTTATAGTTGCGCTGCAAGATTGCCATTACGGTGATCATCCGTATGCCGCGAAATTCCGGGGGAAAATGTCATCCAAAATGCAGGCAAAGAGTGACATCGCTGCTGCAGCAGCCGGAACCGGTTCCACCCCTTTGGCCCGACGAGCTTTCCGAGCGGAATTGGCCCTACTTCCACGGTCCGGGGTGGGGGGTCGGTTCCCCCAAGGACCTGGGGGAAACTTGGGAAGTGACCTCACTCCTCACTTAGAAGCTCGGCCCCGCCCTTGTACCTCTCAGGCACCCCCCTCTTAAGCCGAGGAAGACCGCAGAACCTGGGGTATTATCATCCCGCGCCTTCCACATGCTCGCTTCATCCCTCTCGAAGTAAACTGTCAAGCCACCATCCTATCTTTTTTTCCCTTGCTCCTTTTTCCCTCTGCAAGATCGTCTCAAGTCGCCATTACTTTGTGCATTTCTGCTGCGAAATACCGGATACCATTTGTAGCATATTCCACCATGTTTATCAGACAATCATCGAGGCTTCCTAGCCAATTGGCTAGGCAAGCGGCTTCCCGTCAGTTCTCCACGCGAGCTGCGCTTCGGCAAGAGATTCGGGACGCATACATTATCAGTGCCTCGAGAACACCGACAGCGAAGGCAAGAACAAACGGTTCAGTAAGCTTCTGCAAAGCTTTCATAACTAACACGGCCGACAGTTCAATGGCTCATTCACGAGTGTAACTGCGCCGCAGCTGGGCGCCGTCGCTATCAAGTCCGCAATCGAAAAGTCCAAAGTCCCCGTCGACAAGATCACCGATGTGTACATGGGTAATGTCCTGCAAGGATCTGTTGGGCAGGCGCCGGCTCGCCAGGCTCTGATCTTTGCCGGCCTCCCGTCTAGTGTGGAAGCGATCACCATCAACAAGGTCTGCGCATCCGGCATGAAAGCCGTCGTTTTTGCCGCACAAAACATCCAGCTCGGTCTGTCGGAGGCGCAGGTTGCTGGTGGCATGGAGAACATGACGAGGGTGCCTTACTACGTGCCCCGCGCTTCTAGCCTGCCGCCATTCGGGCATGTCCAGATGGAGGACGGCCTGATCAAGGACGGGTTGACTGACGTCTACGACAAATTCCACATGGGCAACTGCGCCGAGAACACGGCTAAGAAGTACGAGATTTCTCGCGAGATGCAAGACGAGTACGCTATCGAGTCCTACAAGCGCGCTCAGGCTGCGTGGAAAGCCAACGCCTTTGCCGAGGAGATCGCTCCTGTTACTGTTCGCGGAAGGAAGGGCGACACAGTCATTGAGTCTGATGAGGGATACCTCGACGTCAAGTTCGACAGGGTACCTACTCTGAAGCCGGCCTTTGTGCGCGACGGTACCGGCACTGTCACTGCTGCCAACTCCTCCACGCTGAATGACGGTGCCAGTGCACTTGTTTTGGGCAGCAAGGAGATTGCGCAAAAATACGGTTCCGGTTCTCGAGTGCTGGCAAAGATCTGCGGCTCGGCCGACGCCGCGGTTGATCCTATCGACTTCCCCATCGCTCCAGCCAAGGCAGTACCCATTGCACTTGAGAGAGCGGGTATCACCAAAGACCAAGTCGCCGTATGGGAGTTCAACGAAGCTTTTGCCGCTGTCATTAAGGCAAATGAAAAGGTATCATAAGCGTCCACGATCAATCAATCAATGAATCGCGACTAACAGCCATTGCGTAGATTCTCGGATTGGAGGGTGCTCGAGTTAACCCTCTCGGCGGAGCGATCTCCCTCGGCCACGCCCTGGGTAGCTCCGGATCACGAATTATCGTCACTCTGCTGCACCAGCTGAAGCCTGGCGAATACGGTGTTGCAGCCATCTGCAACGGAGGCGGCGCGGCCACGGCGATCGTCGTGCAGCGTGTCGAGTCCGTGTAATTGGCCATGTGTCCGTCGTCGCGGGTAGGCTTCCTGGCAGCGTCTAGGCCGGGTGGAAAAGGGAAGTGGCATGCACAAGATGCTTAGCTTCATGCGCGACTTGGAAGCTACTTTCCGCCCAGGTTAGGATAATCAAAGCGGATTCGGCGCGTCATATGAGAAGGCGTAAATTGTGAAAAGTTGAATTCAAATGGAAGAGCAGACTGTGCTCGGATGCTTTTGGAAATGCGATATCCCATGTAGAAAACTTGACGAAGATCATCCGTAAATGTTGCTCTTGACAAAGTACACTATGTTGAAGCTACCTTACCCAGGAAAAGTGACGACCGACCAGCTCCATTTACGGCTCCACTCACCGAGCACGTACCCTTGTTCCCCGTACACCGAAGAATCCACCTTTACTCACTTCACCTTGTCTGGCTCGAGTTCTCTCACACCTTGGACTTCCACCTTCACCACAAACCGCAAGGATTCCTCACCTCTTCTTTCACGATTCGCGGCCTCGCCCCGCTCCCCGAATGAGGCATCACTTTTGGCACTATCACTTTCTTGCCAACGATGTCCCTGTTAATTCAATTCCTCAGCCAGATCCGCACTTTCGTCCGTGCTCAGAACATTGACGAGCTCCGGAATTGGCTCCTGGTCGAGCCCAACGCAAACCAGCAATATCACGCCCTCGCCAATGAGCTCCGGACGCAGTTCCGCTCATCACGGCATGGCACCAACGGGGCAAGCAGCACAGCGCTCGAGAGCACGATAGAGAAATGCCTCCCCGAAGAGGACGACGTGCCTGAGGGCCAGGGTTCACCGTGGCCCGGCTTCGTGACTTTTATGAAGGACTACATGGTCTTCTGGCGCGACGTCGACTATGATGACCTTTTGGGTGCGCACACGTTGCTCAGTGGGCTGGTAAAGTAAGTCACCGATGAGAACTCCTCCACAGCTCTGTTGAAGCAGATCTCATGGTCCTCAACCGCGCCTTTCATAGTCAAAGCAGCAATCGGCTAACACCCACACAGCTCCTGTAGTACTGCCTTTGCCCACCCTACCTATGGAGGCATGCTACTGAAGACGGCAATGTCCCTCTGCGAGTCCCTGTCGCGCCTGACAATGATGTTGTCAAAGCGTCCGGATCTTACGCGCAACATCCGTAACGTCGACGCCGACGACCGCAAGTCCATTGCCGAATCCTCTGCTGAGATCATTCAAAAGATCTTCACCACTTGCCTGACGGACCGTTCCAGCGCGCGTTACAGCAAGCCAGAAGGCAAGAAGGTTGGCGTTTACATGTTTGCCAACCTAGTGTTAAAGCTCCTCTTCGCCGTACGTCTTCTGTCTCCTTTTCCAATACCCCGAGTGCGTTAACTGATGGATGCCAACAGTGTCGGAGAACGCATCTTGCGAAACAAATATTCACAAATATCTCCACAAACTCGCCGCCATTATCGTTCTATCCGGCATCACAGCGCGTCAACTTCCTCTACTACCTAGGCCGCTTCAACCTCGCAAATTGTCACTTCCTCCGCGCGGCGCTCTGCCTCGAAGAGGCCTACCTTCAGATCCCACCACCCCTCACATCTCATCGCGCCCTGGTTCTCAGCTACCTCGTCCCTTGCAACTTCTTGCTGGGCCGTTTACCCTCTCAGCTCCTGCTCTCTCGCCCCGAGGCATCAGCCCTCGTACCCGTCTACCAGCCACTGATTCAAGCGATCCGTAAGGGAGACTTTGTCCTCTTCCAACAGACGCTGGCCCAGCACGAGAAATACCTCTTTGATAAGGGCCTCCTCCTCGTCCTCACCCATCGCCTCCGACCTCTGCTCTGGCGCTCCCTCTCCCGCAGAACATTCCTCCTCACCTACGCTCCAGGCCAAGACGACGCAAACCCCTCCAACACAAACCGACGCGCCGCAACAATGGACCTCGCGGACCTCCACGCGACGTCTCAGTACCTCCAACACCGCCTCGAAGGCTACATCCCCTCCAAATCGCCCTCCTCCTTCGCGCCGTCGACAGCGTCCCCCGCTTTCCTCAAAGCAGTAAGCCACGACGCGGCCTCGACGCTCGTCCCGCCGCCTGGCGGACCTAAGAAGCTGCGCCCCAACGAGGGACTGGTCTGGGGCAACTCCCCGGTGGAGATGGACGACGTGGAGATGAACGTCTCGGTGCTGATCCAGCTCGGGTTCATGCACGGCTTCATTGCGCACTCGCAGGGGAGGTTCGCCGTCATGGGTGCCACGAAGAAGAGTCCCGTGTTGGCTGGGTGGCCGACGCCATGGACGGCTATTCGGGAGAGGCAGTATGAGGAGGATCTAGATTTGGATCATGTGCCTGGGTGGGTGAAGGGTTGAAATGAAGCAATCAGTGCAGGGCTACCTCGGATAGCAAGCTTGAAAGCGCTTTTGGGGAAACATGGTTTCTGTATAGATGCAGAAGTTCACCGATCCATGGAAAAGCAGAAATGATACCCTATTCGCATCTACAACTGGATATTCGCGTGCTGAGTTTGATGGCTTCAACTGATATTCTCAAGATACACTCCTGAAACTGATTATCTGGGCAAGATTCGGCAAATGACATTCTGATTGTGATGGTCTTTGTTCATGCAAATGGGCAGGAGCGAGGATTCGTGTCAAGCACTATGTAGAGTTTCAGTATCAGTATGGTCGCCAACGTTCGACAGCTTGCTCTTGTCCCCGTGTTGTTTAGGGATGTCTTGATCAGTGGCTGCGGTAGAAGCGGCAGGCCGAGATCGATATCAACAACATCAACCAGACAGACGAGAAGGACGGCGAAGAGTATCGGTGTCCACTTCAGCTCACTCTGAATCGATAGAAAGGATAAATTGCAATGCGAGAATGGACACGTCACTAGAGATGCTCACAGTTTACGGATATGTAGGTCAGTCTTTATTCTCGAAATATCTGTCTATAAGGTACCATAGGAAGATAGAGACATGCTTGCAGCGCAGTTGAGGACGAAGGTCAACGACACATCAATCTAGAAATCACAACCAGACGTCGACAGCATCACAAAACACCGTTCCAAGGTATCCAACGCCAAGCGACCAAGCCATCCGCACTTTACGTCCAAGGTAGATAGCCATCAACCCAGTACCACACACACAAAAAGCCTTCTTCACCACGACCCAAAACAAGGGGCCGCAAGCAATGAAAGCAAAGAAGAAGCATTCTCAATAGAGAAAGAGGGGGTTCCAAAAATTCCCTAGCTGACCTAGGTCAACTAGGAGGCCAACTCAGAAAATAGTTTTCAACTAGCAAAATCGCGATCTAGGACTAATCCTCATGGATACGCGAAATGCCCTTGCACTCGGATGAAGAAGAAAGGAAAGGAAAAGAGATTTGAAAGATGGGCGTGGGAGAGGGGGTTTATATAGGTTTCTGCAAGTCCACAAGGTCGGGCAGAGAGGGTGTGTTTGGCCTCCTATCAAGGTAAGGTGAGTTGCACCCGAGAAACCTTACTTTTGGCCTCAGCTGCCTGCCTGCTCCAGACTAGGTACCTTGTTATCGGAGAAAATGGACTCCATGAGTCACAAGTAGAATATATAGTTTGGTGTCCGTCCGGAACTTGTATCGACATACGCCTTCTCCGGCTTGCCATAAGTGAAGGTTAACAGACAAATCATGCATGCGATGTGAGGACTACGTCCTTTGCAGAATCGCCTGGTGTTTACAAACCAGCAGATATCGTACCCAACTAACGTCTTTTCATTCAAAAGTAATGAAAATTTACGTATCAAGGATCTCGCGGTTTATACATCCTAACCTTTTTCTGTGATTAATATTGTTGGTAGTAGGTCGTGGTAACTTCGCCATTCGAGCAGCAAAAATGCGAGGAGGAGGGCGTTGTAGTCCTCACATCGCGGTGCCACACTGCCCGTGCCACACCTTCCCATCTCGACGCCTCAGTCCCCACTCGGACCCGTTAGGTCGTTCAGGGGAAAAGGAAACCACTGCACGACTGCTGCCCGCTGATGGATTGAAAGCTGTCAGCACCCGCCCGTACCCCCCGGTACGTACCCACGCCCGAAGCTCCGTGGCCGCCGACTTCAACATCTCGAAACTAGAAGCACGCGCGCGCGGGGATCCGAAGTAATCCACGAGGTCCGACATGCGAATATCGCCGACGCCGCCAAAATGCTCTCATTCATCCTGATCCAGAATCGCCAGTATGTCTAGTCGCTTCCGATGCAGAATGTGCCGTAAATGGGATCTCTCACTGACATATTCCCCCCTTTCGCGCCATCCAGGGGCAAGACCCGTCTCGCGAAGTGGTACGCACCCTACAGCGACGATGAAAAGATTAAGATGAAGGGCGAGGTACGATTTACTCAATCTCCAATCGCTCAACTAGACAAACGTCCTCTATTACACACCTCTAACAACCACGTTCCCCAATAAACAGGTCCACCGCCTCGTCGCCCCCCGAGACCAGAAATACCAATCCAACTTCGTCGAGTTTCGCAACAACAAGATCGTCTACCGCCGCTACGCAGGGCTCTTCTTCTGCGCCTGCGTCGACACAAACGACAACGAGCTCGCCTTCCTCGAGGCCATCCACTTCTTCGTCGAGGTCCTCGACGCCTTCTTCGGCAACGTCTGCGAGCTCGACCTCGTCTTCAACTTTTACAAAGTCTACGCCCGACGCCTTCTTCGGCAACGTCTGCGAGCTCGACCTCGTCTTCAACTTTTACAAAGTCTACGCCATCCTCGACGAGGTGTTCTTGGCCGGCGAGATCGAGGAGACGAGCAAGCAGGTCGTGTTGACGAGGTTAGAACACTTGGATAAATTGGAATAAAGGCAAGCTTGGCTTCCTGTTGGTGTTGTTAGGGAAGGGAGGGGAGGCGGGGTTGCAGGCACGATCCGGTGTTGTAGAAGACTGGATGGGGTCGCACTTCTCTCAGTCTGAGGCTTAATCACGTTTGGAGACTGGCGGACTTCTGCACTGTCATACATGGGCGTATTGGGTTGGCCGGAGTCTGGAGTTTCGTCAAGAGCGATACGTACGCGACTGGCTGCAATGTCAATTGGCAAACTTTTGATTTCGTGGGAATAAATACTACGTAAGGAATTTCAGGGACAACCTCCCTTACTGAAATCATGAAAACGGTGCATCATCTTCTCTCTCTCGAATCTCGACCCAGCTGTCCTTGAAGAACTCTGCTGGGCAAATCTTGGAGGAGATGATGTGACTAGATGCGTGAGAGCATCCTAGATACATCTTCGGCACCTGAGATAGACAACCCCGTCGGCAAATGTGGCCTGGTTGCACATCCATCCGACCGCCCGAATGCAAAATACCACGGGACCACCCAAAGGCCCAAGGAATAGCCCTCTGGTCCCCAATCCCAAGCAAACATAACTCGGGCGAGGCTTCAGAGGAAATTTTCGCCCAAGTTATGGAACGCAATCCAGACGCATGTGAAAGAAAAGAAGGGAAAACCGACGGTCGAGCTTGGGAAACACAAGCCGACCTCGCGAATGGTAAATGGGTAGAAGAGCTGGCTTCTTATCATGAGCCAAGGTGTCTTGGCAAATGGTAGATCCGCAGCTCCAAAGTCGGCGAAAAACAGGTAAGAATGTGATAGGTACGCAAATTGGTGCCGGATTCAGAATCGAAGTATCTGGCCGATAATAGCCAGACCGGGGCGAACTGAAACCAACTGAGCACCCATCGAATGCAAGGCTACTCATCCATCTTCGAGGTGGTTGAGCGTTCATCCTCCGGCTCCCAAGCCTCATCAAGCTCAATAGCGGTGCGTCGGCGAGCAATATTGACGTAAACGTTCTCGTGCCGTCTGCTTCGGAACAGAGCCAAGACGTGAGGATCGTATGGAGGACCTCTATGAAGAGGCTTCAAGGTTTGTAAAGGGATAATGACCTCTTCCATATGAGACGAGCCATGGTTCACCTCGATGGGGGTGCTTGGAGCCTGACCCATTTCGTCAGGGGCATCTCCCATGGAAGCATCGTCGTTGCCGTTGTTGCCATAGTAGTAATCATCATAATCGAGGTTTCTGGGCATGATACTTTGTTCGTGGGAAGTCTCATACGGCGGATAAATAGACTGCATGGCCATCCTTCCATCGTTCGACTGAGTGATGGGCATGACTTCGAAGACACCTGGCCGCGCTCGGAAGAAAAGCTCTCTTCCCAAGGCTGCGAAAAATTCGTCCGACTCCATGCTTGCTTGCTTCCACTGGGAGTCAGTTACTCTTTTAGTCTCCAAGCCTTCGGCTGAGTTTCGAGCTCCGCCTGTGTCCATGGGGATTTTCTCGGATGCGCCAGCTGGTTTCGTTTCTGTGCCGACGTCCAAGTCTTTCTTGGCAGGTCCAAGGCTCTGCATAGTTTGGCCCACGAGAGCAGATTGGTGTTTCTCTTTGGGAGGCATCTCAACATCGTCCCAAGGGAGGCCGCCAGAAAAGGGTTGTTCGTGCCGCTGTCTCTTCGCCGGTCTTTCGAGATCGTCCCAGGGAGAGAGTCTGCCGTCAGTGTGCCTTTTGGTCTGGCGAGATCGTAGCTTCGCCTCTTCCTCGTCCAAGTCTCTCTCTAGACTCTGCTGTATGGCTTTCTTCAGGCCCAAGGCACCAGTTCTCTTCGATTCCTTAGGACGATAGGCAAGATTGAGATGAGAATGCTCATCAGAGCGGAACGTATCGTCAAGACGGCTGGAGGGATCAGGACGGTACGTATCGATGGATTGACGAGTGTCGTTGGGGCGATAAGTGTCAACGCGTTGGCGTGGTCTCTCAGGACGGTAACTGTCATCCGCAAGGTTTAAGTCGATAGGGCGGTAAAAGTCCGAACGAAGTCGATGTCCGAGTGGTTGAGAGTTGCTTCCAGACTGACGAGGACCTACACTGAATTCTTGGAAGTTCGGTGATTCGTCTTCGACGCTGCTAGGACTGGATTGCAAAAGTCGGGCTCGCTCCTCGTTCATGTAGGGATCATTGATGCTCGAACTTTGGCTGGCAGATGTGGAGTGACTGCGCTTTCTCGATGAGCTCTGTCTCAGGTCTTCGCTCGATATCGCCGTGTTCCGAGGCCGTTGTCGGAGGGAAGCAGTGGAAGTCTTGGCCCTCTTCTGAGGGCAATCCTGAATAAGGTGATCTCTACACTCTCCACAGATGTGGCAGACGTATTTCTTATGAAGGAGAGGCTTCGTCGAGGGGCAGTGCTGAATGAAGTGACCTATATTGGCAAGTTGCTCGTTAGTTTTCCAACGACCTTTTTCTTGGCTTCATTAGCAGCTACCTGGAATTCCGCAGCGATTGCATACGTAGCCAGCAGGTGGCTTCTGCTGGTTCAAAGACAAAGTCTCAGGCGATCGGTCAATGAGCTTCTGCCGACGACTGGGACGGGAATCTTCAGCCTCAGGGCGTACGTTTCTCGACTTCCGAACTTCGGGGACTGGCTCGCTCGCTTGGGTGGAAAGTCCAGCAGGTTGGGGTGAATCTGGCAGTTGCGTGGCCAAGGCTGCCTCTTTTATGGCAGATGAGTTCTTCACCTTGTGGTGGGCACCATGCAATTTGTAGTTGATTTCGATGTCCCGTCTGGCAAGGTTGAAGGTCCGCTTATCCTGAGGTCGGTCTCTGAGGTAGTCTTTCTTGTGCTGGTTGAAGGCGCTGATCACAAGATGCTTTTCGTATTTCCTAGAGCTGAGGTAGTCGCAGGCATCTCGAATGACCCTGGAAGAGGCTGTGTGATCTGTAAGGCCCAGAAAAGGAGTCTGCCTGGCAAGCCACTTCGTGTAAAGTTCCAGAAGCGTCTCGTCATCAATGTCCTTTGTGTGTCGGTGAGTCAATTTCCACTCGATGTCTCTCTGGTTCAGGCTGTAGAACTCTCGAGGGTGCATCCCAAAGATGAGGAGCTTCAAATCCGTCATCTTTGTCCGCTGTGGAAGTGTTGGGAAATTCTTGGCCAAAGGTCGAGATAGAAAATTGGCCTTTCAGAGGTCAGGTTGCTGTGAAGTTCCTTGCTCCCCTTGGGAATTTCCTGGCTCCTTCCGAAGCTAGAAATTGGCTGGATATGAAAAAAGACTAGATCGGAAAACAGTGCACAGAGCAAGGCCTGCCGTGGAAGAACTGGAATTGAACGGAGTGGAAAAAGACCGTGATGAGATTGGGGAAAAAACCTCATCCGGGAGCGGTTTTGCTCTGAAATGTGTTGAGGATATCGTCAATATAGTGGACCTAGTGGTGGTCGATGACTGCAGCTAGTGATTGTTGTGAACGGAAGGCTCGTTCGGAGCAGGCCCCGGTACGAGATAATGAAAGGATAGGGGGTAGTAGACGAGGCAGATATGCTCAGTGAAGAAGGCCTCCAAGGACACGGATCGAGCCTTCTCTAATTTGATGGTCTGTTTAGGTACAGTCAAGATCTCCTTCCTTCAAATTCGTTCCTGACCCTGGCGAGGTAATTGCTACGCTCCTCTCTCCCTACATGAACCATTCAAGTAGATACTGGGAGCTCTTCTTCGGGACACGATCTCCTCTTGTTGGTTGCCTGCCCTATGTATCAACATCAAAATCGGTAAATTGCCGTTACTCATTTATTGGACGTACCTCCGCAACGATGATGGCGGAACCTGCACTTGGACTTACAACACGTCGCAAAACAACCCTCACTCCATCGAGGGCTAAAGATCATGCCGATGCAGAACGCCTGCAATATAAATTCATTCCGCGCCATGCCTAGACCTTTGAAGAAGAAGCATACAAGCCCTCAAATACCCCCCAAATGTTCTCGCATCAAATTAACCGCCAAAACTGATCCTTGGCCAAAATGTGAGACGCATCAGGCTCATCGCTTCAAAGCTTGAAATCTCCTCTCCAGCTCCGTAATGTCGGGTACGTTGCCTCCTGGCCCCTTTCCAGCTGGCTTCTTCTGTGCCGCTGCGTCCATCTTTTTGTTAGGCTTCAGCTCCAGTGAGTTGAGCGTAACTTTGGGATGGACGTTATCTGTTGTCATCCTCGGCGGTGTGACAGTCAAAGGGCTACTGGGACCTCCAATCGTCCTCGGCGGTGTCGCCTTGCTCAGCTCCTCCTGTTCCTTGGCCACTTTGGAGCTATTTCCCAATGGACCCTCTGGTATCCTCACACCAATCCCACCACTTGGGCTATCGTCGTCGTCATCGTCCAGCAGGTCCGGCGGCTCGTCTGCCAGAGGTCGCTTCGGCCAGTCCACGTTGTACGCCTTGGCAATTTCCTCCAAGTACCCTTGTACGAGCTCTTCCCGCGGCGGCGTGACGCTCAGCTTCTTGACGACCTTATCCGACACCTTGCCATCTGAGTTATCCATCGCCGCGAGAACAAACTCCTTGCCGTACTTCTCCGCCAATAGCGTTCGCACCACCTGCAGCTCCTTGATCTCCGTCTTCGGCGCGGCGTAGATGATGCTCTTGACCGCCTCCTCCAGCCCCGGATCACAGACTGAACCCTCAAGGAGCCCCGCGCGGGCGATCAGTAGCTCGCAGTACAGCTCTAGTATCTCGTGTAGCTCGGTCGTGATGTCGGATCGGATGATGTTCTCGACGCGAATGCGCGCAGAGTCGATTTTGCCCACCTCGAGGAGCTGCGCCATCGCGCGTCTTTGTGTCTTGCCCATGGAGTCATCGCGCTGCTGGACCATGCGCAGCCGTGCGATGGCCAGCTTGAGCTGGACCTTGAGCTTCGTCTATTGGAGATGGGAATGGCGCGGTTAGCAAAGCCATGTCGTCATAAGTGTTAGCGGGGCATGTCAAGGATGCGCGACTCACAACGACTGATGGTTGAGGAGGCATTTTGGTGACTTTTCTGTTGCGATTTGAGAGAGGGAGATGTCACAAGGCCCGAGCCAAATGGGACAGATTCCACCTCAAATATGGCAAGTAAATTGAAGTAACAAGACACAAGGCAACAGAATTGAAGCAGGAGAGTGGGCAAGTCCGGAAGGGGTCAGTCTGCCTTATCTAATCGCCACAGGTTGGTGGGATGGCTGGAGCTTGCGCCTCACTGCGGGGTACTTGTTCGTGCCCAAGTGGGAGGGACCAGGGTGTGTTCGAAAGCGGGCGAATCTACTCTGTAGCAAGGGCCATCTATACCTACGCCCCAGAGTCACTGCGTAAAGTAACTTACACCTGACGTATAAATCAGTCCTCACCACTTTTGTATCTTATCAAAGTAGGTCCAACTGCTCGCTGTGAACACTTCATGGAAAATGTCATCACGATTTTCTTGCCAAGACCACAGGTCACAAAGCAGTTGCTGATCGGGAGAAGAACTGCACTCGTCAAATGGGTGTCTTCGTCGAGCTATCAAGGTGACTATTCATCTGACATAAACCTTGCCTCTAACGCCAACAAGAAATATCAAAATAACGGGAAAGCAAAACGCCAAGTCCACCTGTCCACCCGTGGGTATCGTTACATTGTTCCAAAGCAGAAGTTAGAGTGAAGTTGACACAACTGTTGGAAGAAGACATGAATCCAGCAGCCGGCATGCGATCGAGGAAAGTGTGTCAGAACTAGAAAAATATTAGCGGAATTTCTCTGCTTCATTGAGAAGAAACGTACAATATTGAGCGCGGTATGCTGTGGAAGCCTGGTTCCGTTGAGCATGGCTCGGGTTTTCTTGGGTCGCTGCTGAAGGCGCCTGAAGGCTTCCTGAACGTGACGAGGCTCAATGGGACTTCTTCCCTCGCTCGGCGGGTCGAACAGGCCGGTGGCCACCTTGCGCTTCTTTGATCCCGCATTTTCACCGCCACTCTGTGCCTTGAATAGATCCTCTTGCTCCTTGACCTTGAGCGCGTGCTCAGTCAGGGTCTGAACCATCTCGAAGGTCAAGAAACCCAAGATATCAACGATATCGTCAGAAGGTTTGCTGTCTGTGACAATACCAAATCCAGCCCATTCTCTAAATCTTTTGCCCTTGCGGTACGTGAACGAAGCTTGACGGTATTCGGACCATGTCACATACTCCTCCTTCGTCATGGCTTTTGTGCGCTCGTCGGCCTTGCGAAGACGTTGAAGGGTAATGAAGTTCATCTCTTCCTCTTCTTCATCCTCCTCGTCGTCACGCTCAGGGACTTCCTGGCTGTAGAACGAGGACGGTTCCCAGGGCAGGCCGACCTTGGCCTTTTTGTTCTTCTTGGTCGCGTCGTCAACCGGGCCACCAGGGACCACACCACCGCTGGGATCTTCACCGGCTCCCAGGTCCGCTTCACCTCCCTTATCGTCGGAATCCTTAACGTTCTTCCGGACATCTTTCCATGACAGGAACGTACGCAGACGAGAAACTTTAGCTTGATCGTGGCGAATTTGGAAGATCAGGTCATTAATCGTGATGGCTCGGGCGCCGCGGCGAGCTGCAAGCTCAGTGCAGTTTCGAAGCTGACGTCTCATTAGCAACGTAGAGACGTGTGACGCTTGCACAACTTACCAGCTCAATAACTTGCTGGCGCACAATGTCCTCAATCATGCTAGTCGTCTCAATCGACGGTTCGGCGGTCTCGCCAGAGACGTACATCATCTTGCGCGCAACATTAGTAAGACGGTCTGACCAGCCATACGGCCCCTGGTTATTCAAACGCTGAGGCAAAACAAAAGCAGGCTTGTTTGGCGCTGGACGCGTGACCCTCTCCTTCTTCTCTTCTCCATACGGGAGATCAAGGATGGACTTGAAGCCGGAGTTGACCACGATGCCACGAACTTGGTCGAAGGCGGATTGAAATAGCTCCATGCTCTGGCGCTGAACACGCGCAGCGACCGCCGCCTTTGCTCTAGAGCGCCTGGGGTATTTCGGTTTCTTCGTCATAGTCTCAGACTCGGTGTCGCTGCTATTGTCGGCGAGCGGTTCGGTGCATTGTTCAAATATGCCGAGAGTCATTTCTAGACATCCGACGAGTTGGCTCATGGGGCAGCCGCCTCCACCTCGGTCGAAGTGAGATCTCCATCTCACAAACGATTGCTCCTCCCTGCTCCTCATTGGCATAGATGTCTCTCTTTGGCCGAGTAGAGTGATGTCGAAGTTGCTTTCTTGATACCAGTGATGGAGGTGAAGATGATGTCTAGCCATACGCTAGATATAGTGGATGGCAGGTGCCACCTTGAGAAGACAGGCAGCGCTCATATTTGGAAAGAGCAGAGGCTGTCGTGTAGGCCAGTCGAGCATCCAAGCGTGAGGGTTTGCGTGTCGAGACGGGCCGTGGTCAACTCCAGGAGGCAGGTGTCAAATCCTTGTTTCCCTCTGCTGGACTTCCAGTTTTGAGGTCGCTAGCTGCCGTGTGCCAGCGACTCCTCGAGAAGGGCAAAGCAGGACGAGATCAAAAGAAACAAATCCACAGTATCTTCACTCACCTGACTGATCTCCTGGCGATACTTGAACGCCTTGTCATCCTTTGAAGCCATCTTGCCGGTGTTCAAAGGCGAGCCTCAAGGTTAATGTGAATAGCTTGGATGAACCGGATGTTATGTGTTCTTTTGAGTAAGGTACAGGATGGAAGCTGATGCGGGTATGGGAGGCTGAGATGCCCCGGAGAGAAATCCCGATAATCGCACTGTTGCCGAGCGAGATGGATCGAGGCTAGAGATCACTGCTATGCGAAGGCTGTAATTGCTGCTTTCTATTAAAATCCGTAGGACTACCAGAATTCCATTGCTTGGTTGAATGAGACCTATGGATTGTCGATGGTATTCGGTAAGAAGGGTGGTCGGAGAGCGAAGGCTGGAGGTGTCTTGGTCGCGGTCCGGCTCAGCGACACCAGCTGGGCGTGTTGGGTGCACTGACCAGCCTACTATCCAATGCAAGCAGGGGCCAGAGGAGGTTCCGAGGTGCCTTCTAGGTTCCTTTCCGCTGGAATCCCGTCGGAAAAGATAACACCCGAACAGCGAGTTGCGTTTCGTTCAGCTATTACGTAAGGTACTAATTCCAAGCAATCGTCCGAGGCAACCAGCATGATGGTGCTGCAACATCCAGACCAACAGTGAGGATATTTCACACCAATTCTATCAACGCAAGCTTCGCCCAAATTTTGCTGCCGAGTTCTCCCTGTAATCTGTCTATCCACATGACGGCCTGCAACCGAGATCGTGCGCTGTCCCACAACAAGCGCTCTGCTCCTAACTTCAACCACAGAGGCCGCAGCCAAGCCTCCTCGGCCTCGAAGACTGAGATCGCGCACACCATCAAAAGCCAGAATAGCGTGTTCTCGTCTCCGATTGTTTCATTGGAGGTAGTCTCACATAAGCTTTTGAGACTCTCAGTGAGATAGTTATAAGGAAACTTGCCGCCTGGGATTTGCATTGTGGTTGACAGAAAGGCCAACATCCCAAGCCGAAGGCATTCATCTGATCGGTCATCGATTCCGTTCTGCAGGTGTACTAGTCGTGTTTGGATTGATCCCAAGGAGTCTTGGAACAGCGAGCCGTCAAGCAGCGAATTGCAGGCGAGGTGATCGTTGATCAGATTCACCAAGTGTCTGAGGTCCTGCCACACAGCGGCCAGCCTCCAGTCACTCACAACATTGCAAGAGAAGGGCCCAGCCTCGCAAGTTGGGGTCCCCGACTGCGCGTCAAAGCATGACTTCCAGCTGATAGGGCCAGTAAAGAAATAAGGCGTAGCCCCCGTGCCGAGAGACCATGAGAGAGCCAGGCTGTGTTGTCAGAGTCGTCCCCAAATTGGCAGATGACATGCACTCACCGATCGAGCTTGAAATGTAGCTTCGGATGACTTCGAAGATACTTGAGCCCTCCACGAAGGCGCACGATCTGCCGTAAGCCTGACAGGTGTACGGCTGTGGTGCTGAAGTCACCCCAAAGACCTGCCATCAAAGCTAGAGTGAGTATGACGTGGAAGATTGCCTCGTTACGATGTGAGTCTGGTTGAGAAAGCGCCTCATTGAGGAGTTTGATTGTGCGTCTGAGATGAAATTGTGTCATTCTTCCTGGCTGACGGCGCTGTACATGTTCATGTACGGCGGATGAGTAGAATAAGGCGCTGTGTAGGAAGATTTTGTCCTGGAGAATCCAAGAAAATGAGAGTGCTTCGGAATTCGCGCTGCGAGGGAGGTCGACGCAGTGCTCAATGGGATAGAAGGTACCCTTGAGAGCATTGAAGTTGATCACTAGCCCCAATCAGATGAAGTGAGATTCGCGGCATCAAAGGGGCATGTCTTACATCTGAAGAGTATTTCCTGTGATGGCCTTTCCAACTCTTCTGCGAAGCGAATCAGAGACATGTCGCTGGGTGGCGGATGAGGGACCAGAGGCATCAAAGCCGAGGCGTCATCTCGAGCGACGTCTTCTGTGCTCAGAGCCTGAGAATCTTCTTCAGCTTGCTGCTTCTCATTATACGTGGTGCAAGGCCAAGTATTGATAGGGGGAACCGAATGATGAAGCGACTGGAGCCCGGCATTTTCGCTCGTAGTTTGAGCGGCTGCCCTCTGCACTTTACGAGCAGCTTGTTTGGATCGCCGCGAGCCTTCTTGTCGATTCTTACCGATCATACATCGACTACGAATTACTGATCGATCTGTGGGCTGTGTCCGTCCTGAATTGCTCACAGTTACGAACGCGAAGTCAGCCGGCATTGCGGTAGTGAAGATGTATGGAACTGCAGGTTCTGGAAAGTATGATTGCAATAATGATCTAAACAACTAACTGAGTCGATTCGAGCTATGATAAATGATGAACAACATGAGTATAAGATGAATGAAGGAAACGCTTTGAAAGCAGAAGGCCGTGACCACACAAGCCGCCTCGATCGGTACCATCACACGGAGGAGCTCCGGAGTTAAGACCCCACTCCATCTGACCACATTGTTGTCCGATTCGGGCAAGCGTCTTACTCTCGCCGGGTACTTCGCCCATGTCTCCTGCAGCCCTAAGGCCTCCGGCATCTTTCCCATTCGTCGTCGCCTCGAAGATCGCTGCGCGAGACTAGAAGTAGAAGATGACCCGGCCAACTTCCAGTTCTCCCTGAAATTAGACATTCTTCCACACTAGTTCGAGTTGCCTTCTCTAGGTGGCGGACCGGTAAAGACCTGCTGCGGCCTCCATAGCATGGGACCCTTTTCGAGCATCGCCTCACGCCAGTGCGCCAACACACCAGGCATGCGTGACAAGCTTGCCATGGCCACGATGATGTCAGTTTCGAAGCCAAAGGCAGTGTACATGAAGCACCCGTAAAGGTCTGCGTTGGCCTTCAAGTTACGGCTCGTAAAGTACTTGTCGGCATTGGCGACGCGGTCAATCTCCATCGCGATAGAAAGCAAAGGATTCGACTCCACTCTGTCCTTATATTGGTCGATCATGGCGCGGATGAACTTGGCTCGGGGGTCTACGGCCTTGTAGATTCGGTGGCCGTACCCGAAGAGACGCTGCTTCTTGGCCTTGACGTCTGCTATCAGCAACGGCACGTTTTCAGGAGTCTTGAGATCTTCAAAAGCTTTGTAGGCTAGTTCGATGGCGCCTCCGTGAAGCGGGCCGTACCCGGAGACAAGACCAGAGATACAGCACGCAAGAGGATCCGTGAGGGTCGAGGCAGCGTGTAGGAAGGCGGCGGTCGAGTTGGTCATTTCATGGTCAGCGTAGAGGATCCAGAGCTTCTCGAAGCATTTGACAATCTCCTGATTGGGCTTGCTACTGTGTTCGTCTTCATGGAAGCCCATCATGCGCAACATGTTGGCGATGAAAGAGTCTTCGGGATCGGCAGGTGTGAAGGTCCTGTTGCGCTTGCGGCAGTATACAAGGGCAACAACAGTGGCGAGAGCAGAGATACAGCCGATGAGAGCTTCATCAACCTTGTCAGCCTGGCCCATGAACGCTGGTCGTCCGGACTGCAGTGTGGTAATGGCGCCTTCGTCATGGCTAGCATAGGCGGCCATGCCAGCAAAGACCATTGTGCTTGTCAAGGAATCTCGAGGGAAAGACTCAATGACTTGGACAACGTGCGGAGGAGGAATGCAGCCGGCAGCAATCTTACGTCGGAAAATATTCTTCTCAACCACGTCGGGGAGATGACCCCAGATCAAAGTAAAGATAACCTCCTCGTAGTCGTGGTTCTCGAAGAGGTATTCAATTGAGTAGCCGCGGTAATGAATAGATCCATGGCCGCCATCGATATAGGTAATGTTCGACTCGACGCAGGCGGTATTCAGGTACCCAGGATCCAGGATTTTCAAACCGCAATAGCTGACGGAGTTGGCATCAGCCTGGACGGAAATGATCTTTTGAAGTTCGAGTGCTTTGATTGCGTTTCGGTTGATTGGGATTTCGTACCGCCGCTGGGTGCGGTTGTCACAAACTGTCAAAGTCCCACTCGATGGATCGGCCTTAGTCCCGAAGAATAAGCTGCGCGCAAGCTGTGTTGGCAGCATCAATGTCTGGCCGAGTTTGCTGAAAGGTTGAGTTACATAGGAAGCGGTAGCGGCACCGATGTTGTAAGCCGTGCTCCAGAATGAGTTTCTTAAACGCAGGTATCCTGGATGAAGCTTCTGAGCTTCTTCACTCTTAAGGATTTTCTTGATAGTAAGGCTTTCTTGAGTCGAAGTTCGTTTGATCGACTTCCGGAAGTCTTTCGCGGTGTTCATTGAGTTGTCTTTGGATTGGACAACTGCCTGAGTAGTGTAATTGGTGTTCATGGGGTCGAAGTTTGTTGAATATGGCTAATGAAGATACTCCTTCTCTCTATTTCTCAACTTTAGACGAGCACCTCAATCACTCTTAAATATCCAGAAACCTCATCCCACGTGTCACCAGATCGTATCAGTCTATGACTGGGCGGCAAGGAATACAGCTGACACGGGGAAACATCCAGGACTCTAGCACAACGTGTCAAAGCAAGTGAATCATTTCTTTCGCCCGAACAACTAGAAACGAAGCCGCAATAGGAAACATCTTGCACTCCGAGAATTACAGAAGGCAGCAATAGACCCCAATGGGGGCTCCATCTCGCCCGGTCATCGAAGTCTTCACGCCGACGCCGAAAGCTCTCAGCGTAATTGCGGAAACGCTTGTTATCGCAATCGCGTGATGTCGAGGTGCTGACCCTCTGGGCTGAGCGTATGTGGTGAAGTGGAACAAAATGGGGGCCATGAAATCCGTCGACCCCAGTGAGTTATCGTGAGCATGGCCTCTGAAGCCCATAGTTGCGCAGCTGCCAATGTAAGGCTTACATTTCCACCTACACTCTCTCCGTCTGGGCAGTGTCATCAGCTCCGAGTCATCGAAGGAGAGCCTCGTAAAGAGTTCAGGACTCTTGTTTCGGTATTGGGTACACCGAAAAGACCCGTAAATTACTTCTGAATTCAGATCGGCGGTGCCTGATTCCGATCACGCAGGCGCACCAGGCTGCGATGTGTCTACGCCTTTCTCGCACATTAAGGCTGAGTGCGGCGCGGGGCCTTGGCCCGGGCCGGAAATAAATCCTCGAGTCGCGGAATTACAACTGATTGTAGTCAGTATGATTGTCTTCCAATTTCTAAGCACCCAGTTTTTCCTTCACATGACGAGAGGTCGGAGACGTAGTTCGGTGAAGACAAACATGCGGCTGAAAGCGCCTAATCCGGATACCTTTTCCACTAGAATCAAAACTAGACCAGATTAGGTCGAAGAAACAAAAAGGTCAAAGTCAACCTCGCATCTGATGCATTCTTACACTTAATTGGGCAGAGGGTTTAAGGACGAAACGGTGATGCTGTCCACTCTGACGGAAGGTCTGGTCGGAGCTCAACGGTGGACGGGCCCCACAAGAAGCCGATCGAGGCGGCGGTCGGACGTGAGTAAATGCCGGAAACTACAATCCGACACGGTTCGGCGCCCCTCCCGACGGACCAAAAAAACGGAGGCATCCTCAAACATGTATCACATCCAGATACCGTGTTTCCCCCAGAAGAATTTCCGAAAATCAGATCATTGCCTTATTGGTGATGCTGAATGAGCTCAAATGGGTGATGCCGCGGAGTCCATGGAGCGCGACAAAGCTGTAGTTAACCTGACCAAGCATGTGTCAAAAGTCTATTTCAGCAGTATTTCTGCTAGCCATATGCGCTATTAGGCTAATATCAGCGCAAACTCTCCATCATGCCACATGGCCGCGTTCCTACAATGAAAAGGAGGTGGATACAAGTACGCTTCTTCCCCCAGAGGCTGGACTGCCAGAAATCACACAAAGCTTGGCGGCGTCTTCATCGTCGATCCCAAAGTCCGCTTCCGAGATTCCGAGGTCGGCTCTTCACTGAGAACCCCGGGCCCGCACATTGTAGAAGCAGGGGCTTTATGACCAACTGCGGGGAAACGTTTGTGGCGAATGTCAAATATATGTTTGAAGGAACTCCAGTGAAATCGCAACCGATTCCGGCCGGCCTCTGCAACTATTCGCCATAGCACATGCACCTATAGGTGGCCGACTCGCGAAATGGAAAAATCAGCAAAGACACCCGCACATGACTATAGGCGTTATGTTCCGCCAAAAGGAAAGTACTTATCAAGTAGAGCTTAGCTTCATTACCTTGTTCTCCTTTGCAACAAGTGGTGTACAGCTAACAACGAGCAGACTGGTCGCGGTTCGAGGGGATAGACGTCAGTGATCCTCATAAGTACTCAGAGGCTATCCTGAAAAGTCCACATCTAGAGACTATCCGGGAAGACTGGAGAAAGAAACTCGATGTCCCATTCTACGGCGTCACAAACGATGGGAAAAGGAGGGAAGGCCTGTATCACATTCGAGACGAAGGCGCTCCAACGAAACAGATGGTAGACACGAACGATCAGCTCCAGCTGACCCTACGTTTTGTCGACATGTGTTGACTCCAAACAGGTTGACGCGGCTCGCAGAGTGCTAGACTCACTCAGTCCGTCCGAAAAAGCAGACACAGTCCACGACTTGGATTCGGATACATGGTACGTCACTTTTCCAGACAATAGGAACCAATAGGAACGAGACGAGATCACAGTATTGATGAGGTACCTTCGTCCGAGCAGCAGAAGATGGAGTAATCCAGAGTTTGTGTTGCATAAATGCGGTGTACGCCTCGAGGACCTCGAGAAAACGAAAACAGAGACCATCATAGGTCTTTTGGAGCAATCTCTGAGCCCGAGTGGCTTTGCCAAGGTCCGAGGGGCCATGAAAGTGAACAAGTTCTTGGGGGAAATTTGTGGAAAAGAAGCCATCTTGAACGAACACAGCTATTCGTGAGAATCCCGGTACCTTCTTTCTGGTCCACCTGACTAAAGATGATGCTTGCATTCAGTTTCACGTTATTCGGCGAGCCCTCAGAAACAGAGCCCTGGGGTTATATGTTGTTTGGCCATCATCTATGCTTGAACGTTTTCATCGCTTGCCAGCAAATGGTGATAGGACCAGTCTTTATCGGCGCTGAGCCAAACGTAGGTTCTTCGTCATCTGTTTAACCCAGGTCATTGACAAAGCTGACAGTGCGGAAGATCATTGATGAAGGTCTCGACAAGGGTCTCACGCTGTGCGCCAACGAGGGCCAGCTAGGCCTACAGCTGATGCAGTCTTTACCTCCGATGCTGCAACAGAAAGCTCAAATATACCCTACAATGAAAGATCCTGCAATGCCAGAAGGTCGGTGGAACCCAGCCGACCAGGTAAGATGTTGTACTCCCGTCTGCGGATCCTTGGCCAACAGATATTTATAGAGACACATGGCTGGAGCCTTCCAAGACAACCGCGTGATTCCTTACGAAGGCATTGTTGTCACCGACATGTCCGAAGAGCAGCAAATACTCATCATGGCTATTGTGCATGAGTTCTTGGCCTTATGGCCTGCTGAGCCACTCCGTCACCGTTTGAAGCAGATACTAAAGCACCTCACCGAAACGCATTTCTGTTGGATTGGCGGGTTCGGAGAAGATGACCCTTTCTATTACCGTATTCAGAGTCCGGTGGCACTCTTTGAGTTTGACCACCACTCGGGGGTCTTCCTGACCAACAAAGAGCCCGCCAAGTATCACATCCACACGATCCAGAGACTTCCGAATGGCAATGACTACGGGAGGGCACTGCGGGAACTGCTCCGACCTCGATAGGAAATGGACGATCGAGTATCCTCGAGGCTTTTTCTTCCGAACCGCACTTTGTTGGACGAAACTTGTAACATCTCCAGTTTTGAGTTTATTGAGTGCCGAGCGTAGGAATCACATCCTGTCTTGGCGCGTTGTTAGGTGCATAAGGATCGCCACGGCCCGCTCAAGGCAACCAAACGGATTATCTGATTGACTTAACCACCATTCGTACGTCATATGTCAGCCGCATGGCTGTGGGTTCTCGAGGTACAGTTTTCGTAATGTGCCAAGACGTTGTTATGGCGAAGCACTTGGCCTCGCGACCGTTGGCGGAGGTGATGCGCCGTGCTCGAGCCCGCCGTCTTGGCCCGCAGGGCTTCACGGCTCGGGATTCTGAGTCGGCGGTGATCGCCACAAGTGACATCAGCCTCCGGACAAGAATGAACGACAGCATTTTGAGCATCATGTCGTTGGAATACCCTCGTGGAACGATGCGTTCTTGGGACTTCATGGAGCCCCGTTCAGTTGCACTTTATTGCCCGAATAGCAACGGAGAATTGACTCTCAATTCTTGCAGTTTTGTATCTTGCGTTCCAAACCTCAATGATATAAGAGACATGATGCAGCCAACGGCTTCAGGGAGGGATAATCAGTCTAGTCCCAAACCTTAACAATCCAGTCTCGGAGATTAATTATCCAGTCACAACCTTCCAACAACGTCAGCCCGTGTCACTGAGATGTTGGGTACAGTACTACCGAGTCGGTCCCTCGGTGAGGAGACACCGACGGAGTTTGCCATCCTCTCACCAACCCCTGCCATTCTCTTCTTAGCAGTGGGCTTGCTGCTTTTTTTTCTCTACAGACAAGCTCTCCCAAAACCGATTCCTGGCATCCCTTACAACGAGGCTTCAGCGAAGAGCATACTAGGGGACGTTGCTTCACTGCAAGAGGGCATAGCCCGAACGGGCGCGTTCCAGATATGGCTTCACGAACAAGCGGCAAAGCACAACTCGCCCCTTTTCCAAATTTTCATCCGCCCTTTCGGAAAACCAATGCTCATTCTCTCTGATTTCAGAGAGGCCCAAGATGTGCTTTTGCGACGGGGCAAGGAGTTCGACAGAGCGAGCATCGTGGGTGACATGATCTCAGGGGCTGTGCCTAATCACCACATCATCATGAAGACGAACAGCGAGTGGAAGCACCACCGAAGACTCCTTCAGGACCTCATGTCTCCCCAATTCCTGAACGAGAACGCCGCGCCCATCCTCTACTCTGGCATCCAGCAGCTCATCCAGCTCTGGAACGACAAGGCACGCATTGCAGAGGGCCGCCCCTTCCAGGCCGACTCCGACATCTACTACTCCATTCTTGATGCGACGACAGCCTTTTCCTTTGGAGCCGGTGCCAAAAGTGCTATCCGTCCTACCGTCGACCTTGTGAAAGGCTTGGGTGCCGATGACATTCGCCGGCTCCGAGGATCAGCGTCTGCTGGCGGCGAGCAGCCTCTGCACTTTCCCACTGCTGAGATCGACGAGAGCCTTAGGGCATCGCTTGATGTAGCGGATGCAATTGAGCAGCTTCAAGGATCACCTGTTCCTAGACTCAAGTGGAAACTCAGCGTAGAAAGGCAACCCGCAGTGCGCCGAGCGATCCAGATTAAAAACGCTTTCCTCCGCGAGGAGATCAGCAAGGCCCTGGACAGAACGCAGAACTCCAAGGAGTCCAAGGAGCATTCTTCCGCCGTTGAACTCATGGTATCAAGAGAAAAGAAGCTCGCCGATAATGATGGCAGGAAACCAGACTTTTTCTCTTCTATGATGATGGACGAGGTAAGTATAAAGTTTTCACCCCGTGACCATTGGTCGTCTCTCATCTCACACATTCTTAGATCTACGGACTCATGATAGCCGGGCACGACACTACCAGTACTACCTTGGGCTGGGGTGTCAAACTCTTGGGAGACAACACCGACTCTCAGTCTAAGCTCCGCGAAGTCCTCAAGTCCGCATTCCCCGACGCCGTTGCCGAAAACCGGAACCCGTCAATCAAGGAAATCACTGGAACCAAGGTCCCATATCTGGACGCTATGGTAGAGGAGATTATTCGTCACGGTAGTGCCGCTGTTCTCCTAGATCGTGAGACTATCTGCGACGCGGAACTCTTCGGTCATCGCATTCCCAAGGGCACCATCATCCTCTCGCCCGCTCGCGGACAGAGCATCCTGAAGCCCTCAATCCCGGTCGACGAGTCGCGGCGCAGCAAGAGTAGCCAGAACGCAAAGGCCAGAGCTTGGGACGACGCAGATATCACTCACTTCAAGCCAGAGCGCTGGCTGGTCGATGCCAACGATTCCTCGCCCGAGTTCGACCAGCAGGCCGGGCCCCAGCTTGCGTTTGGCTTCGGTACCAGAGGCTGCTATGGACGACGTCTGGCATACCTCGAGATGCGCATTATCGTCACAATGATTGTATGGAACTTCCAGCTGCTTCCTTGTCCCAAGGAGCTGGCTGGCTACGCTCCCAAGGAGGGCTTCACGTACAAGCCCAAGGACTGCTATGTGCGCTTGCAGGCGCTTCATTGAGCCGAGGACGAGGAATTTGTACGTGCGATGTAGTTTGAAACATGGTTTCTCTGTTTGGGTATGGTGATTTCCTCCTTATTTCAAGTGGTAAAGGTGCATTTAGATTGAGTTCAGGCGATCAGAATCGGGATAGAGGCATGCAGGTTCTACCAAATAAAGCACTATTCGATGCAGTCTCCATATGTATGTATTCAATATAAGAGAAGATGACTCGTAGCACATCTCGATTTCCGTGATAGCCTGAGAGTGTTGCGCCTCATAAATTTCAAGACCCCCGTTGGTGGAAAGAAGTTAGAGCCTTGAGCAGGACATTGTGTTTGCTAATAGGTCAATTGGCCTGTTAATACAGTGGAAGGTATCAAAAAGTGAAAAAGGAAAAACAAAAGCTCGGGTTCTCAGTCCGTGAATCAAACAGGCTACACCTACGAAACCCTCCATCTTTGCAGACTTCTCGAGATTTCATACCAAGTTCGTATACCAACGGACTAAAGCGTTGTACCGCTCGATCACGCGGATCAAGGGGGCTTGGTTGACGAATGAGTGAATTCAACCTGAATATAAGGCATACGCCCTGCTGTTCTTGCCTACCTGGATGTGATTGATGCTGCGGAAGGAAGGAAGGAAGTTCAGGTGACAGGCTTCCTTCCCGTTTGGCCCCTGGCAAATATATCACGTTTAGTTGCTTACATCACCCACATGTATGACTGCAGTACACACATGTAAGGTAAATTTGCCTCCTAGCACAATGCAAATTAGTCTTTCCTACCCAGAGACGATTCCGCAAACAGTCGTATTATACACAACATATACAGGTGCTTCACTAAGAAATTGACGTTGTATTGTACCAAAATGATCTGATTAAGGTGAAGTATGTATCCCCCTCTCCCTCAGCACCTTATCTCTATCTCCTTTTTATCAGCGACAACTAGGATGCTTGAGCCCCAGCCTCGAAAACGTTGATAACACCGTCGCCATTGAGATCAGCCGGGTCACCGGGTGCTGCGGGCGTTCCGTTGGGGTTGTTGCGGTCAAAGGTGCTCTGAAGCTGCTCGATCAAGCTTGAGCCACCGCCGCCTCCGTTTCCACCTTGCTTTGGTTCCCTCGTGTCCAAAGCGCTGATGTCTTGGCCTTCATCGTCATCTTCTTCGAGATCCCTTGCGACGAGTTCGTCAAGGTCTCTGTCGACTAGGATAGCGGCGTCTACGTCGCCACCGGGGTTGTTCGAGGCAACGCGTGCCTGGAGGTCTGAGACGGCTTCCTTGCCAGACAACGGTTGGGGAAGTGCAGCTACGACACTGCTGAAGAAAAGAACTGCGACGGTAGAGAACTTCATTTTTGCTGATGATGGAAGGATGAAAGGAGATTGCTGATCAGCGGTAAAGTAATATGATTACGAGAGTTGCAAGACGATGACTACTGCCTGAGTAGTGAGGAAAGTGAACTGGAAGACTAGATGAAATGTACTGAGAGTGAGACGAGATACTCCCAAGAGTCAATACAACATGTTGGAGTTACTGGCGGGACGCCTTTTATAGCAGCTGCGCTCATGTGTAGCTTCGATCGTTGAATCCCATCAGGCATTGAGTGTGATGATCCATGATGGTGATGCAAAACTGTTTGGGCTTTTCTAACTTGGGCATGTCAAAGTTGTCCTGGCGGGGAGATCCTGGAATTTGAGATGGGCAGCCTCTCCAGTCTCCATCGACAGAAAATGAGACGGTGTTTGACAAGATGATGTGACTGCTGACTCAGGCCCATCTGTGCAAGGCAGAAAAGGCACTCTTAACATGGAAGTTGCTGGGGAAAGCTCCTGACTTATAGGTCGTTGAAACTACTTATTGGTTCCGTCTCAACTTCCTTTGGTGTGACATATGTCAGCGTCTCAAACTGCAGCCCCTACTCTTCTATCCTCTGACGTTCCCCTCAAGCTTAAAACTATCGCTGGCTAGGTAAAACAGCACCAGACGTCCACACCGGTGTTTCATCTAATCACCCGCAATCAAGCTATTGAATTCGTCTTTTATTATTTCAGACGTCAACCTAGAAAAGATGCATACCGCTTGAGCACAACGCGAAAGCGATGCATCAGACCAGCCCACACCCAGTCGCATGTTCTGCGAGACTTGTTATCAGCGAACTACAAGATGTCCCCCACTTTGGACATGTCAACAGGCTCTCTAAGCCTAGACTCCAGGTCAAAGTAAGGCAATGGAACGCGAGGGTCAATTGCTTGTCCGAGGAAAAGGTCGCAGAAGGCTTTTGTTGACAGAAATACGCGGGCCATTCCTAAAAAGTTGCCTTCCCATTAGCACAGGATGTAGAAAAAGGAACGTTCGGCTGGAAAGATGCGGCTCGGATTTCTCCAGCAAGATTATCAAAACATGGAGGTAGAAGACGTTGAAAAGACGCATGATGCTTACCGTGACCGTGATAGCCGCCAATGAGATACTGGCCAGGCTTTCCAGGCAGTTCTCCTATGAAAGGCAATAGATCCTTACTGAGCCCCATGATGCCGCTCCAAGCAAACGGAACAGGATCTTTAACTCTTAAAATTGGGCTTTCGATGGCATCTTTCCAGCCCTTGAATGTCCGAGACGGCCCTTCTTTGATGAAGTCAAGCACCTCGGGAACAGCAAAGGAGTCATCGCAGTCTCCGTAGCCGCCCTCAGGGCCGTTCGGATGTGCGCCTTCTCCTCCGCCCCAAATCAGGTACTTTTGAAGGCCGGGACGTTGGATAAGATAGTCGTAGTTCTCATCGGATACGAAAGCAAAAGAAGTTGACAGCGGGAAGTCGACGTATGCGGGTGGAGGCGCGATGGCCGCAACGTGACCCTTGAGAGGAATGATGCGCCCATCAAGTTCCGGTAGTAGATGAGAAGCATACCCATTAGTGGCGTGTATCACCTTATTGGCAGTGATATTACCGCGATTAGTTGTGACAGTCCAAATACCATGCTCATTGTCGGCTCGAGAAACTTTCAGCACTGGGGTGTTGGTCTCAAGCTGAAGGCCAGCCTCGAGAGACTTTCGTATCATGGCCATGGCCAGCTTATACGGCCAGAGACTTGAAGCAGGAAAAGTAATGGCGCCAAAGCAGCTCGTGATGCGAAGTCTTTCTTCGGCTTCAGCTTTAGACAAAACTGTGATTTCGGAGACGTCGCCGCCTGCTTCCTTGAAGCCATTGTAAGATGCGAGTCCTGCTTTCCAGGTGTTTTCCGTCAAATACACATCCGCGGACCGATATTCGACGAGGTCTATCTCATCATCGAGGCCATTTTCTCGGATGTATGCCAAAGTTTCGCGGTGGTTAACCGCTTCGAATGCGCATTGTGCCACAGCTACCTCGGGGCCATGTAGCTTGGAGTACGCGGTAAACCCCCGATAGCAATCAGGTTTGATGTGTCCGCCTACGGCGCACAGTCAAACCTCATTGGCCTTAAAGAAGATTTACTGGCTTGGAAACTGAAAACTTGCTTACCATTTCTACCTGTAGCGCCACTTACCGCGGCTCGGGCTTCGAGCATCAATACGGACTTTGGTCTGTGGGTTGACTGATCTGTGAGCAGTCTATGGGCAATAAAGGCACCAGAAATACCAGCTCCGATGATGACTACATCTGCCGAGGTGGGAAGTTCATGGCTAGAAGCACTTAGACGTTAGTTTACCCGCTGCTATTAGCTCTCGCGATAAGAAAGGAAGTTGAAAGCCGGCAAGCAATATCCGCTATCATCATGTAAGATGCAGGATTACACCAACGTTTGACAAGAACGGAAAGCACCTTAATGACTCTCTGCTTCGGAAATACATTTCTGGTCTGTAATATCAGGTTATGAGCTTCTTTGACTTACGACTGATGGTTGCTTATAACTGAATCTGGTTCAGACTGCCAAAACGAAGCTGTCGGATTACTGACTGGCAACGTTGCCGTGTAAGTTGGACCCGACGCCATTTGATGCCTATGCCAGGGGAGAGTCAAAAAGCCACTGGTGCAAGATATTGAATACTGGTCGGTCCTAGGATTTCTTCAACTCTTGAAGCAGACTATCTGAGGACGGTGATAAAAGATGAGATATGCACTGATAAGCCAGCCGGTCACCGGAGGGAACGCGGGGAACTCGGCCACCCCACCTACCCAAGCTAGAGCTTTCCCCACCACCAAGTTGGGAAGCAGACGATCTCCTCAAACACTCGATAGAGGACTATTGCAAAAACATTAATTGTTCACTTCATTCAGAGAATCTGTAGTTCGCATCGAGGCGCGTAAATTCGTGCTTCAATAAGTAGGTGCAGAAATCATTACGGCTGCCGTCAAGCACGGGAGCTCTGGAATGGAAAGGAATGTTTTTTGCTTCACAGGGCTAAGCACAGTAGTCTACGTCTGCACAGGGTGTTTCCACGCTTCATACGCGACCCAAGCCTGGAAAATACCGACGACCAGTCCCAGTATTCCGAGAATAATTGCAATGATCACTCCAATAAGTGTCGCTAGCATCACGTGTCTAGCTTTACTCCTCCGTTCCAACCAGATATAGATAGGTCTGCGAGGTCTTGGGTTCTCAAGTTCGTCGTATAGGTCCATCAGTCGTGAACCCCAGTAATGGTATTTTATATCTTTCTCTGAGTCGCGGAGGTATGGCCGGTCCCCAAGACTGAGGCAGTCGGGGTCGAAGGAGCCTTTCGATACCAAAGATCGTAGGAAAGCTCGCGATTCCTTGTCTAGGGGGAAAAGAATATTCTGGAGAGAGTCTAGAGTCTCCCAGGCTAGTTGTCGCGGTAAGAGAGGCCTACTATATGTCAGTGATTGCATTCAATAGCCATTTTCTTTCAAGCCCTTACTCCGCAATGGATTCCTTTGATGCTTTGAGGCACTCCTTCAGAAAGGCAGTGTGGTGATAAAGCTCTACGATCCCAGTCTTGGGGTCCATCCGAAGGTGGTTTCGAAGATTATCTGTGCCTCGGAATGACAGCCCAGCGACTTTCCTGAGCCTTGTTGCTTTCAAGGCTGACTTGATATCGGGTAGGGTATCGTCAGGCTCGTTGAGGTCAGGATGGTACCTCACTGGAAACACGGTTGAGACCAGCTCCCGCGCAGACTGATCGTTCCTCCAGATACTAGACTCGCTGCCACCAGCCTGTCCCTCGCACGAGCAGCTGATCATCAGGATAGCCTCGATGGCAAGATTGAAGGCCTGCTTCTCGTCTTCCGGTACGGTACTCCTGTCTTTTTGCCTCTTCAAAAAGTACTCTTCCATCAATTCGGCTCTCTGAACGTCTGGTTTGGAGTGGATCAACACGATAATGTCATGCATATCGTCATGCGATCGCAAAGCTTGAACCTCGTCCGGCGGGAAAGTATCCGAGACGTATGATGCTGTGATCTCTCTGTAGTACTGGAAATAGTCTTTACATTTTGTCATCTCAAGCTCAGAGCGCTGGCCTGAACTATCAACACATACTTCCCAACCCCACAGAGCTTCACCTAGTTTTCGTAGTTGCGACGTTGTGGCAGACTCCAATGGAAATGTTTCGATCTCGTACTCGTCCATTGTGAGCGAAGAACCCAAAGGAGTTTTACAAGTTGTGAAAAACATGGAAATTCAAGTCTTCTACTAGAACCTCAAATGGGGACCAACTTGTCAAGATGGAATGGAGCGAGGCGATGCCAGCTGTGGCGCACGCACGCTGGGAGCAGGCTGCGTGATTGAGTGTTGTCATTGGATCTTCTGCACGACTCTGCCGCCGTGGCTGCATGCACATTCAGCAGGTAGTGTCAGGAGGCTGAGCTGTTGACGTGGCAGTGGTGATTGGAACAGGGGTTTTCGAGGTGCGGCATAAGGAAGCCCAACAATGCTTCAGCATCTTGGTTTTGTATGTAAAGCTATTTCGCCCCAGTTCTGAGCCGGTCTAATGCATATTTCCTTCGTATCGTCTTCCCAGTGCAGTCACCATGGCCGACGCATCTTTGGCAGTCCTCAGTCGTAATGAAGTCATCAGCTGTCACAGGAAAACGGACCCGGAGCCACGAGCCTCGAAAACGGCTCTAGATCGCACAACTTCTACCGCAGAATCATCCTCCGTTTCGCAAGATTCTAGAGATTCGGGATACTCATCGCCAGGTCGCCATCCCATCTCTGACTCCCAGGACAGAGTCCAAGGCGACAGACCATCTAGGCCTAAAGGAATTGCAGTCAAGTTGGGAGGCCAGAATCTCTTCAGATTCAAGAACACAACCAGCAAGCCAACGATCGCTCGATTGAATTATGTTATCGATAAGATAGAGCCATTGCTACTACTAGTCAGCTTGAAAAAAACCGGAGGTCGAGTTGCACCAATGGCATTGCGAACAATGACACTCGGGACGAATGAGGAGAACGCTGGCGAGTACATTGTCGTGCTTTGTCCCAAAAAGCTGTTGGGGACTGTCAATGATTTCTTCGATAAAACCAAAATAATCCAAGAGTTGTGCGAACCAACCGAACAGACGCCGAGGCTCAGCATCATCGTCGAGGGTCGAGAGCCTCGGTTACTGGCAAAGCTATGGCACTCTCACTTGTCAATAGAAAGTCGTCCTGGGGATTTCTGTCATTCATTCCTTTACAACAAGCCGACACTTTGTGGATCTTCTCTGAGGTTCGAAGCTACCCTGACAGAGGGAAAGATCGCTACGTTTGGCGGCATGATCAAGGTGGTGAACATGGATGGCCAAGGCGAATTGTACGGAATGACAGCGGGCCACGTCTTTAATAACGAAAACATGACAAAACCTATCTTCGAATACCCCGAACATAGCCCCACGGAAGTGACACAGGAGTCGCCTCCTGGAAACCGGACGGCGCCTCGATACAGGATTTTGGCAAAGGACGATTACGAAGAGAGAGGTCCAGATTTTGATTGGGCTTTAGTCGACTTTGGAGATTTTGCATTCGGCCCAAATACGACTCGGGTAAACGGCGTAGAGGGATACATAAACGACTACCTTACTGCCGAATCTGGAAAGTTCCTAGGGGATGAAACCTACCAGGAGGTTGAGATAATTAGAAACAAAGCGGGAACTTGCTCCGGCCTGCTGTCATGTAAGCCGGCGCGGGTTCTTTTAGGAGAATCTAATGCATTCACACCGGCGTACATCCTCACTTTGAATCAGGGCGAAGGTCAGTCATGTTGAATCTGAAGACACACGAGACAGACGAAACTACCCTTTACTAATGGACGCTTGTAGTGGGAGAAGGTGATTCTGGTGCATGGACTGTGGGTTTAGTCTCTCGTGATGTCTTCGGCCATACAGTAGCAGCAGACATGTTCGGCGACGCATACGTTATCCCTTTGGACCAAACATTTAAAGATATTCAACGAAGTCTTGGTGCCGAATCAGTCCATCTAGCTCTTCGGGAAGACTTCAAATCTGATTTCAGCGAGTGTTGGCCATCTACAGGACTTCCACTCGAGGTCATTCATGAAAGAAGTATAGATTCCGGCTACCATTCGTTCACCCCCCCCGACTTCGACCCGTTTGCGTCTGAAAGTCCAATAACGTTACCTCCATTGGTTTCTGGCTTGGAGAAATGGAGACCTGACCCTTCACTATTCATGAATGCCGACGAAGATGTTGCCCCTGAGCGGAAAGCTGAGCGCAGGCGGCTATCAACGGAGGCTTTCTCGGGGGAGACCTTTGCTCAAAAGGTCGTCACGGTAGAACATGACGCTCAGGATATGCCAGAGAGCAACAAAGGAGACAAATTTTGATAGGTAGGTGCTGAGCATAAATACGGCATCTGAGCAAGCAGTCTTGAAGCTGATCCTGGACCTGGACTAGTCGGTGAGGGGAACGAGCTCTTTGAGAAACGCAGCACAATTCTTTCAAAAGAGAAGTCAATTTTCGGATGATGAACTGACTTCCTTCACGAAGTCAAACGGGTATTCAACAGAGAATCGAAGCAATACAAGAAGGCCTAGAAGGGAAAAGAGGAGGACAAAATTCCCATCGGAAACATGACCCTTCCTCTTTCCCTATAGCCCCTGTTTATACATGTACATACAAGAACATCCAGTTGAGAATGCTGTCCTCACGGCCGTGCGCGTTCGCGTTTCGCCTTAGCCCATGCCCTTGAATCCCTCAGCCCCTTTGCCCGTGTCCTGTCCTGTCCTTGTCCAGAAGTTTTCCCAATGATGTGTGTTTGAATGGTGTTTTGTCATTAAAATGACCCGGATCTCGTGATGTCGAGTCTGGGTGGGATACAATGCCGTCGTCGTCTAGTACGACAGTCTTTCTTGATTCATGAAGTGTGATTCTGGTCGTCGTGTTGCTCTACAAGGGTGCAGGGGGCTCGTCGACCATCTCGGCGTCCTCCGTGACGGCGAGCACGGAGTCGAGCACGCCGTCGGGACCCTCGCCATCGTACGTTTTACCGCCCTCATATGTCTTCCGTCTCCAGCCGCAAGATTCCGACGGGTCCTTGGTCCACTCCGTTGTCGGGAAGTAGTGCTCGTTCTTCTTCATGGTGATGACCCAAGGCACGCTGTCAAAGGTGACAGCCTTAAGTCGGAAGTCTGCAAGAAACACGATTAGCTGATGTACAAGGAACGAATGGGCCGGATGGCTACTTACAGGTGTTGTCTGGGATCTTCTGGACGGAAGCGAGGAAGGTCTCCAGATCAGGCGTCGCCTTGCCGTTCACGTGGGTGATGAAGTTGGTGGGCGCGAGGCCGTACTGGTAAGAAGGCGAACCGCGAGTGCGAGCTGACACGTACACCTCGCTGTGCAGCTTGCTAATCTGCTGTCTGACGGCATGGTGAGGTCGGTGCAGAATGGCGCCACAGAAGGAGATCGCATGGTCGGTCTCGACATCGTCGGCGGCGACGGTGTGAGCCTTGATGTGGATCTCCTCGCAGTTGCGGACGATGACGGCGTCGAGGACCTCGTGAGAGTACATGATGTCCAGCTCGGAGACCTTGGTGATGACCTTGCCGTTAAGCGTGAGCAGGATGTCACCCTCGAGCAGAGCGCTTGACTGCTCACTGCGCTCAAAGGTCCGCTTGCTGACCATGAAGAGCTGGTGGTGTGTCTTGTTGGCTTCGGTGACCTTGCTGATCCACTCGTCGGAGACGCCCATCACTCTAGCTTGCGCCATCGCGATGGCTCTGAACTCGACGGAAAGCATGCGCAGCTTGGGAACGATGCCCTGCTGAATTTGAGAGACAACAGGCAACAGAGTAGGCGTAGCAAGACCAAGATGGTACTCCTCATCACGGTTGCTGCAAGGAGAACGCTCGCCCAAGTAAGTGAGCCACAAGGCCTGGACCGTACCATCGTCGGCGACAAGAACACCGCTGCCGCACTGGTTGCTGAGACTCGTGTCAACAGTAATGGCATCGACGTTGATGGCACGGTATCTGGGTGCACCAGAGTTGGCCGGGATCGCCACGGCGGTGACCTCGGTGACTGTGGTGGAGGCATGGACAATTTTTCCAATCCTGTTGTATCCCATGAAGTTGGTGGAAGCTCCTTGGGTGATGTTGTCTGTGCTCAACCTCGCGCTTTGAACGGGAGCATTGACCAGCGCCGGGTCGTATTGCACAATGGCATAGTTCTGAAGGGGATGGAGGAACACGACCTTGCCCTCGACAATGATCGAGTCCGCGATGGTGATCGTCACATCGCACAGATCGTAAGGCACAATTGCTCTTGAGATGACAACAAGACCCTTGTCGGCGTCAATCACCAGGCCCATGCCCCACTTCCTGTTCTTAGGGAAGCCGTCCAGCTTAACAGGCATGGTGCAGTTGACGTGGACGAAGCTGCGCACCAGGTCGGCAATGGCCGTGTGCTTCACATTCTCGAGTTGAATGAAAGAGGCGGAGCGAGCAACAGGTGCCTTGGGAGGAAGGGGATCAGCCAGGTCAGTGAAGTCCCAGAGGCCAGTCTCATCGTTCCGGACAGCCATCTTCATCTTTGCTGACCAGTGACGGTCGACGTAGATGATTGTGGTGTTTAGAGTGTGCAGATCACGCAGGTGCTTGTAAGTTACGACCACGCGGGATTTGTCTGGGATCGTCTTCATCACCTCGATGAAGGTTTCCAGATCAGGGGTCTTCTTGTGGTCCACCGTTTGAATCAGCCAGCCATTGTCTGCGTTGTCGAATCTGAAAGAGCCAGTCGCCTCGCAAACGAAGACACCTTGACACGCTACGCCATACAGACGGGCCTGCTGATATGACAGGCTGTGGAAGCTGGCGCCTGCGACGGACACGAAGCGGTCAGGGGTGATCTTGTGTAGGTCACCGACCTCGACATCGACCTCAATGTCCTCGCCGCCTCTTTGGATTTGGAGATGGATGGTCTGGCCAACGTTCGAGTCCAGCAGATCATCCAGACGGATGAACTGACCAACACGCTCGCCGTTCACCTTCACCAGGATGTCGCCTTCCTCAATCTTCTGGTCAGATTGTCCCTTGGGAAGGACGATTTCGGCAACGAGCATGTTGTTGTCCTTGGGGAAGTGCTGACGAGTCGCAGCCTCCGTTTCCGGGGTAAGGCCGAGGCGTCTACATTCGTCGAAAGGCTTGAGGAGGAATTGACATTGAATGTCACCTCTTGTGACGGGCTTGCCCTGGCGGATGCATTCCAAAGCTCGTAACGGGCGGTCCAGTGGCAGGAAGTAATCTGTTGAGGCGCCATCGGATCGTCCACCAGCTTGCAGAGCCACCGCAAAGCCGTCCACGTTCACAACCGGACTGCCAGAACTACCACCACTGGCGGCAGCATTGGCTTGGTAGTAGCAGGTGTTGAAGTCGCTGTATCCTTCTCCGTATTCCGGCGCGTTTCGGTCTAGACGACTGATGAAACCAGACAAGATACTGAGCTTCTCTCCGGCATCGTTACCCACCACTCTGATTTCAACTCCAACTGTCAAGCTGTTAGCGGATCCACTCCCAAAACACTACCCATCAAGGTGTTTGCCTACCCTTCGCAAGGTCCGGACGCAGCACCAGCGCGTTCAGCTTCATGTACTTGACAGCCTTGGGATCGAATCGAAGAATACCGAAATCGTGAACGGGGTCGCGGTAGACGGGGTACGCATCAACCTCTTCGTGGTTGTCGAAGACGACATAACCCCAGAACGGTCCGGATCCAACGACGTGTCGGTTAGTCAAGATGTATCTGTAGTCCACTTCGTCAGCCCCCTGCCTCCGTATGATGACTTGCGTCCGTAAACTCTGAATCTTACCCCTTCTGAGCGTCCACCACGAAGCCAGTGGCCTCACTCGTCAACGCTGCGTCCGTGTCAAAGGAGCAGGTCTGGCAGAAGCGAATGGAGACAACGTTGCTGACAACGTTCTCAATGGTCTTTTGCCACGCCTCCGGCTCCTGTGTCATGGGAAACATGCCGTTCAGCCGCGCGGCATCCTCGAACTCGCTCTCCTCCTCAAGCTCCTCAACGCGCTCAACCTCGGGTGTGTTGTCGCCGGCAGACAGCTTGCCGTTCAGAGCGCGATGCTGCTTATGGGGTCGCAGGCCCTCGGAGCTTGTAGGGGCCTTGCGCTTGGAGCGCGGCGATGCGCTGTTGCCGTTCATGTTTGCGGTCTCGGTCTTTGTGGTCTGGGTAGAGGGTAGTTCGCTTTGCTGCTGCGCCGACAAGGGATCAGGTTCGACGGCGGCTGAGAAGGGGCGGCGAGTCTGGGCGCCGATGGTTCGTCGCGTTGTCTTATAGCCGGTGTCTCTGGATGAAATGGCTCGAGCTATACGGGAGTACCCGCGTTGTGCGAACGGGAGGAGCTCGAGTTGGCGTCGAAAAAGCTGGGGGGAGGTAAGGGTGAAGGTTCTGGTGGTGGTGGTGGTGACGGTGACGGTGGTGGTGGATGCTGTCCAAGGTCGTCGTGCTAGTACTGCCGGGGTGGATGCAAGGCTTAAGCAAGTCCCTCTGCCTCCAGTAAAGACGGAGCGCATCCAGCGAGAGAAGGTGGAAGAAAAGGATGGCAACCTTCAGCTGTGGATACGAAAATGAACAATGCCTTTGTCAAATGCAGGGCGGGCAATTGGCTGTCCTGGCTATCAGAGTAGGGTGTGACTGAACCTCAAGCTGCTGCGCATGTGATCCCCCTATGAGTGTGGGAAAGGTGATCTAGCAGAGTTGTGCTGAAAATGCGAACACCTCTTGCCAACGTCGTTTGTCGTCAAAAATTTCAGGTGCGGGACGATGGCAAACAAACAGGATCTGTCCGATATGGGGGTCACCCAGGTGAGATCACCAGGCTAGATGCATAAGAGCCCGCTTAATGGGTGCATGTCCCGGGTGGGTGTCCATCCCTGCTAATTTTCTCCACTAATTCCCCGGTTGCTGATGTAATGTGACACTAGCGTCCCTGTTGAGGCCTGTACAGTTCGCTAAGGCGGTCTAGCACTCTGGCAAAGTTCACTTTAACACTCTTGACGGCAGACGTCAATGAGTGTGGTGCCTGGCCCGCAGGCCGAGATGGGACGGAATGGATCATGCTCTCACGCAGCACACCACCAACGACCGAACTCCAGGCTGCAAGAATATGCAGGTCTCACAACGTCCTGCTCGAATGACCGGCCGGGATGCACCTTGAATGGGAGTCCATGTTCGGCGACCTGATTCGTTGGAGAGCCGGTTTATCGATTGTCGGGCGAGGTTTCGGGGCTTCATCACCGCCCACCAAGTCGCTTGATATTGTCTTCCAATCCGGACAATCATTTGTCGCCACCGGCTTCCAGCCACATTTCACTCCAAGCTGATTGTCCTTTCTCGCTTGGTTCACGGACTACAGCATGGCCCCAGGAGAGGTTATGGAGAGACAGCGAATGAGCCCGAGGCCCAAGACAATGGGCTCAGCAAGAGAATCAAGATATGAGAGTGAAGAGTATTCCTTTTGATCTCTGATGACCTGAACTACCTCAGGGACGTATGTGAACGCAAGAGCAATGGGTCGCACGTTCTGTCCCCTTTCCAAGCCATTTCAGAGTAATGTCCATTCCTTGCGCGGAACCCAATGAAAACCAACCGCAGCCATGTAGAGTGAGACGGCTATCCAGCGACGGCAGCAAGTATTAGATAACCTCCTGCTCGCCATCCTTCTCATCCTTGGTCTCGACCTGGGTCTCGAGTCCTCCAACCTTGGCCTCAGTCTCAGTCTCCTGAGCCTCTTCAGCCTCGGTCTTGACCTGGGCCGCCTTCTTAGCAGGGGTACGTCGCTTCTTCGGAGTGCCATCTAGGTAAAAATGGATCAGCTACATGCAAAATTGGGAAACATATCTTTGAATGTGATATTTACCAGCGTTGGTCGCCGCAGCGCGCTTCTTCGGGGTGACCGGCTTGGTCTCCTCGCTGCCCTCGTGGTCGCCGTTGGCCTCCTCGCTATCCTCGGCAGCAGCGACAGCCTTCTTCTTGACGGCAGTCTTGCGGGCTTGGAGAGAAGTCAGCTTGAATGTATATATGAGTAGAATAATGATGACTTACGGGTCTTCTGCTTCGGGGCTGCGGCCTCGCCGTTCTCGCCGGTGTTGATCTCACGCATCTGAGCGATGATGGCAGTCCACTGGCCCTGAAGGGCCTTCAGGGTGCGGCCCTCCATGTTAACATTCTTCCAGTCAACTCCTTTGCCGTCGGGAAGCACAGTCGCAAGCACGCGGAGAACAAGCTGGAACTGTATATCTGTGTGTTAGAGAAGCCGATCATGAAATGCAAATGCGACTGAACTGAAGCCAGACTTACGCGCTCAGCATCGGTCCAAGCACCGACGCGACCAGCGGCAGGAGCCGCCTCGCTACCGTTGATGGACTTGGTGTCAGCCATGTTGGAATGATGATATTCCTCTTTGCTGTAAGTTTGATTCGTCAGTCGCTGAAGACAACGTGTATGTAGTACTGATGGAATGTAGGGGATGTGAGAGGAGAATGAGAATTTGAGGACAAAAGACGTAAGATGCGAAGGCAATGGCGGAAAGAGCAATCGTAGCGAGAGATAGAAGAAGGTGCGAGAGGGTAGTAATGAAATTGAGATTGACGTTGATGATGGAAGGGGGTTGAGTGAGGCAGGTAAAATATTCGGGCTGCGAAGGTGTATTGCTCACTTGCAGTGAAAACGGTGATAGACGATGAAGCTTTTGCAGCTTCGTTGTGTAGTTGAGGCGATGATAACAAGCGTGAGTGTGAAAAGAAGTGTGAGGGTGAGGAAGTGAGAAGGGTAGAATGAGAGGGTGGAAGAGCCGGGTTTTATGTGAGAGGTGGATGAGAATGAGGCGGGCCTCTGGCAGTGTAAATCAGGAAGGAAGGTCGGGGAAAGGTTCAGGGCGTCTCCTTCCTCAAATGCTTCTGTCTTCTCAGAGATATCGAGCTACCTAGAGCTCTCTCAATGCGAGATGGAATGCCTCTTCGAAGTAACCTCCTCCGCGGGAGGAAGGAAGCAGGTTCTCACCACCCTCGACGAACCAAAAACATGCAATAAGTGTAAAACTCAGTGATGATATCTCACCATCCAAGACAGATCCCCATAAACCCGAGAAAGAGAAAAAGAAGCCAAAAGACTCGAGGAAACTCCCTTCACTCACATGTTGCAAGTAAGATGCTTGAGCAGAGTTCCCATGTTGTGTCCGTATTGATGCCAGCACATGTTGTTGGCGAAGTCCTGGGGGATCATTCTGGGGGTCGGCTTGAGGATCGGCCTGGGAGGTCTCAACGGAGGAAGCACAAGAGCCTCCTTCGGCTCGCCAGGGGTCTTCGCCATGGCTGATTCGATTCAAGTCGAAGTCGAAAAATGCGGTGCGAGTAAAAGCAACGTAGAGCAACTTTCCGCCCGTTGTTTCGATTCCGTAAAGCGATGTCGAAGCTTGAGCCTCTCGAAGATGGGCAAATAATTGCAAACGACAGAGGGTTGTTCCAGGAAACAATTCAGAGAAGAGAAGAAAGGCAAGCAAGGCTTTCCTTGGATTAAAGTCACAACACAAGCGGAGCTAGAGGCCTCCTTCACGGGATCGTGAGATCTAAGAACGTTCCGGATCTCGAGCCACGTTCAAGCCTTCGCCTCTTCCTCCTTGATAGAGAGAGAGACGTAGTAAGCATGGCATATGGCTGTGAGCCGAGGGCCACAAAGGACGACATGAGCTACCCGTAGAAAGAAAATTGATCAACAAGAAAAGGGCAGTTAAGAGAGGGAAAGGGTTTGGTTTGTAGGAGTTCAGGAACTCGCGATGACTTCAATGTTTATTGTGTTGGTGTTGACGTAAGGATCTAGGGAAATCTACTTCATTGCTTGTAAATTTACGAAATTTCCCCTTGCCATACATCTACATGGACAGCGGAGGACAGAGATTGCTACATCTGATACGAAAGCAGTAACACGGCGAGATATTCACGAGCATTAGAATAAAATCACAACGACAAAATGCGTAAGTCTAATGATGCTGGTTGTCTACTCGATTCCCCATGCCTGTCCAGCTTGAAGAGTTTCAACCAAGCTTAATAGGGGTAGCCTCAGAAGGGCCCCAAGAATCTGATATGTATTACACAACCCGATCCACCCATAGTAGCCAAGGCAAGAAACAACCAAGGCCTGGCCATGCAAGACTGTGATGACCGTAGGCCAGCACAATCATAAAGGATCGAATCGAAGAACCCCAAAAAACCTAACGCAGAAGAGCAAAGTGCAAAATGTAGCGCAAATATGGGTGTATACACACACCCCTCCCTCTTCGTCTATGTCATAATGGTGTGTCGCCGTTAACGATGTCGGCGAGTGAGTGTATGTGCAACGCGGCCTGGTCGATTGTGCCAGTCAAGAGAGACAAGGTTGAATCGTAATTAGTATCCCCCCAAATGCCGGGTATCGTTCTGTGTCGTTTCCCATTTAGTCAGAGCTGTCGTCAAAGTTGAAAATTACACCCCCGTAAGGTAAGAACAAGGATTTCGAGGGCAGTAGAATCCTTCCCAAGCAGAAGGCACAAACAGAATAAGAGCCTTCACTTATGCCATCTTGCCCTTATATACCATGAACTCACGAATGCGTGCTTCATGGTCTTCGCATGCGACAGCCCATTTCCTTCGAACTTCCTTATCTTGTGCCATCCACTCAAGATATTCGTGAATCTCATCATCGCCGCGAGAGACGAGGAAGGAATAGCCCTTGCGAGCTCGGAGATCGGCGATATTTGCCTTGCGAGCGTTGAAATGCTCAATCACTTGAGCGTTGAAGATCTCCCATCTCAAAACGTAACTCTGGAAGTCCTGGGTGTACTTCTGCCAGGCACCGCCGGTCGGCTTCAAATTAACCGCGAAAGTAGGCGGGGGTCGGGGTGCTTGCGGGATGACCGGGAAATCGAGCGAGGCCTTCTTCTCCTTGTCGATCGGAGCGCGGCCTGACGGCTGACTCTCAAACGGCAGGCTCATCTTGAGATCATTCAGAGAACCTAGGCCAGAAGAGTTTTGCGCGAACGGCGCCACATTCTTGAGGTCAGCAAGGCTGGCCCTAAACTCCTCGCTGTCTTCAGAACCGGCATTGTTCGGGTTGAACTCTGGCTTGCGCGCAGGTAACTTCGGGCCGTTTTCTTGCAAGCCATTGCCTGGCCTCCATTCGGGACGAGATGGTTCCACAGGGATGTTTCTTGCGCTGTTCGAATGATCTCGCTTTTGAGAAGTCCCAGTCTGCGGGGGGTCGATGTCCATAGCATTCGGGCTGTTCGCACCGATAGGCTCCGCCATTGACTTTCGTCCTCTCCACTCGGTCTCCTCGTCACTGTCGTAGTCATCATTCACCAGTCCTGCATTGCCCCCTGCCGTCGGCTTGACCTTGGTCTTCCTAGAGTTGACGCGAGAAATTCGGGTAGGAGATGTTGATGTAGAGTGCGTCTTATGCGGCACGAAGTTTTGGGCCCCAATCTGTTGGGTCCAGTCTTGAGCATCAAACTTTCCTTCTGCAGAAGGCGATCCTGCCGGCTGGCCCGACATATCCTTCTGGTGTCTCAAGCTGGGACGCTTGATCGGTGATCGACGGCCTACGCGGCTTCCGGATTGTGAACGAACCTTGGCGGCTTGGTCCTGGATCGGACTGCCGGCGCTGAATTTCCAAGCATCTGGACCATCACCGTTAACAAAGCTCGTGTCAATTTCCTCGGTGCTCCTGCGGCTGAAAGTTGGCTGCTCTGGCGCGGCGGTTCGGGCAAAGGTGTCATCGTCGATCGGAAAATTGAAGCTATTGGTAATCTTCTTGTCAGCTTGGCTCGGTGTAACATCATGGTGAGTGCCAATCGCGTAGCGCTTGTCACGAGAAAGCGGCGCCAGGTCTGGCGCTTGTCTCTTCACAAGCTTGCTCAGAAGTTCGCCCTGCTTTCGCTCGAATGGTGTGAGTGAGTCGCTCCTCGACCTATCTCCACTAGGAGACGGCGAATCATGCAGTTCTGCGTTGCTCGACTGCTCAGGAAGCGGATGCTGCGTTGCACATCGTGTGCGAGCCTCGGCTGCTGACTTGCGCCGCAGGTTGGGGACCGCAAAAGGAGGGAAAGAACCTGGGGGAAAAGATGTTCCGTACATTGAAGATCCTTGTGCCGTGTGAATATTTCCCGCTCCTGCGAAGACGTTAGCTTTTGCTGGGTTATAAAGCTTTAGACAATCCCACCATTAGGATTCTGAGAAGGAGTGGTCTTCGCCTGCGCATTGTTCGGACCAGGACCGGTGGCCGTGTTCGGTGGGGTGTATCTTGCGCTTGCGCGGGATCTGAATGGGTCCTTGGGCGAGTTGGACGCAGTTGCAGCCGCCGTATTAGGGCGATCCTCTTGCGGCGTCGAAGTCGAAGTGCGAGGGCTCGACGGCTCAGTCCTTGCTTGACGGGGGACACTCTGGGCGCGTTGACGAGCGCTGCCAGGCGAAAGATTGGGGCCGTAGCTATCCTGAGGTGGCCGAGGGCTTTCCCGGGTGCTTTTCGCACGTCCCACAGAGATGCCATCGAATGGATTCAGTTTCTCGCCGCCATGTGACATGTAGGGAGTGCTTTGGCGAGAATCCGAGTCCCTAAATTGCGCCAGAGGGTCTGGCACTCCTGCCTCTTGTTGTCTTCGCGCATTGTCTGCGAAAATGTTGGTGTGCCGGGATGAGGTGGAGTAGTTGGACGAGTTCACCGGAGGCTCATCTGCAGGGACTGGCGAGTGAGGAGTGTAGCCAGGTTTGCGTCCAAAGGAAGCCTCCGCCCTCTGTTTCTGAGAAGGAGTCCGGGGAACTGGTCGCTTTGGAGTCTCGGGGGCCTTGGCGGGCTTTGGCTGGGACTGGCTGGCCCGACCCTTCATATTCTCAAAAGCATGCCAGGCATTCCGCTTCGCTTCTGGGTCGTCTCTCGTCTGCGCTTTCGCCGTTGGTGCCGCACCCGAAGCAAAGTTGCGGTATCTACTTGCTCCTGAGGCTGGCGGAGGCGGCGGCGGATTACGAGCTGTCGCATTACGACGAGGTGGGGGAGGGAAGTTAGCACCGGCATTCTGCCAGGGGTTGCCTCGGACTCCGGACGCTGTAGGATATCTCGATCGCGTTCTCCCGGCATCGTACTTGGCTCGTTGTTGAGGGTCGGTAAGAATTTCATGGGCTGACTGAATAACCTGGAATCGGGAGTTGACTTCAGCTTCTCTGCCTGGGTTTCGATCGGGGTGGTACTTGAGTGCTAGTTCGGGTTAATCGACTCGTTCGACAGGAAGAGATCAGCTTCACCATACCTAGCTTTCGAAACTGTTTCTTGATCTCATTCGTATCTGCGTCTGCCGGAAGCTCCAGATCCGCGTAGTAATCGCGGCTCATGTCGACTCCCCCCATCCTGACGGTGGATTGATGTTCGACAGACTAAAGACTCTGGAAATGCTGACTGTTTTGTCCAAAACGCATGCCAAGCTTAGGATATCTCGACGTGGCGAAGATTTGTAGAGGTGTAGACCAAACGAAGCACGCTCGAGATTGTCGAAAGTAGCTTCGCCGCCTGTCTGTGTTGAAGGTTGCCGGGATCTAGATACACAGCCTTGTGTTGGGTAGGTCTTGGTGTGGCGTAGCTCAGAAGTGTCGCCTGCGTAATTGGTGGCTGAGTAAAGTGACGTGACAGTCGAGATTCGCAAAACGATCGGGTTCTCCAAGCACCGTTATTTCGGTCCGGGAAACGTAGTTGCAATGGCTGTCTGCAGCTTCGAATTCTACCACGTTGGCAGATGTAGGTTCGTCTTCGGAAGGTCGATCGAAAGGTTGTGGGTTTCTGTAAGGAGGGGGAAGGCAAAAGAATGAGTGGACTAAGGCAGCAAAGGAAGTCAGCAGTCGTGTCACGGGTAATTTGGAACAAAGTAGCAGGTGTTTTCGCAAGCGGAAGTTATCGTGGTAAAGGGCACGGCAGTAGTTTTAGAAGAGGTAAGCAATCGCGGAAGTAACACGAGGGTAGCAGTCGCCCAGTTGTAAGATGACGGGAAGAACGTTGGCAGCTGCTCCCCACAGATCTGGAAGGTTTGGTGTTTGTTGCCCCTCGCAGCTCGCAGCGTTATGTTGAACAGGCGACTACTGCACAGCAACAAGGATATGCGTTGATGCTAGATGACGGAAGCAGGCACCGTGGGGGGGAGGAAGAGAAGCGATCTGAAGCAGGGTAGGCTTGCCGGGCTGAGAAGTCGAGCCAACCAGTCGACGAAGGCACTGGAACCGCAGGAAGTTCGCTGGCACTGGTTGGCCCTTCACCGTCGTTCTGCTAGACAATCTCACATAGAGGAAGACGCGGTGATGATTGGGCAGATGCGATGCGACGTGCGTGTGTGGGAAAGCAACTCACCGAGATGACGTCAAACTGGGAAGCAGCTGCTGCTGCAGCAGATGCCAAAAGCTGACTACCGTGGGCGAATGTCGGACGAGAGCCGCGGGTGCCCGGCGGGAGAGGCGAGGTGGAAGAGACGCAGCTGTAATGCGACGTTGTTCCAAGGAAAGGGGTTCGCGGGTAGTTCGTCAAGACGAGAAGAAAGGAGCCGCATCGGCAGTGTGCGAAACCGAAAAGGAAGAAGCAAATATTAACTGAACGTTTGTTTTTGACGGGCCGTCTAATCCACCTCTGTCCGTTCGGTTGCGCGGGCAGCAAGGAGGGATGGATGGGGTAAAAGGGTCTAGTTTTTTAGAAGGGTTCCCAGGGACTCCCCGGTTACCTCTGGCCTGAGCTGGATCCCCAGCTGCCTCGAGCTCCCCAACCGTTGCCTACCTTGCCCGCGGCCAGTCCGCGCCTGCTTGCTTCTCTCCACTGACACGAACGCACTCCCCCCCCCCCCCGCGCTTGGCGGCAAGACGCGTGTAAGTGCGCTTGACGCTATTGTGTTCTCGTTTCGGCGTAACGTAAGGCATCCCAGAATATCGTCTGAAATCTATTTCAATTGCACCCAATACGCCTCTTCGAACAGTATCCGCAATAGGTAGGTAGTGGAAGGGTGAGGTATCTACGGATAGCTGCATCATGTCGCCTCCATGGTGGGGATCTCGCCTCAAGCCTCACCCGAGTTGCCTAACCTTTCTTTAGTCAGCCTATCCAGCTGGGCTAAGCCACTGTTCTAGCGTGGAATATCGGCAGGCGTGATGCATCTCCAAGCATCGCCTGGACAAACGGAGCCGAGGATGGAGTTGGAGGCTGGAGCTATCAAAATTGCCCCAGTTACGGATTCTTCGTATGCTCTCAACGCTGCGTTGATTCGACGGCATCTGCGCCGATGCATTCCAGTCAAGGGGGGTGACCTCAAATCTCGAGAGACAAGACGTTTGAAGGCGAATCCAATCTTCGGCAACCTCGTGCCGGCCTAAGCTGACACTAACTAAGGTAATTAGACAGTAGCTTGAAAATCTCCGACTGGAGCTGTCTGAGCTGAGGCCTCAGAACCCCCAATTGCGCCTCACATCTATTGAAGAAACAATTTCCTAAGAGGAAATCTTGAGCCAGATGGAGTATTACGAGCTTTTTGTGATCAATCAAACAAACAATCTCTCTTCAACACGTCAAGGCGGCTGATAACAAAAACTACTGAAAGATTGTCACAAAACTACCGTTGCCCGGCCTCCCAGCTTGGCTCATCTGCAGTAAGCCCGCCGGACCCCTCCCCCGCATGAACCCAGGTCCACGCGAGTTTAGAGCCCACTCCTACGCCAGCCGAAAGCTACGTAAACATCTCAAAGCCGGTTTTGTTTCTTCTATCGAACTTGAACCCCCTCTACGTATTCACAACGATGCGTGAGAGGGGATGATCGACCAAACACCTTGCCTTAGGATCAAACACTTATGCTAGACGACGTCAGGATCAGGACCCGCCCCCGCCATCCAGACAGACCAGGGGCATATGGATGCCCTGGGCCTCAGCTTCATTGGCCTCTTGTAAGGCAGTGGTCTTCTGCAACGCATATGATCTCAAGACAACCTACTCAGTGAATACAGGTGGAATCTCCCTGTTCTTTGTCTCATCAGCGCCATTAATCCTGAATTGCCAGGCGGAAGAATGGGAGGGGAACATCTAAGACGTATCCATTGGTGCCTTTCTCAACTAAGTCGCAGCCTCTCGCTTTTATCACCAAATAACTGAGATACTTTTCAAATCTTCCTCTTCGAGACCTTTATCATGGTAGTCACTCTAGTAGTCTCCGGTACCTTAAAAGTTGCCCCAGAGCAGTCCCCTCTGCTAGCCGCCTGGCACAAATCAATCCTTGAACGCCATCGCTGTGAACTTATTTCCCAGCCCCTCTGTGTTTTCACTTTTACATGTATGGTAGACCTTGGTTGTTATGGGGAAGTCGAGTACCCTAGTCCTCGGTCCCGCAGCATCAATGACAGCCATCTCTGTGCGTCATCCTAAGAGGCTCTGATGGAAACTCATAGCTGGGTTGGCGCAGTGGTTTTTGTCCATCCCTTGTTCTTCATGTTCGCCTCAATTGCCCGCCAGATCGACTCTGCAGCTTCCTTGTCCCTGAACTTGGCCGCCTCCTGAGCACCAGTTCCATCACGCCAGCGATCAACGCCGAGCTGCAACACGCGGTGGCCCCAGTCCTTTACGCTGTCTGGCGGTTGCTCCCCGCGCCAGCCGATGAAGACGCCCAAAATACGGCGGAACAGATCCGGAGGAGAGCTCCACTTGTAGTTCTTGAACTGCCACGACTGACCAGTGGTGAAGACTGCGACAACGCGATTCCAGTACTCGGGTTTGAACTGCTCAGGGCCCTCGACGAGAATGAAACGCATGGGCCGCGACGGGTCGATATCCTTCATGACGCGGGAGACGTGCAGCATGCTAGCAGCAGCGCTGCCGTCGGGCTGCACGTAGCGCCCTGACTCGAGAAAAGAGCGGATGTTGGACAGGCGCAGAAGGGAGGAGGCCGAGGGCGAGAGGAGGATAATCGGGTCTGGTCGCCTCGTTGGAGCCTTCTGGTTGAGCGCGAGGGATGGGTTGGCGCTTATGTTCGACGAGCCATTGGGTTTCTTCTGGATGAAAGGAACAGCGAGCTTGCGGACATGAGAGAAGTCCTAAACAGAATCGAGTCAGTCATGTGTAGCTTGGTTGTGAGGTTGATCGCGACTCACCGTGTGCTTCACGCCGCGCAACACAGAGTTGCGATCCCCCATCTTGCGCTCTCCATTGTAGATGACCGCCAATCTAGGATCCAAAGTGCCTCGTCCAGCTCGACTCGCCGCAGTTGCTGGGGCAGTCTTGGACGCGCTCGCACTAGCTCCCTCCTTGCCGTCCTTGTCGCCAGCCAAAGGCTTGATGTGTTCACTCTCCTCACTAGCGCCTTCCAGCCAAGTGAACAAGTCTAAACGTTCGACGAAGGCAAGGTTTTGGACAGTGCCTAGGCTGCCCAATTCTTCGTTGAGGCGGGTAGCGCTCGCGTTGTATTCGGGAATCGCAACATCCTTGTTTAGCCAGGCGAAGTAGATAGATCGCAGGTCGACCGGGCGGTCGCTTGAAATGAAACGCGTCGGTGTCGAGAGCGATACAGAAACTGGAGCTGGGTGCGAGAAGAGTAGATGGGTAGCTTGCGAGAGAGGAACCTCGGTCGCAGAAGCATCGGCTGAAGCTGTGGGAACCGCAGGTCGTTTCGATGCGATGGACTGCCGCAGCAGGAGCAATGGATCCTGCTCGTTAGCAGCCATGATGATAAGTAGAAGAAACGACTAGGATTATAAGTATCGGGCCCTTATAGAGCTTCTGAAAGCCTGGAAAGATGACCAAAAGGCTTGGATGACCGAATTGAGCTTGACTTGGGTTGTATGTGTAGATGCGATGGGTGTTTACGAGCCTCGAAATTTGGGGCTAGAGGTTCAGCCTCACTTGCTGGCTACCTATCGCCATTTTCAGCCACATTACATGGCCCATATTAATCAACTTATAGAGCTGCGCCACAATTGGGCCTCCTACCTATGCACCTCCAACCTCCAAGCTGCTTTCTGTCGACCTTGACCTACACATCCCTATAATCATGATTTGGTTAGAGAACGCATGATTATTAGTGATGCCCACACAAGGTAATAGGACCGTGAGAATACGTCAATTTGATTCATTCTAGGGCGTGAATAAAGGCTCAACCAGCATCAGTCCCATATTGATCTCTCATCGGTCTCCGAGGTAATGGACACCTCTGATCCTTGGCGTCTGTCACTCATTTTATGCTCTATTTTGAGTGTTGACTCCTTCCTCCCTCTCCCGTGATAGACACAAACCCCAGTACCACTCGATACGTGTTTAGGGTTCGCCGGACACATTGGACTACTGGGTAGGTGCTCCGGAAGATCAAATTCGAAATTGCGAGGTCCTGTCAGTCTCCGCTTGGGTTGCATTCGTTGCTTTGCTTCCCACCACTCCTTGGGTCTTTTTGGGAGACTATCGTCGCATCTCGTTTGGTTTCGTTTAATACTTGTAGATCTGGCCGGTTGAGCAGCGTCCCAGGTATCACTGTCTTCCCCAGGTGGAACCATGTCTGTGAAAAAGCCTCGTGGCTTTCCATCCGCAGTGTCCTCATGCGTTGGCGGAGTTCTCACCCTTGTAGCTTCCTGATGTGACGGTCAGTTGAACACTTCTCGAAGATGATCTGGACGCACTCACTCCAGCAGGGTACGGCGTCAAGGTAGAGTCTTGTTGGCCTATCTCTTGATGTTAGCTTACATTAAGATTGGCGATTGTTGGTTTCTTACCACTCAGAAAGCCCTCGGGATCAGGCGTGACAGGTGGCGTTTTCCCTGCCAGAAAGTCTCGTACAGAACTTGTGGCACTGCTGATGGTGTCGTTGGAGTCTTTGCGGTGCCAAGGGGCCTTGCCGAACCAGCTTGTGCCTGTGACCGTAGACCTTTGATCTTCTTTGTGGGTAAACCAAGTCAGCGTTTTGGATATCGGAGAGCTTGAGATATTCTTCGGCACGTCGGCGAGTTGCTCGGAGGCAAGAGATTCGGATATCGACCCGGACGATTGCTTCTGCTCAACATTAGCATACACCCCGCTCGGTCTAACATCAATGTACTGACAGTCATGTTCTTGAATAAAGAAAACATTTTGATGCTTTTCCGGCTCTGGATGCTTTGGCTTATTGATGGGGCACCAGAGCTTGCGCCATGAATTGATTCCAACGGCTGTGCTAGCTCTGGAGGAGGTTCTTGGAGTGTCATTGCTAGTTTTTCCTCCGGTGAATTGAGGGTATGTTGAATGCTCGGCATCCGGTCCAAACTAGGTCGTACTGTGTGAAGCAACGTATTCTGCAACACTCTAGTCTGGAACTCCTCTGACGATGGGCTAAGAGGCCCATTGGAGCTGAGTACGGACCTCGGAGACGGGGGAACATCCGGAGGCAGCATCCCTTGCTCACTGGTGCTGACGTTTCGAATCTTTGGGGATCTGTTGGCCCATTTCCAACGCTTATTTGCGCTGCCTTGGCGCGCCTTTCCAGAGATGATCTCTCGCTCAGCCCAATATCCTTCAGGAAACCAGACCTACTCGCATCCTTCTTTGGGGGGCCTTGGAGGATCATGATAGCTTCCAGGCCTCGGAGTCATTGGCCAATCTCTTGGAGACGGCTGAGTGGGAGTTGACCTGGTGCTGGGACGGGGCAGTGACTGCGGCGTAGTAGGTGTTGCTGGCAGTGAGCCAAAGTATCCGTCACATTGTCCCCTCTTGGGCGTACTGGATCCATCCCAGCTATCTCCAGGTGCAAATTGCAACACCTCAGGACAAGTGACTCTGAGCGCCGTTTTAAAGGATAGCCTGTGAACATCGCGATTGGATATGGGATAGGACTGCGAAGACGATCTGTGAATGGGGTCAGCGTCAACAGCTGTCATTGCCAGCACATGGCAGACTTACGTCCGTCTGCGAGTCCGGACGGGGTCCTGAAAAGGGTCGTTGAATGCCACGGTACTCATCGGCAGACCATTTCCAGAGCTCGGGCGTTCTGTCACTGCATCATTGCCGTCAAGTAAATGAATAGAGGCCATTAGGCTAAGGACGGCTTGCTAGGGATTCGTGGAGATAATGGCCGGCCAAATGAGGAGGGCTGGGCAGGCTGCAGGGAAACCATAAAGATACTCAAAGGTGTTCAAGAGAAAAGATATCAAAACAAAGTTTTTGGAAATCTCACGGCAGGTCCCGGGGAAGTTCTATGCTGAAGACGACACGTGGTGGTCCTCGTTAACCTCCGTTTTCGGCAGGATGGGCTACCTAGTCCCCAAGGTACTTTGAGGCGAGTAAAGCGGCTCCTGCCAAGTAGGAAGTCCGTAAAAACGAGAGTCACGCATAAAAATGTCAAGAGCTTCTCAGAATCCATTCGATTAGGATTGCGGGTATCAAATCAGACCTGCTAACGCCTCCTAATGCCCAGGGGTTGGCCAAGCTCCATTTCCCATGTCCCAGTTGTTTTTCATATGTCGTTCAATCCACGAGCATCGTGTCATCACCGTCGAATGCGGCACTCTGCTGCTCAACAGCCACTCCCTTTCCTCTGCCAGCCAGCAACTCTCGCCTGATCTCAGGCGCAATAGAGTGGTGGCCGTGGGTCAACAGCAAGTCCAACAGCGCCTCTCGCTGATCCTCGCTCAGGTCGTTTCTGTATCTCTGGGCGAATGCCAGAAGATTTTGGTGGAAGACGACGGGCAGCGACTTGACCATGTCTCCAGAGAAAGACTGGCCCTCCTTGATGGATGCAGGGTCCACACTTCTGAATCGCAGGAAATGGAAGACGAGCGAGTCGATGACCTGGTACGGAAGGGCGTACTTCTTCTCTAGTAGAGCCTTGATGAAGATGTTGGCCGCACCACCGCCCTCGGTGCCCGCCGAAGCTTCCTGAGCAGCACTGCAATCGCGTTAGCACATAATCACGGCCAAAATTTGAATAACGGGGAAGCCTACATCTCGGTGATACCCTTCAACGCCGCAGCGGAATGAAGTACTGGCACTGACACTCTGACGAGCACAGCGGAAACAATTTGCGCCTCACGAATCGTGCAGCCGCTGGAAAGAAGGGGGAACAAGAAGCCGAGGAAGAACGCTCGGGGCTTGTACAGACTCTTCTTCAGCGCGTCGAACAAGTGCACATTCAGCTTCTTATTCTCGTAGATATCCTCGCGGACCTTGTCGAGAACAACAAGCTCCATAAACTTCTGGCAGACGATGGGCTTCGAAGCAGAAAAGATCCTCGTCGCTTGGTAAACAGCGTTCGGCGTCCACTTTTGGGGTTCCGTAACTTCGATGATGTCCTCCCAATGAGGCAGAGTCGGCAGAATTTTGAAGGGTTTTGGCAAGGGGCCGCTCTTGTATCGCGACAGAATGAATCCAACCCTACCAAACGGTTAGCAACTAACTTCTGGTGAGAGCCAATCTGAGGTACATACTTTGTGTACACTTCAACGACTTTCGGGGGAAGCTCATATTCCTCATCACGAACGGGGACGCCCGCTGCTTTCCGGGCCTCGGCAGCCTCGTGTGCCGCAATCTTCTCCAGGATGAGCTCCGTCAAGTTGGTGCCACCGCCAGCCATCTCGTCGTCGGGACCCTTGCTGCCCCAGCCATGCTGGTTCAGCATCGCCGCAGGGTCATCTTCGGCCTCGGGCAAGAATTTGCGGTATGTCTCGAGGTCTTCGGGGTCGATCTCGATCTCCTCAACAACTTCGTCCTCTTCACCCCAGGCCTCCTCATCATCGTACGCCTGTTCGTCGCCAACATCGGTGCCGTATCTCGATTCGATTCCGAAAAGGTCGACAGTGGGTTTCGCTGCGGCTTGAGGCTTCGCAGAACCGTCCTCCTCGGCAAGCTCTCGGCCTAGCTTGAGAATGGTGCGACTCCGTGTCGCATCGACGAAGCCTTCGCCATTGTCTTCTTCGTCCGAGTTCTTGCCCTTCTTTCTCTTGGGCGCCTTGTTCTTCAAGGGACCTGTAGCAAGGATATCATCCTGCAGAGGGTTGTGTCTCCGCGACTGGCGGTCGGTCGGGGTGGTAGCCTTGCCCATTGTTGAGAGTCACTCGGTGAGAAATGGTCGTGGCGGAGTACGACTGACAGGCGGGATAAGTGGTGCCTCTTTTTTTTTTTCCTGTGAGCCAGAAATTTTTGATTTTCTTATCGATTGCCCCGCGCCTGATTAGTGCCCAGAACCCTGGACCGGTTTGTTATGGGGCTTGTCTGGTCCTTTGTCCAATGAGAACCCCTGATGTTGACTTCATCGGCGAGCAGAGTCAATGCCCCGCCACCAAACCCCCACCAAAAAGCTTCTGCAAGTGACTCTGCAAGTCTGTCTTATAGTGAAATTGATACCTCTCCTCAAAAGGCTTTGAGAAAGTAGCATATTTCACGCAGTTCTGTCTTTTGATTCACGATCTACACTGGAGAATAGCCCAAAAATGCCTACAGAATTGGAAGAGGTATGCTTCCTCGATCAGAAATGCCTACCTTGCACTTTGTTGGACTCATCTCATGATGTGATAGCTCGTGGGCTTCATCGCTCATCCTAATGCGAATCTCAGAAAGGTAGCCATCGAGAACCTCGTAGGCTACTCACAGGCGGACCCGGCAATCTTCAAGACAGAGAACTTGACTCCCGTAAAGCACCTCAAGTTCCTAGTTAGAGATCACCCTGTAAGCAAAAGGCCTTCCATCACTTACCTGATCCCGAGACTGACAATAGACAGAAAATCGCAGAACATGCGTTGACAATTCTCGTCAACCTGACTGCCGAGAAAGACGTTCTTGAGAACGTGGCTACAGACCAGAAGTTTATTGATATCCTCTTGGACTTGGTAGTAGTATGTCAACTTTCTTAACTTGGCATAGAACCACGCAATGGTGGGATTATGCGATTGACTAACCCCTTTTCCTACAGAAACCCGATGAGGCAAACGCCAACCTGATGGCAATGCTGCTTGCCAATTTGGCAAAGTGGGATGGACTTAACACTATTGTTACCAAGAAGCAAACGCCGCCAGCGGAGCTCAAGTCCAACGACTTGGTTCTGAACCAGCTGGTCGATCTCTTCGTCAAGGAAAAGGGGGCCTACAACAAGGACGCCGACTACGACTACCTCGCCTACCTCTTTGCAGATCTCACCAAGCACGCCGAAGTGCGCCAGCACTTTGTCACCCGGCAAGACTATGACGAAGTCATCCCCATCACCAAGCTCAAGGTCTTCACCGAGCACCAGTCCGAGATCCGGAGGAAGGGTGTCGCGAGCACGATCAAGAACGTCGCGTTTGAGATCCAGTTCCACTCCACCTTCATGGACGAGGACGAGGTCGACATCCTGCCGTACATCCTCCTCCCCATCACCGGCAACGAGGAGTACGACGAGGACGACACCATGGGCATGCTGCCTGATCTGCAGCTCTTGCCCCCCGACAAGAAGCGTGACTCGGATCCCAAGATCATCCAAACGCACATCGAGACGCTTCTGCTCTTCACGACGACGAGAGGAGGCCGCGATCTGCTGAGAAGAGTCAGCGTGTACCCTATCATCCGCGAAAACCACTCCCGCGTTAACGACGAGGGCGTCAAGGATGCCTGCGACCGTCTGGTGCAAGTACTGATGAGAGACGAGGAGCCAGAGGAGGGCGAGGGCGAGGCGGGGTCCAAGCCTAAGGAGCTGACCAATGGCTCAAAGGTCGAGGAGGTCGATGATGACGACGATGATGAGATTGTCGAAGTCTAGACGGGGTAGTATCATGATGAGGTTTGCAAGTTCTTCCCTTTGGTCATGGCTTATGTAGAAAGAGGGGATACCCAGGTCCAAAATCCAAAAGTTGGTATTTTTTTTTCATCCCATGAATACGCGACATGCCTGAGGAAGGAACCGACCCAGTGACTGACGCAGAGGGTATATATTCGATCCTTTCGTTCGCCTCAGTAAATATCTTGGACATTTGGCTCGTCTATATGGCCAACTGGGTTGAGGCGCATGACTACCTTCACCGCTTGCCAGTTATTGGCGCTGGGTTCGATACTCCCTGGGCGGCCATATTTTTTTCTGTTTTTGTGCTTCCTGCTTCCTCATTCCTTCCTTCGTGAGGTGAGGTGAGTTATCATGACAGTATTTCGGCAAAAGTGGGGCACGCCGACATAGGTACCAACAAAATCCAGAGCGGAGGAGCAACACGGAAAAGTATTCAGTAGACTCGAGAAGATAGACGGCGTTGAGTTTATCTGCATTGCTTTCGATATCTAACAGCCTTTCCTGCCGTTCACTTTAATAAATATCGAGGCTCAGAACCAGCCCACACGTATCCCCCAGCTTTCTCCCAGAATCCATCTACTCGACAGTGACAGTCACCTTACTCTTGTCTATCCCACAGAGTCAGCTCATCATTCACCTCAATCCCCTACACCAGAACCCCCAAAGCAAATGTGAGAAACAACTCACAAAAGGCAACATGGTCCTTAATCTCCTTCGCCCCATCCTTGGGCGTAGGATAATACCAAGCCGCGTCCTTGAGCTTGTCATCTACACACACCCACGCCATCCCCCATAGTTAGCCACCGTAAATCCAAATGCATAGGGTAAGGTATATCAAAGCCAGGGGTCAGAACTTGAACTCACCCCCGACTTTAACCGAGTAATAATTCGCAGTCCCCTTCCAAGGACAAAACGTCGTCGTCTCAGTCTTCTCAAACGCCTCCGTCTTGACCGCCGAGGGCGGGAAATAGACGTTCCCCTCGACCTCCTCCCACTCCGTCGCCTCCGCGAGCGTGGTGCCGTTGACGACGGCCTTGGCTTTCCCGGTCTTGGTCATCTTGTTTCTTTTCTTTCGTTGTTCGTCTCACTTCGATGGGGAAAGATATGGTCAAAAGTAGCAAACTGCTGGTTTGGTAGAAGATCCTACGTTCGCAAAGATGAGATTGACCTGTAATTGGATCAACGACTTATTAGCAGCAACTTGATGCAAGAAGAGGGGGGGATGCGGGGAATACGTCGTCTATGCGCCTTTGAATCTTCGTCGAGTCTCCAACGTCATTGGTCTTTGATGATTTATAAGCACTAGGTAGTCGTCCAATGTTCCTCTTCCCAGGTCTTTGTCTGTGTCGGATTCATGATGTTGACTGATGCAATGTGATAGGTGGCAGTGAGATTGGAGGTCAAGAGTATTCAAGGACTGTATTCCAATACTCTAAAACACTAACGCTATTTCTGTTCTTCTCTAATGCTAATGTTTCCCCTTAACGCCGGCTGGGTATATGCGTTTGTTTCATTACATATTCAAATATACAATTCAAAGGTTGATAATGTCAATCTCTGAGAAATCGGGCGGGTTGGCGCCGTACACCACGCGAACCTTGCTGTCGAGAGCCGTGCCCTCGTTACTGATCCAGATGTGTTCGCTGTACTCCTTGGTGCGCCGAATCTCGTCATCGCTCACCCCAATATCGTCGCGGGGCAACCAGACTGCAGGCGCGCGCGCCCGAAGAGCGTAATGCTTGAACGCGTTCTTAACGAGTGCGTCACGCTCATCGGGCGTCAAGTCTTCGATTTCGTCGTGGAAACCGCCATACAACGCTTCTCCCAGTGCCCGTTGAGCCTCGAGATCCTTATTTCGCTGCTGACGTCGGTACTCGGCTGCCGTGTGTACGGGTGCGGGGCCCATCTTCCATGTCTTGCTACGCAGGTTTTTGCCCTCCCGCTTAGCCCAGTGACCGACATCTTTGACCTTACGCATAGTCGAAGGCTTCCTTTTCGGTGCTCCGTTACTCATGGTTTGCATTTCGATATCGCGGTTGACCGAGCCGGCACCGTCTCCATTTCTCATGGGCGTCTTCTCATCGTCTTCATCATCGTCGTCGTCGCCGAGTCCAAGGCGCTTGTTCTGTGCTCGTTGAAATGCTTCGTCTCTGATGACTGCCTCATCTTCGACGGTGATGGGCAAGTATCGGAACAGCGGCGAGAAAGACGTATTGAGGGAAACTTGGTAAACGGCTGTAAATCCTATGGTGATGAGCATAATGACACCCTGCGGTACGGCAGTGTTGTTATCATGCTCATCTTGCACGATGAAAAACAAGCCTGCCAAGCAAGCCTCCATCACGTACAGGCCCGTGAACGTCTGATTGATCGCGCGGGGATACAAGACGCCGCCTGTATCATTCTCGAACCGCGTAACATAGAGCATACTGTAGCGTTGAGCAAACCACAGCAAGCCAAACGTCAGGACCGCGAATAGCGAAATGAGTGGGGCAACGACGCAGTAAACAAGTGCAATGCAGGCAAAGTTGGTGTAGACGGGGAAGAATTGACCCCACGCAATTTTTGACAAGGTCGTGTTCCGCTTCCACTTGTCGCGGGCTGTAGAATCAAGAACCCTGGCCAGAATATACCAAACCAGTACAGCACCGATCTGAAGCAATGTACCAGAACTCACAGACAATGCCTGGAGCAACATGTAGGAAAAGAAGTAGTTCGACGCTCTTGGTAGGTTGTCGGCAAGGAGATCCAGAATGTTCGTGACATTGGTAAGGCCTTCGAAGTTCTTGGCCAACTTTTCGGCCGACGCGGTAAAGAATGACGCGATGGAAACGACAAGGAAGACTTGGATGAAGAGGAAGACGAAGTAGAATCGCTGGACGAATTCTGCTTTCTGTGATCCCGTCTTGACACCTCGGAAGAGGGCAAGCTGTTCGAGGATATGAGGGACAATGAAGAGCAGGAGGGCGAGTAGAATCGCTGGCAAGACACCAGCAATCGCAGAAGCGACCTTATCGATGGGCGCCTTCTTGATCCAGTCCAGCCACGGGAACCTCTCAACCAGACCATCAATGTTGGCAATTGACGCCGTAAAGGCAATAGGAATAGCCCAGAAGAAAGCCATGCCCGCGATGATGATGGTGACGGTGCCAGATCTGATTGACTCATGCCACCACTTCATGGCCATGTTGTCCCAAATGACATCCTTTGGCGAAACTTCGTTGATTCGAGGTGACATGTGCTTTGGAATGTGGTGCATGAGACTTTGACAAGCCATGTGCGCTGAGACCTGGTGGTTGAATTGGATGAAAGCAGAGTTCATGAGGGGGTACCGCTCTGGGTGTGCTTGGTCGTCTTCAATCTCGACGTTCAGACGGGCCAGCTCAGAGCGGCACCAGTAGATGGTGTCAACCTTGGGGCCAAATGTGAGCCATGCGAGCCAGTTTGGGAAACCCCAGCGCGGAAGTCGATGAGTCGGCCTGTCCTTCTCCTTGACCCATTTGCGCCATTCTGCGTCATCATCCAAGATATTCTTGTATTCGCCGCCGACAGCATTCCATTCGGGATAGTCGACGGGGATTTGATCGTCGTCGCCCATGAAGGGGATATAAGACTTGATGTTCTGCCACAAGGTCTTGTCTTTCTTTTGGTTGAATGGGTACTCTCCGCCATCGAATCCCTGAGGCACAGGAGACGCGTAGCCACCGGCAGGGGCCTTCCAAAATTGCCAGAATTTACGCGTTTCCTGATCGTACATGTGATCCAGGTTGCTGACTTTGCGGACGGTGTTGCCGTTGCCAAATGGCTCGTAGCTTCGCTTGTAGTTGGGATCGGCAGTTTCCTGAGAGACCGCAGAAACGTTTCTAGAGTGAGTCTTGTGCGTCTCAGTGTTTGTAAGCGGCTCGACTTGCTCCGTGGTGTCCTTTGTGCTTTTGGGCGTGGCGGGTCGGTCGTTTTCGGCCAGAATTTGAACCTTGCGCGGGCGGTTGTCAGGATGCAGCATCGCGAAGCCGTTGGTAGTCTCAACGGTGTCGTCTACATCCTCAGTGAATTCCTTGATTTCTTTTTGAGCCTTTCCAAGGCCACCAAGCAGACCTTTGCCAACCTTGGTGACGCCGTCGCCGATAAGGCCCAGCCCAAAGCCCTTAGACTGGGGTCGATTACCATCTTCGGATGAGCTCGAAGATGAAGTGCTCGAGCGTCTTGACTTTGCATCGTCGCGATTCTCGTTGATGACGGCGCTGATGTCATGAGGGACCTCGTCATGTTCGCCGGAACTAACACCTTGACCAGCTTCAGCCCTCTTCTTAGCCTCAGCATCTTCTGCCTGTCTCCTGAGAGCCTGCTCCTGCCTCGATGGGCCCTTGGACTTGGACGCTTTTCTCGCAGCCTTTTCTTCCTGTTTCTTCCTCTTGAGTTGCTTCTTCTTCGCAGCTTTGACTAGATCTGTCTCAGCGGATTCGAGTCTCAGATGGATGTCTTCCCGCTGCTGAATCTTTTCGAGCAGTGGAGTTAGGTCGCGGTTGAGCCAGATGTTTCGAATTTGACCAGGGAAAACATCAAATAGACCACTAAGAGCCTCTTCGGTCAACCACTTGGAAGGAATGCTGTTGACAAGGATAGTTGTGGCAGAGGCACGGAGTCTATGCTCGGCACTTGTCAAGTAGTCCTGACGAACTTTGACATAAACGCGCAGCTCGAAGAAGAAGACTGTGCAGACCCAAATGATTACGAGCAATGCGAGAATCAAGTGTGCCCAGTAACGACCGGTGTGAGTCTTACCCACATTGCCCCATGCCAAAGTGTCCAGGCCGGTAGGCACTGTCGTAGCGTCGTTGTTGGCTCTGGCCATGAGACGGACTGATGAAGAGCTCGTGCCATTGGTAGTGTCATTCTTGTCATTCTTGGCCTCGTCAACGAGATCGTGGCCTTGGCCATCGCTATAGTTCAGCGGAGTCAAAATGGGAATGACGATTGCCGCAATTGGGATAAAAATGGTGAGAAGGGTTCGGAGGTATCGTAAGAAGAAGTAGGCGTCCAAACCGCACTTCTTGATGATCTCGCGATCGTTGTATCTGACCAGCGTGCTGATTAAACTCCATGGTGCGCTAGGAGGTGATTCGGTTCTTTCGCGCTCAGGAACGAGGTACGTTTTCGGTTTGCTGCGGTTCGTTAGTGTTGTATAGCAAGGGATAGTCAAGCCGGTATACGCACAAGATACGCGCAATCTTGTTTCTTAAAAGCAGAAAGGCGAGGATTTGGATGGCGAAGACCACCAAACCGGTGGCCAGGGCAGTGAGGAACGCAACGAGCGTAATTCCTTGGTACTTCTCGCTACCTGCGACATTGAGCGCTGATGTTGTAGCAGAGGCAGTATCTGATGTTGGCGAAGCACTCGATGTGGATGTTATAGTTCCATTGGAACTCAATGTCGCAGAGAGTGTAGTAGAGAGAGCGGTCGAGAGCGAGGAGGCGAGAGACGACGCGAGGGTACCCGTCAGGGTGGCCGAGCCTGAGGGTGTCGCAGTGGGAGTCGTCGACATCGTCCACTAGCTGGCCCAAGAGGTGCCGATGTATCGAATCACCGGGTGGCTACCAGCCTCGACAGCTATGTGTTGTCGTCGTGCTCGTGTGGGCGTTGAGAAGTTGTCGTCGGGAAAGGAGATAGTCTTGGCAGAGAAGACGTAGATCGAAATGAGGTCGAGGTCGGCCGAGGAACGAAAAACGTGGGGGGAAGGCGAGGGTTCAGTTCACGATACCAAGAAAATAGGCATGGTGGTCGTGTCGAGGTCTGTGGTTTCGTTCGTGTCGGGTAGTGGTCGTAAGAGAATTACCACGTGTGGCTATTTTCGTGTCCAGGACCGATGGTATTATCGCGCAACTGGATTTCTAGCTTGGAGAAGAAGCAGATGTCAAGTAATTAACTAGCCGGGCCAAGAAACGACGAGAGAAAGAGAGACTACTGCGTAGAGGTGGTCAAGAGAAAGAGAGGCCAGAAGCGAGCCAGTGCCAAGGAATCGCAGGCAAAGGGTTTGACCGAAGTAGTTGTGCTTCTTTGATTGGCTGACAAGGTGCAGATACAATAACGACCAGGGCCCGGACAGGGGTACTGCAGGTGCACTTTACTGCTTCAAGTCGCTGCAGGCCCCCCAGTGACCCCCCAGAGTCAATCGCTGGGTGCGCTGTTGCTGGTTTTCCTTACTTCGCTTCAGGAGCCCTGCAACTGGTGACATCAGCGGCTTCATTGGTTGTTCGCTACAAACGAAACAGACCCCTGCCACCCTGCGGGACAAAGTGGGATCCCGCCGCGGTTCGCCATGACTCTGGCCCAATCATCTGCCACTCATCACTGAGGTCGCCAATGTCGCCAGAACACGGAGTACGTACCGTCTGCCCAGTAGGGGACCTCGACCACGGTCCACGGATGCCTCCAAAACCTCTCTTATCCTATTCTCCCTACGGATACCTTACACAGTAATCTCTCATCACACAAGAGTACAATCCTATCTTCCACCAACCGGACCAGCTATCGCTAATTTGCTTGCTGTAATAAGGATTCGTACAGACAACACGTATTGGTACAGCACGACCCTTGTCCTCTCAGTCGTCCAGTCTATTCAACCTTCAAGAGATGTGGTGGGCATGGCCAGCCTTTGACCACCCACCCCACGTTGACGCGCTATTCTGACGCATGCCTCAGAAATAGATCAGCGCGCGCTTCGTCCCAAGTACCAGCCGAAAGACACTCCTCGCTAGTCAAATCAGCTTGCTTCCCGGGTTCAAGACTTGAATACCCTTGAGAACATCGTCGTTTGTTGATTCCTCCCAGCCAGAGGAAACATTTCATTTGTCCCTCGTACGGGTACACACAACAACATGAACACCGCCATCTGTTTGGGCATGCTACACAATGGAACACCTGTGGCTATTTTGCCGCTCGTACTATCAATCGACTGGGCCATCCCTGTGCAAGCAAGGCGAATCGACAATGAACCTTATCCACATTGACAAGCTTACCGAGAGACGTTGTCGTGGCTAAATGGGGCGAGGTTGCGTGGCTGTGCCACTCTAAATATCCTTTTGGTGGACTGTGGAATTCGCCAACCCTTTCGTTGCCGTTGTCCGCGCCGTCCTCCAGCATTTCGGGCCGTGGGGTATCCCAACAGTCAACTTGAATAGAACCACCTGCGCCTCGGAAAGCGAAGCTGTCGCCGAGACGCCGCCTAGGTACTCACGTCTCCCGATGACAAGACAGCCACCACCATACTGTCTACTCTGTACGCCATAAAGCGTCCCGAAGGGTGTCTAGTCTGCTCTGCCACTCTGCGTCACCAATTGTTTGCCAAGGCAAGTGACTGCAGAAGCTGGTTATTGACCACCAGTGGGAACGAGGGCGTTCTGTTTCCGCGTATCGCACTGGTCCGTTGGGATCCCATTTCTTGGCACAATGTCCCGACAACAACATCAGCCGTCATTTGAAATGTCCAAAAGAGGGAGCTGGGATTGACTCCCACGATTGAAAATCCTGCTCTCGACAAAGATTCATGAACAGGTGGCTTCGCATGTCACCGCCGTACCTCCTCCGTCATCCGTTCACCCGTCCACCCGTCCACCCATACAAACCCTTGCTTTCTTCCAGCTGTCGCTTTTGGGTTCCTGGCCTCCAGATATCGGAGCAAGATTACGGATACCCACCTCGGGATCGTGCTGTGGTCGCGTTGCAGAGAGAAGCGAACCATCACCAGGGGTTCCCACCCCTTAAGCGGCCGAGGCAAATCATAACACTCCCGGCGCCGGGGCACCGTGCCGTTCTCTCGCGACATGACGACAAGATTTCGGCCCTCCCTCCGAACGCGGGGATCCCCCCCAAAACCTGGATGGGCGCCTGTGAGCAAGCCACCCATCGTATGGTAACACAACACAGACACAATCGCCGCTGTCAGCGATGAAGCTAGCGAGCCACATTCCCACACGGACGGGCCAGGCCACCTGCATATGTCTGCTTTGGAGTCTAGACGCACGCATGCCGACTTTCACATCCGACTTGCACCCGTGACTAAGCCAATTTTTTGACACGACATCTGACAGCTTCGTCAACTACCACAACCAACGCTGGCTAAACATTCAAGCAACTTTGACCGCCCGAAATTGGGGTTTGGGGTTCGGCAGTATCCTAAAGTTCGCATCACCCCCACAGCACCGTCGGCGCACCGGCAGTTGGCTCGTCTACCAATGGCAATCCCGATGAATCGTATTTACTTCCCGTCCTGCGATCCCGGCTCTCTACAAGCTCATCAAAGGACCAAGGGGAGTTAGGGAATATCGCAGCATCCCCCTCATTCTCGATCGCTTCCCCGCTTCTCCAGCTGATAATGGACCCCGAGCTTACCTCCGATCCCCCACATGCCCCTCCATATGAGGCTCCGTGCCGTCTACTTCATAAGTAACCCCTAGGACGGCATTATCAGAAACTTTGGTCCATCTGAGCTTTGCAATTCAATACCCTTCGAGACGAGTACGACAACACCATACCAGACACAATGGCAGACCCCAAGGATTTGAAGATTGCCATTATTGGCGCAGGTACTCGCCGCCTGGCTCACGGACCTTGAAGACCGTTCACTAACACGAACTTGCGTAGGAATGGGCGGCTTGGGTTGCGCACTTGCATTGGCCAAGAAGGGATTCAAGCACATCGATGTCTATGAGACGGCCTCCAACCTCGGCTTCGTCGGCGCCGGCATTCAGATGCCGCCAAACGTCGTCCGCGTACTCGATCGCCTAGGCTGCTGGCCTGAGATTGAGAAGACGTGTACAGACGTGAAGAGTTCAAGCATTCGACGTAAGGAGGACCTCTGCACCACCACATCACCTGGCCAAGCACAACGTTACTGACATATTAGCACAGAGGGCGCCACCAATGTTGAGCTCGCCCATGTCGAGATGCCCGACATTCGGAAGTTGTACGGCTTCCCCCACTGCAACGGCCACCGCTCCTCCCTTGCCGGTGGCATGTACGACGCCTGTAAGAAGGAGTCCGCCATCACATTTCACTTCGCGACGGCACTACTATCGGTCGAATCCTTTGCGCCCAAGCCAAAGTTCGTGCTGCAGCCGCGCGACGGCGAGTCCTACGCAGTCGAGTCCGACGTTCTCATCGCTTGCGACGGCATCAAGAGCATCATCCGCGCCCAACTGCTTGAATCTATCGGCGCCGTTGGCGGGGAAGAGGATACGGGCCAGGCTGCCTACCGTATCATGCTTAAGCGCGAGCAGATCGCCGACGACCCAGAACTCCTCGCTCTCCTCGACTCGGACGAGGTCATCCGCTGGATTGGCGAGAAGCGCCACATCATCGCCTACCCCGTCTCCTCGCACACAATCTACAACCTCTCCACCACTCAGCCCGACTCCAACTTTGCCGTCGCCACGAACGCGACCTACACCACAAAGGGCTCCAAAAAGGCCATGCTCGACGTCTTCCATGATTTCTGCCCCCTCGTCCACCGCATGCTCAACCTTGTACCGGACGGCGAGGTCTGCGAGTGGCGCCTACGCATGCACAAACCTTTACCGACCTGGGTGCACACCGACGGGCCTGTCGCCCTCCTCGGTGACGCCTGCCATCCAACCCTCCCGCACCTGAGCCAGGGCGCCGCCATGGCCATCGAAGACGGCTCCGTCGTCGCCGAGGTTCTCGCCCGCGCGCCCGACACGTCTCCCGCGACGCTCCGGCGCTGCCTCAAGGCCTACGAGCTCTCCCGGCGCGACTGGACCTCGCAGCTCGTCAACATGGCCTTCCTCTCGGGCAAGCAGCTGCACCTCGGCGAGGGCAAAGCCAAGGAGGAGCGCGATCGGATGTTTGCCGAGTCCAAGCAGACCGGCGCTGTGCCGGATAAGTGGGCCTCGCCCGACGTACAAAAGATGATTTATACAAACGACTGCGTGGCCAACATCCAAAGAGACTTTGACGAGTTCTTCAGTAGCGTAGCATAGAAATGGGACGGCAGATCATATGATGCTCACTCTGTAGATACCTCAATCTGTTTTATTTTTTGGTGGAGTTTCGGTCTTCACTTCTGCCCTCCGAAAACCTCTCTTACACGTGTAACGTGAAAGTCTCCGTGGCGTTGCGCCTAGGATGCTTGCGTCCTCGGCCAAGCCACTCTCGATGAAAGCATACCCCGCACTCAAGAGCTCAGCTCACCTGAGCTTTGCCGATAGGAATTCACAGTCGCACAATTTTAGAGTTTAGTGGTGGAGAGGACAGCATGTTCCGAGGCGTATCCGTGATGATATTATGCTATGCGATGAAAAAAAGCTATCGAAACTCCCGGATCCCACCGGGTACGGAAAACACCAAAAGGAGCACAAAAGGCCCTCGCAGGAGTGAAAAGGGCTCATCTCCCTGTAAAGCGTACCCGTCTCTCAAGCCCATGACAAAAAATGAAGTTGTTGTTCCCGGATTCCACATCGAGGTATCGAGAATCCCCGTCATCCCTTTGATGCCGTTCGAGACATGCAAGAAAGCCCTCCATGCCTACGACGATGCGAAAGGCGCAATGTCGGCATGACAGCATTACACCTCGACCCTCGGTAATCCCTACCACACCGACAGAGGATCGTCTATCGTGTGTTTTCCCACGCTATGCCATGCGTTTCTCAGCACCGCATCGTTTCCAGGTCAGATACCTCCGTAATCTCCGTACCACGTCTCCATCTCTCCTGCCATCATCCCGTTCTTGGTGGGTACTGCTTATGACGTTCGATATGACGATCGGTCGCAAAGTACTTTAGCTGTTGGGGGTATCGTGTGGTTTGTATCGCAATGTCGCTCCGTATAATCTGGCCCCTTAGGCCCCAGTTGACGTTCGCAAGCCGCCCGCTTAGAACAAGCAGTCAAGACAGCAGCAGCACGCGAGCGCACCGAGCAGACCGGCCATGATGCCGCCTCCAGAGCCACCGCCGCGGTTGTCCTGGTAGTAACCGCCCTGAGGGGGGTACTGCTGTCCGTACTGGCCCTGGGGCGGGTAGGGTCCTTGGGGAGGATATTGTCCCGGGGGGTACTGCTGTCCCGGAGGCGGGTACGGGCCTTGCTGGTGGCCGTAGTTCATCTCCGGGCCGGGGGAGTAGTATTGTCCCGGCGGAGGAGTGCCGTAGCCTCCCGGGCCGCCGGGGGGAGGCGGGGAGCCGTAGCCTTGGTAGGCTTGTTGCGGGTGTTGAGGGGGAGGACCGCCGTACGCGGGGGGCTTGTCGTGGTCGGCCATTATTGAGATGGTTATTGTTTGTGGTGGATGAAGATGAGAGTGGTAGGCGCGACGGGTTTGGAGTTGTGTCGCGGGTTGGGCAAGAGGTGAAGTATATCACTTTTTCGGTTGCCTTTCGACGACGGTTGCAAAAAATAAAAAAGAAGGCAAAGAAGTCCGTTTGCTCGAAGTGGTGCGGACGAGAATCCCTTTGTCGGACGGAGGCGGCGGAGGGCTCGGAGGCGGGATTACGTGTAGAGGATGGAGGAGGAAGAAGAATGCAAGCGGCGGATGGCGAAGTGGAAGAGAAACCGGTGCGAGGAGTTTAAGGAACGGCCACACACACACTTCTGGATAGAGAGAATGAACACACCACCCGGAAGAACGTGGCGATGTTGGGGAAAAAGAATGGGAGGAGGAGGACGTGCGTTGCGTGCGTGGATGGATTGGACGGGAGAGAGCCAAGCCGCGATTTTGGAGGGAGGCAACCTACCTGCCTGACCCTTGTCGGTGAAAGGTACCTTACTACATATGTTCGCCTGGCCGCACCTGCTGGTCGCCTGCGACTCTCGTTTCGACACACTCCAGGTCTCTTTCGTTTTAGCGGGCGGCGTTAACTTTGCGGGTTTGCTCGTGACTCTAGCCTGAAATAGGCTTATGCGCACCAAGTCTCTGGGCGCGCGCCGCGGGCGAGTCTTGGGGGTCTTGGGGTCTTGGAGTGTTCGTAAGCTTGTCTTTGCCAATGTATCTTTTTGTTGGGTCCCTTTTTGCAGTGTAATTACGATGGGTATCCGTATGTTCCCGTTTTGGACGGAGGTTCCCCGTTCACTTGCACCTTCATGCCATACGGATTTGGAGCTACTTGACCGGATACAGTTCATGGAAATAGAAAAGCAGCGGCCCAGACACCAAGAAGAATAAAGGTTCGACGAAAGCTTCCTGCACAAGCCCTCCTCCCCTCCTTCATCCCATCTTCTACGAGTATGGTAGGCATGCGCGACACAAGGCGACAAGCGTCGGAGGGAAACAGATACACAGCATCAAGCAGTACCTGCCTGGCATCCAAAGCAAGCACCTGTGACATTCGCCAGCCCCAAACTGTCCCTGTCTCGAATCCGTCCGCCTTCCCCTTCTCCTTCTCCTACCTTGCTCCCCACCAGTCAAGCTCACCCAACCATCCCGCAACGAAGAAACACCCCTGGCCCTTCGGCTCCCCGGCAGAGACCCCAGCAATCCAATGAGAGGCCAGTCGCCCATCCCAAAGGTCGCGTTCGCATTGCCCCATCTGATCACACCCGTTGCTACTGCAGCGCTGCTGGTGCCTGAGCTCCTTCCCACGGGGCCACGACAGAGTGCTGCCGCCGTGCCGGAGCGGCATGCACCCAATCAGCGGCACCACCGGCGCAGTAGGGTACCTTGGTCAAGCTGCGAGGTCATCAAGTGCTATGTTTGGAGCAGACCCGCCCTGCCCGCTCCGGCCTACTCGGGTCACTGGGCCACTGGCGAACGCAGCGTGTCACCAAACAAGGTGCTCAAAAAGGCAGGACGGGATTGGGTCGGCGCGGCGGCCCTTCGCCGACGGAGGAGAAGTAGACCCACTGTTACCGCTGACGCTTCCGGTATCTGCGGCCCCGGCGCCGAGGTTGTAGGAAGCATCCAGGCCGTCTCCGTTCCGCTTATCTCCGACATCTTCTCCGTCCCTGTGGTTCTGCTAGAGGTATCGCTTCGTGATGAAATCTCAGTGACGAGGCCTTGGAAATAATTACCCTCGTAATCCTCAACAGACTTGGTATGCTTTCAGTATGCTTGGGAAAAGTAAGTGAGAGGGAGGAGCGCGTAGCCCCGCCACCGTCCTTGGTTTATGGGAAAGCGTAACGGTTTCCAGCAACGTGAGCAGACAAAGTTGATCACGTCATGAAAAGCGCCATTTTCGAATTAGACCTACAGAGTGTCCATGTTTACTAAACGAGATCACCCTGTCGGATCAAGATCGAAGTCGATAGGTCTAGCGACGAAGCCCTCGGCCGTGCAAAGCAAGCAATCCGTCAAGAAAGGTACCGAGCAAAATAACAGTTACCCAGCTTGCTTACCGTAGACTTTACGCCAGGGCGGTCATACTCTGATTTGATCTGGCGCTGGGCTTGTTATATTGGCCGGCTCACATCGAGTATCGAAGTCTCCCCTCGCGCCTCTCAGTGAATAGGGCTTAAATTGCCGTATAGGTTCGCATCCCTCAGTGAGCGTCGTCCGTGTCCGTCTGTCTTGGTACGCCTTCGAACAACCGACAAAGGTCATGTAAGAGAGCGTTCGATAGCCCTCCCCACATTTACTCTCATGTCCCATAACGTTACCACGACTTTTGACTTGATAATGCACGCCAGGTACTGAATGTAATCTGGAACATGGAAACGGGAGGTAAGCCATGCCTATCCAGGAGAGAACGCCGGCGGAACCTTGAGGATCCAGAAACGAAGAAAGGAACAACGGGGTAGAACACAATCTCTCTCTTCTTACATTCCTCATTCTTACGTGGTTAAAATATCGCGAGTGGCCGACTCTAGGGCCGGTGAAGGTTTGACTTAGCCAAACCAGGGCCCCAGGTTGATGCCATAGAAGAACGAACAAATTGCCTGAGGAGTTGCAACACTCATACAGCCAATACGTCGATCAGTGTCTTAAATATGTAATGAGTTCCCGGTGAGGTACTTTCCATATAGAAAATAAACACAGGAAAGGAACGAGCAGTACTCGATGCTCGTAAGTCGACAGGGCTGCTAGTACATACATTGTGGTCATCGGAGGCGAAAACTCAACAGGACAAACACAATTTTTGCAAAATCAGGCACCCAACGAATTGTCCGAGCAAAGCAAGTAAAAAGCACTAAACTGAAGCATCAAAAGAGGCAAAAGTTCCGAAACCGAGAATCGAACTCGGGGCTATGCCTAACCTCGCAAGCTAATGAGAGGGCATCATGTTGGCCACTACACCATATCGGATGTTGTTGAAAATCCCTGAGTGATAGTCGTATAAGTAGCGCTCCTCGCCGCGCAGCCGAAATTCCTGGGTACGGAGCACACCACAACAGCCACTGCATGTTCTTCACACGTTAACGATATACGATTAATGCCGATAGCATTAAGTTTCCTCGGGAATCGGGATTCTTAGCTTTTTATTTCTTCTCTAGATTATCACCCTGCCAAGTGTTCCTCAACATGCTGGCAACAAGACCCAAGCTCTCTTCCCCAAACCGCTCTGCCTCACTAACACACCTCCGATCGTGACCATGGACAAAAGAAAAAAAAAGAGAAAAAGACAAAACCCTTTCGGCAAAATCCCCCGGCCACCACCGAATTGTTGATCATATATCCGTAACTGTAGAAAATCTTTCCAAAAATCGCTGGCAAATGTTGTCATCGCTGTGCATCGCTTCGCTATTTCGGATCAAACGGAGAAGAGACGGTGTGTTGGAAGACCAAAGGCACGCAAGGCTTAGGTGGGAAACCAAAAAATCCCGCTTTCACTAGGTAGTGATGATGAATGGATCGACGCCGCTTCGCTTCGCTCTCAATGGCTCACGGTGGCCCCGAGGGTCGGCAGTCCTCGTCTTCGCAAGTCGCTATTTACTTCTTCGGCGTGCTCGAGAAAGTGTCCTTGCATTGAGTCCCAAAGAGATGCCGGCGGTACTGTGACCGCTCGTTAGCCCATGTCGCTCTTCGTTCTCTCCAAATCGGAACCCTCTTTCTTACCTTCCAGCACGCCGCTCCTTTCCAAGGCGTATTGTGTCACCGCGCAGTGAGTGCTGATTTGGAACATAAAACCTGCACAAGAATGTCAGCCGCGGTGAAATGGGTGTTAATGTTTCCCGTCGCTATCCTTACCGAGAAAGCCTTCTCCCACGCGTTGAGCCTTCAGCTCATTGGTAGTCGCTTGCACAAACGCCTCATGGGTTTCTGTAGCCCCTTGTTAGTATCTGGCCTCCTGTCTGAGAAACGGGACCTCCTGCATTCGTACCTCCATGCGGCATGAAGCTCGACTGGAAACTCAGGCCACCAGCTTCCAGATTGCGACTGGTGCCCTTGTAACCGCCATACACGATTCCCACCACCTCCGTCGACATATTTCGATGATAGTACTACACCCCGTTAGCCACGACATTCACCACACCCCAGGAAAAAGAGAAACACAACGTACGGGAGGTCGAAAGGTATTCGTCGCCGAAGACCACTTTGGCGTGAAGAACATGACATCTGTTGCGGGTATACCGGGCATCTTGGACTTCGCCGTCAAGACGGTGTAGAGACTGGGGTCGGCTTGGTCCTTGTCCACGAAAGCGGCGTTGACAAACTTCTCGGCGGCATATTTGAAAGGCACATAGCTATCAGACGATGTGAGCACCTGAATGGAATAAAATGGGGGGAGAGGGTCTTGGAGCGGGCGTTTCTCTTACTTGCCATCCCATGCGACTACGTCGAAGGGCGTGTGGTTCTGCTTGCAGGACCACAACTTTCCAGCCAGTTTATACACGACTAACACGCCGCGTCAGTCAGCGCGGCCACGTCTTGGCAAAACTGATACGGCAGACTTACTCTCCCACTCCGACGTATCCATGTCAAATGAGGCGACGGGGAACTCGAAATCGCGAGGCAAAGCCATCCCGTTGCTTCCGAGCGGCCCCAGTTCTGGCAGCTCGTACCGGCTTCCGAATATCTCTTGGATGTCTAAGCCCATCAGTTGGATGTCCTCTCATGCATATGGGCATCGTCAAATGACTCACAACCCCGGGCCGGACCATCCGGCAACCCGACCTTGAAGCGGATGCCACTCTGGATCACCGCCAGCTCGCCAGGCCGAACCATCATTCTGGAAAGATCGTCAACAGGTTTTCGTCACCGACTGGAACCGGTGACTGCCCACCTCCCAAATTCTGTCTGAATGTCCAGCCTGCCAGTCTGAGGCACGAAAAGCATGTCGCCATCATTGCTGCAGAATGCGCGGCTTTTCATTGAAGAATTTGCAGCGTACACGTGTACAGCCAAGCCGTCCTTGGTCGTCGAGTCGCCATTTCCAACTATCGTCTTGAGCCCCTGGACGAAGTCGATAGCCGGCCCATCCGTCTTTGGCACCGAGAATGCTCTCCAACAGAGTCCTCCGGGAACAAACTCGACATTCTCATTCCCCGATGTAAATCTTGACTCAATCTTGACGGCAAAAATATGTCAGGGGTGGGCCCAGTTTGAAGGTGGTTGCGTTATGGTAAGAGGGAAGGGGATCCACGGAATGAGAATGACTTACATCTGGGTTTCGTGGCTTCTTTGATATATCTCCGTGAGCCACAGATGGGAAAATCCGGTAGAACCAGGCATTTTGGATGTCGCTTCGAGAGGCAACAAAGGTAGAGCCGTTGAGCTGCTCGGAATAAAGGTTGTACTTTACTCTTTGCGGTACATTACATGATCGAGGTAGAGTCCCGGGACTTATTAGTGAGCTCAGACTCTTGATCAAGAATTGGGTAATGCCAACTTACATGGCTTCAGAAGAGAATCTGTTTCCAAATCCAACTTGATAGATATACGGATCCTCCGGAGAGGAGTCCGTAGTGAAAGCGTGTTGGGCAGAGGCGCCCATCATCAGTACGGGGTCTGAGGCCATAGGATACCTCTCAGAGTTGGGAATGATGGCTCCCATGGTTAGTTGATGTGTGAAGAAAGGCGAGAATAGATGCGGATCCAGACGGTAATGGCTTCTCAAGGAGGTTTCGTGAGTGTTGTGAAATGCAATGGCTGTGTTGTCACTGACGGAAGTAGACGGGCATCACGAGTGATAAATGCCATGTTCCACAAACGACATTTGTGGCGTCTCCAACCGGTCACTATTGATGGGCACAACTAACTTTGGCTCGAGAGCAGGCCCTTGCATCCGATGACACTAAAAGAGATCAATCGGACCAGCGTTCGGTTGCGCAGAGCGCAATCATAGACAGATCTATTTCATGGAAGTTTTGGTACCAGCAGTACTTACAGTCGGTACGTATTCCCAAGTGGCCGGGCGAGGGAACGTCCCGCCCATTGCCTGCCGGCATGCGGGAGCGCAAGAACTGGGTTCCTGGGCATCTGGTGTGCCTCGTCTCCCCCTCCCTTCTGCACCCCCCACCCTGAACACCGATTTGCTGCAACTCAAACTGAACAAACCCCTTCGGGTATTGGCCAGATCTCAGGATGTCACCAAAAGAGCGAAACACTAGTGCAATGCCTTCTGAGAATGGGTCGATGTAAGCTTTGGCCAACATTCGCCTTTGCGCTACAGGGCGGCCTTAGTGGGAAATATCAGGTTAAAGCAGGCCCGATTTCTCGCACAACGGTCGAGTTGATGACCGCAATTTGGTCCGGGCTGGCTAATTCCCATTTCCCGTCTGGGGCACCCGCTGTGCTGCAAGATCAGTCGGTCGATATCCGAGCCAGGATCCCGTGTTCGATTTCCAACACAACTCTGCCTCTGAAGACGTGAGATGTCTTGAAATCGCGGACGAAAGGGCCATCTACGGCCATGCCCGGCACCTACGGATTGGACCGTCACTCCCGTATGTTCCGGGGGTTTTGCTCGTGACCCGATGTGGCGGAGAGGGGGCAGGGCAGACGCAAGATTTCATGGCGAGCCGCGAATGGGGCAATGTACTTGAAAAGTATCCGTACTGAAAACCTGAATGTACGGATATAGAGTGAAGGAGCTGAAAGCGCCCGGTTGACAGGTGCCATATCCCTGACAAAGGAAAGGCCATGACTGGACTCTATGTGGCGCGTAAAGATAAACCATCCACTCGCGGCCGGCAATCACTAGCCCCAGATGGTAGTCAGATTGGGATTCGGCAGTGAGTGATCGTCGGATCTTTGCGCACTGTATCCGCAGTACGAAGAGGCAAAGAGCAACATCGTGTGGTACAGTAGTCGTGGAACTACTTACTGCGCTTTCACCATCGCCGGCGGCTCCAAGTAGAGTGAGACACGCAATAAGCCCGTCAGCTTCTTCGGACTGATACTTGGCCGAGCTTCCGAAGCATGCCTTTTCAGCTATTATATTCGGATGTGGATGAGTTGTCTCGGTACCAAAAGTGCGTTGCATGCGTGGGGAGCTTGATGCAAGGGCCGTCCAACCCTCACGGTCCACGAATAGGTAGTCTGTGACGACGGAATACCCAAGGGCAATGTCCCTCTACGCTAGGCACGCTCTTAAGAGAGGCCCCTGCCGATCGCCTATGGCACAAGCCGCTGTCAGGCTGGCCTAGGCCTAGAGGCTCGTTTGGCGTTGAGTCCTTGTACCCTTCCCCTATTTGACTTCATATCGGTCGCTTCAGTTGTAGTTTTTCGTCTGTTTGTAGTAAAGCTCGCTTGCTCGTATTCTGTGTGGTCATCAGTTTGCGTTGTTAGCACTGAGCAAGTTTCTCCTTCAAGGCGCCGAGCCATCTAAGTGCGCCCGCTGCAAAGATGTCATCGATCACCGATAACCCTTGGACGAGCCTGCTGCCCTTTTTGAACTTTTCCTGTGCTTTGGGCGTGAGATCCGACTTGATAACAGAACGCAAAGCAAGACATCCTGCAATAATGGCGTGACTTCTCGGGTGAGCTCATCTTGTCATGGGGGGTTCGTTCACGGCCCGTTCGACGACATGGGCAATGATCGAGCGTGATCGAAGATTGCCTGGGCAAGTAAACTTTCCTAGGATATCTGCCTCAGAGACCAATACCGCTGCGAAGGCTCCCCGCATCCGAAGAAAGTAGGTATGAAAGGAGTCTGGTGGTGTGTGAGGTAGTGGTTCTTGTAACGCTATTCTGTGCACGAGAGGGTGCTTAAAAAAGCCCAGTTCGGAGCGCCTAGGCACTTTTCGGGAACCGGGATGTTGCCCCAAGAGACATAGACAGGCGGGATGAAATGCTCCAAGTCGTAGACGGAGTTACGACCGAGCCAATGGAGACTCAATGGGATGAGAGCGGGATGATGGGATGGAAGTAAAAGTATTGCAGTCCGTCTGGTGATGTGTGTGACGAAGGGGAAGCTAAGGCGGTCGAGGTTAAGGTCGAGAGTCTAACAGGCAAAGCGATGGCTGCTAACCTTGTGGCCTAAACAGTGACCAAACTCCATGCGGCGTAGTCGCGTAAAGTGGCTTCGGGAGACTCCAGACTTTCCTCGTGTGTGTTGTGTTGTAACCGCCCGAAAGGACCTCCAACTCCGGCCGGTGCTAGGTTGTACAACAGGTAGATGCAGTTGGCGGAGGGTGCGTAGGGTAGTGTGGTGTCTCGGTCGTCAACCGTGAGTGTAACTGCAACTGCGATTTCAACTATCAGTGCAACTACATGCTGCATGCTAAGCCCACTTGCCCACTTGATGCCGTGTGATAGGTGGTTGACTTCAGGATAACCTCCACAAGCTGGGTATTGGAGAAAGCGAGTATCCCGTAAAGATGCGAAGCGCAAGGGCAGCCAGGGAGTTCCAGGGAAACGTCCGGCCCAAGTGGCCCGAAATGGCGTGTCGGCGGCTGCAGGTGATGGCCTGAGTGTTGCGAGCTCTGCCCGAGTTGGGAGTATCCGGCAGCAGACCAAACCAGAAACTCGGAAAGGCTAAAAAGTGAGGCATCTCGACCGACATGGCTGGATGCCAAAGCAAGTAGGGATATTCCGGAGTGTCGTCAGCGAAGAGAGTCCAGAGCCCTGGAGGCTACGCAGGCAAGCGCACAGAGATGTCCATAGAGATGCCTGTCAGTCTAGGGGCGGAATTTTGGTGAATCTTGATTTCGTAAAAGCCTATGCTGTGAGGAGAGACCCATGACCTTGGACCATGACGCCTTTTCTTGGCACGGCGGTTGCGAAGAGAGAAAACAGAGGGTTCGGAGCCGTGGTCAGTGCTCGATAGTGCCGTGTATGCGGAATTGCCTGCCCGCAACTTGCAGACTGCAAGTCGACCTCGCATGCCCCCCCTCCCCCCACTGTAACGCCGAAGTTTAGAGTTCATGGTCGGGAGGGGCAGCCCTGAGCGGTGTAAGTGGAGGGGAGCCGGGCCAGGGATGGGATTGAGGCCATGGGAAAGGCAAAGACGACTTCAGCCGCCCGCCCGCCATATTGGAGGGGGTGATGGACGACACATGTGGCGGAAAAGGCCCGCCTCGGAAACCGTTGTCTAGCGTACTTATTGGTGGTTTTCTCGTCATAGCTTCGTAATTCCGTACGACTCGAGGGGGAAATGAGATGGTGGTAATATCCGCAGACGAGAGATATGTTGGGGAACTAGAGGCTAGGCGCGCCTGTCTAGTGTTAGTGAGTGGTCCTTCTCTTCCTTTTCTCCTTCTCTCTCTCTTTCGCTTTCTGGCTCTTGGTCATTCAGGTTCGTGGGTGTATTCGTATGTACAAGTATGGATAGGTACCCGCCGTGCCGGCAGAGTGGGTGGTGTGCTGGTTGGAAGTTGGGTCCAAGGACACGTTGCGCGCGCGCGCGCCGTCACAGCCTCACGACCATGTGCGTATTGTTTCCAAGGCTTGGATGATTGATGTGTCCATGGGCTTGGCAGACCAGACCTGACTCTGCCTTGCGGTGGCCCTGTCGAGCTGGAGACTGGAATTTCGTTGTAGTATAAGGTATATGGTCCGTACGGTGTAGGAGTACCTCTGTTTGGATCGTCCCAATACTGTGTAACTTGTAAGTCAGGGTCCCAAAGAGGCGGGGCTAATAAGGCAAGGCAAGGTATGGTACCGTGTAAGTACGAAGGACGCAGCGCCTTACTGTGTAGTGAGGAATCATGGGCTCCAAGTTGGTCGGTGGTCCTGGAAGAGGATCCATTCCAAGTGTCCACCTCCCGAGGAAAACGCACGTTGTAGTGGGGCTGTCGGCTATTCTGAGGTCCACCAGATTGGATACCGATGGGCGATGGGCGATGAGAGATGCGCGACTTGCGATTTGGTGACCTGGAAGGGCAAGGAACGAAAAGACGTTGGCACCTCACGTTGCACGTCGGGGCGCGTTGCGGCTTGGGCTCTTGGGCTCTGGATGCGAGCGGCCAACGATCACCTTGCTGTTTAGTACTCTGTACCGTGTCCAGGGGTTTGAGGTGTTTGCCGTGTTAAGGTCGGGTAGGTTGAGTGTTGGGTGTTGTTGGCCCGGGGCGCAACGTTGGAGATTGGAGAATTCGGAGAAAGAGAGGTTGTGTCTGTGTCGTCGCCAGGGCAGGCAGGTGCAAGATCCAATCATCCATCGTGACTGCCTCCCGTCTTTTACACACGCACACACCAGTCTCCAGCACTCCAGGGCAGCAGCACACTCCACCACCAGCACTTGCATCTTGCCCTTCCACCATTTCCCATGTCATCCAGCCCACCTCATCTTCAACCCGCACCCGCTTCACGAATCATCCACGCCCAAGTCAACACCAACCCACATTACCAAAACTTCAGCTCCAGGTCCTTCACCTGCTTTGGATCTGCATTTGCACCTGCACTTGCACTTGCATAGTGGCACCGCATCTGCATCCTGCAATTGACATTGGCAATTGGCACCTCTGGCCCTCACCAACATTGCACTTGCAGCTGATTGATTGAATACCTTAGTACCTTAGTTCCTCCCTTGTCTTCCCACCTTCCCGTCAACTTCACGCAACTTCGCCCGCACCCTCCGCTGCATGTCCCACACGAATAGCACTTGCATCGTCCAGCCCAAGTCCAACCCGTCTGGCTTTTTTTCTTCTCCCCTCTACCACGAAAATCACAACCAGACAAGTCATCCACCCACCCACTCCGTCCTCTGACACAGAAACTGCTAGCTCACCTGAGTCAACTCATAAATCTCTTTCCGACGACGTGTTACTTGCACTGGTCGAAACAGACTCATCGACATCTTGCCTAAAACATCCTTCCAGCGTCTCGGCTGTTCTCTGTCATTCAGCTTGTTCGTGTCGTTGACAATCGATACCACATCGCGCCTGTGGTAGCCCTTGAGTCAACCCGAGTGGTGGCTGTAGCAAGGACCATCTCTGCGGACAACTCTCCGCCGCACCTAGTCTGTAGGGAATCCAAAGCCTTCGAATCAGATCACCAGGGCATCCACATCTTGCCGATCTCTCCTCAAGAGTCCAAAAGTACAAA